TTAGGTTTAGCAGGGATCGGGCGCTTAGCAACACTGTTAATCAAACCTCTTGCTAATGCTAGTGGGAGCGACCTCAGGGAAAAGAGGCGCCTAATTTCTCTGTTATTCATATCTTGATTTACTGACAAAATTACAAAATAAAAACTCTGTGATCATGTAGAGCTGATTAATATGAACATTTTAAGACCAAAATGACAAGACAGAGAGAATGATGATGGTTTGTCAATAGATGCATCAAGAATCTCGGGCTTCCGGTCATTGCACAATGCATATTGGGAAGGATTTTCCGAAAAAGTGAGCATCAAACCGCCATGTTTGTTTTCCCAGTGGGATGCATCTATTGACAAAGCCAGTCTTTTCTAGTCTTTTGAACCATATCGCTTTTGTTTCTGGTTCTGATATTGTCATATTTTAGTTTTGGGTTTCGGACATCGTAATTGTGTGGTTGTTGGATGTCCTAACACCGGAAAACGGATCGAGAAATTTGTTTGTGAACTCCATAACTGCAAAAGGGAATCAGATCTGTGTGACTGCAAATCTCTGTTCAAACTGTTTTCCTTCCCAACGGAATTGAAAAATAGTGAAAGGCGAAAGCGATGGGCAGGATTGATCCACAGGAAGGACGAAAAAGGAAACCTTTGACTGCCTAAATCATCCCGAGTTTGCAGCGAACATTTTGTATGTACATTTTGTAAGACTAAAAAAGACTGACTTTGTCAATAGATGCATCGCTCTGGAAAAACAAACATGGTGGTTTGATGCTCACTTTTTTGGAAAATCCTTCCCAGTATGCATTGCGCAATGACCGGAAGTCTGAAATTCTTGATGCATCTATAGAAAGTGAATTGAAAGTGAATAGTCTAGCGCGTTAACTATGCCCATTTATATATACAGTGTATGGGTGAGACCAAGGATCGAACAGTCAACAATGACCAGTGCGTGGATACTTTACCGTCTGTATCAAGGCTTGTTTAAACCTAATAATGTCTGACTTACATGTATTTCATGCATAACATTGTGTAGCATTGTAAAGTAACACCCCACGGCTGCACATCAAATCTGAGGGTCATACTCTGGGTCCTTGCAATACATTCCTATAACATTTTGCACAACCGTAATAAAAATACCTGAAACTTTTTTTTTTTCTTATAAGTGGAACTCCATTAACCCTCAAAGGTGAACTGTACCCTATGGCACAAAGTGTAACAGTTCACCTTTAAATATCCGAGCTCACCTCAAACTCCAAACCTGGAAGTGGACCAGTGTGCCTGGAAATGTGCTAATCTTTCACTCAGGTTGACTCATTAACTCCTGCTCCATAGAGTTCCCAGGCTGGATCACATATAAACTGATATAAAATCTTTCTGCTTAAGTGGGGCTAAAGAAACTCGGGTTAGACAGGGACACGAAAACGTTAAAGAGTTATATTATGCCATTTCTGGTTGATGTTATAATGTTGTTTCCTCATCACAAACATAACAGGAGTTGTGTTTTGTTTCATTCACACATGTTTAACACACAAAACCTGCATATTTAGGCTGAGTTCTTCTCTCGAACAGAAAACACACAAACATGAAGTGCTCCACTGTGTTCTTAAACTCCATACACCTTCACTAGATAATTTCAGCCCTGTAATTACCGACCTCAACCAAACAAAAGGTTAAAGATAGCTGTTAACTTGTAAACTACCTCTTTATGACCTCACAAGGTGGAACAGAGCAGAGTGTAGACAGAGATGTAAACGGTTACTCAAACATGTGTGAATGAAACAAAACATATAGCTCTATGTTTTGATGAGGAAACAACATTATAACATAGATGAGAAAATAGAGTAATGTGGGCCCTTTAAAGAGTGACTTCTCCTCTCAATTCCCAAATGATTCCCAATAATCCATCTTTGCCCTCTGCACCTAAAGCTGTGATCCGCTGGCAGCCTCCCAAACCTGAGATAAAATGTGGGGCATTTAGCCTGGCATTGGGAATCCTGTCGCCTGGGGTCTGAATTATTCAACGCTCCAGATAAATTTACTCCATTTGAAGTCATGCATAAAAAGGGCTTTATTATTATTATCTGTACTGCTAACGTGCTAATTTCCTTGAACTGCTAACGTGAGTGTTGAGTAAAAGAGCTAAAATAAACACACACAGGAGTCAATATTTGTCCCACATTGACAACAGTCCTGACAGGGTTAGCGTGGCGCCCTTAAACCATCCTGTTTCTCTGTTTGGAGAGGGCAGGTCTGTGTCAGAGGCAACTTAAAGCCAGTTTAGGTTTAAACCCAGGTAAGGAGTTTTTTGTTATGTAAAGGAAAAAAACAAAAAAAAAACTCTATTTTCTATGTTATGTCTTTATGTAATTATGTATATCTAACCTCATATATTTGATGTCTTCTGTATGTTTATCAAAGGTAGAAAACAATACAAATAAAATAAAACATTGAATGAGAGTGTGAGTCCAAACTTTTGACTGTACTATATGTGTCACAAATATGAAATTTCACTGAAGAAAAATAACCAACAGGAAGCCAGCCATCTGAAATTGATGGCCCAGTTTGAACAGTTTCATCAGCTCAGGAGTCTCCCCATGAGTTTGTTTACCCACTACATGTGAACACACCACAGCCCTGTCAACGCAGTGTAAGGATATCCTCACTATGGCTCTGTCAGGTGACACCCAAACGCCTCCTTATCCACACACACAAATGTAAATAACACAGCCAGACGTAAAAAAACATACATTTGGGAGTTTATAATCACATGTTTTTTTAGGGTTAAAGGTGCATTGTGTAACTTCTCTGGTGGAGGGTTTGTCAAATGCTTTTCTCCTTGGAGATGTTGTTGCTTTGTCTGGAATGTTCCACGGTATGGCATTAAACAAATATATCTGGTATATCTGTATTCATTCATAGGTGTTTCTATTTCTCAAAAATACCACAAAGTCATGCATTCTTACTGTGAGCGGGCCAACCTTTCCACAGATCTGCTTGTCTCCAATTAAGTGCCATTCTGTAAAACATTCTAGGAAAAAACAATAACATCTACATGGAGTCAAGCAGGTAGCGGACCCTCTACCAGAAAAGCTACATAACACACCTTTAAGAAAACTGTTGAAAACTGTTGTGGTTTGTTCAGCTCAGTTCCATTTTAAGCCAGTAAATAAAATGAATGACCTGGAGGTGAGTGGATATCAACATGAACAAGATTAATTATCTTTTCATTCGGGGGTGAAGAGGAAAGAGGTGGGTGTCAACAAGGCAAGGAAATTACACGGATCACTGTATTGCCATGATCAGCCATAACAATATGACTACCAACAGAATCAGTATTAGCTGCTGTAGGGGTGATAGTACCTCAGTTTGTAGAGACCTCTGATCCAAAGGTTGGCAGTTCGAATCCCACTTTCAGTGTAAACATCATTGGTTGCACTTGGTCAGACTCAAGGGTAAAGCTCAAAATAAAGATGTAAAAATCTGACCATTTACCAGGTGGTTGTCAAAAAATTGAAATTCAGATACTAATCCATACTAGCTTGATTCATCATCCAGCTTCTTGATTCATTCATCCAGCTTGGAAACTGTCTGATCTCGCAGCATTAGGATTTGTTCGCTTGACAGTAGGTGGGTACTTTTTTTAATTTAACCAATCACTGCTATTTGGTTGTGACAAAGGTAATGTGCCGCTAACTGGACTAACTGGTATATTAAGATTTTCCCAAACCCTTTAGGAAGAAGGAATAACATCTTTCCCCTTGATAAAATTCACCAAACATTCTCTTTGTTCCGGCTTTAAATCCTCAATCTCGGGAATCGTTGCCAACACAGAATGTATGGCTCTTCGCTGATTGGCTGGTGCCCGGACTCGAACTTCCAGGGTTCTCACTAACTGTCTAATGCAGGCATGTCCAAACTATGGCCCATGGGCCAAATGCGACCCTCAGACAAATTTTTCTTGGCCCTCAGGTTCCCAGGTGAATTGGCCCAAATTATCTTACATCATTAAAAAAATTACTTCTTACTGCAAGCTTTTGGAAAATCTACCTTGATAAAGTGAATAGTTAATATTTAGTGTGTGGTTTTAAGGATCTTTGCATGAGACATCAGTATTTATTCATGCTAAACATGTTAAACATGCACATATTTCAGTTATTCACTGTATTGAGCACCAGTCTACGACCCTTGATTGGCCCTCTGCTTCATCTGTGTTTAGATATGTGGCCCTTGATGAAAAAAGTTTGGACACCCCTGGTCTAATGTATTCCGATTCCTGACCTAGTCGCTGTACAGAAATGAAATTGAGCGGAGGCACTAGATGGCGCCAGCCTGGCTAAATCTATACTAAAACTAATATCAAAACTAAACTCATTTGAGTAAGTATTGACATTTTTAAAAAAGTATGACCCTTTCCTGAATAGTTTTATCTTGTGCTGTATCAGAACAAATATAAGACCAAATAGACTTTATGCTACAGATCGACCAATATGTTGTTTTTTTTTCATGTACGATGCCGATAGTGATTGTTTGGAATCCAGAGTAGTCGATGGCCCATAAGTGTTGCTGATATTTTTGAGCAGATATGTAGGGTAGATTTTCATTATTTCCCCCAAATTATGGATTTTATGCAGTTATCTCTTCATATTAAAGTGTTAAGAGATAAAGCTGTGTGTATTTTTATGCAGAAAAGGCCTGATAGTCAATACGCTAAAAAGTCCAAATATTGTCCCGATACTATCTCTAGTATTCACCCACAGATCACTATGAAACCAACCTGAACGACTGGACCAAACAGATATTAGACCAGATGGTAATACAGAAGGGAGTACAATGATTTACAGTTGAAAATTACATTATACTGTTTAAATAAAAGTGGTATTAGAATCGGTATGAACTCTATTCCTTAGTAGAGACTGAGTTTGGAATTTTAGTAACATGACAACACTAGTGGTTATAATATAAAGCTTAACTGTAGCAATGTGCATTCTGACAAAAAATATAAACACCAGGTTTTAAATGCCTTCTTTATATAGTTTGAATGGTACAAACCCTCCAAAAACATTAAAACATAACATTGCGTATTAAAATAAAACCACTTGAATAAAGCCTCAAGATGGATCAGTTTTTTTGTTTTGTTTTTTTACTTAAGTGCTTTGGTCTTCACAACAGAGGTAGACATTTATGACACAGCACAAATAATATCTGTATACAATATTTATAGTTTTGTAAGCTTATGAAACAAAAAAACTCAAATAAAATGTACATTATGATCATGTTACATACATATGGTTCAAATTTAGTTTTTAAAATGAAATGTCCAAGTCAAGTGCATATTTTAAAGGTGCACTGCGTAACTTTTCTGGCAGAGGGTTTGCCATCTGCTTGTCTCCATGGTGATGTTCCACTGTATGGCGTTACACAAATATATCTTGTATTTATTGAATTACAGGTGTTTTGTTTTTTTTTCCCTCCAAGCCTGAGCAAGCCCACTTCTCCACAGATCTGACCTGAAATTTGGCCTGGCAATGTGAGCTGCTTGTCTCCACGGTGATAGTTAAATTAAATATCATACTGTAGAATATTTCAGGAAAAAAACATGGAGTCAAACAGGTGGTGGATCCTCTACTAGAAAAGTTACACAGGGCACCTTTAAGCTACAGTTGTAAGCCTGGACACAACCCCAAAATAAATACATATACTATTTTGAAATTATTCACTTTGTGTTCATTAAAAATATATGATCTTTATGTCTATTGATGATATGCTTAAAATAAATAAACCTTTCCATATTGAATTGATGTATCAGTATCTGAAACTTGAGAGTAAACAAGACAAGGTAGTTCTTTAGTTTTTGTTTTTTTACATTCATTCAGGATGTAGAGACTAGACCTGTCACAATAATTACTATCTTGAGTTATTGTTTAATATATGAACGTTGTATATATTTTTCGGCTCAGTATTTGTCATATCATGTGTACATTTATTTTGCAATAGTGGATAGGTTTTTTTGTTTTTTTATGTAACAGAGTAGAATAAATAACATATACGCTTAAAAGATGCACTATTTAACTTTTATGATATGAAATGATATTACTGATTTGCCTTGATTATTCCACAGTATTGAAATAAAATGAGTAAAACAAGTTAATGGTCAGATCTATGAAGAAGCAAGCCTGCACATGTTAAAAATTCATGTTTTTCAGGTTATTTTTGAGCTAAAAAACACCTTTAACTGAAAAAATGCAAGGCAGACGTGTTTAATGCCATACTGTGGAACATAGAAGTTACATAGTGCACCTTTAATTATTAGTTCACTCTGCTATTGATTTGGTGCAGCTCATAGTTTTTAATTAATCTGCCTATTCAAAATTTGGTTTACTCAGTGGGATTATCCAGCTTTGTATAAGTGGCAGTTTCAGTATTATTGTTTATTGTTAGGGGGCCCGGGGCAAGGAGTCTCACATTGGCCCCCATCTAATATAAATTAATAGGAAGCGGCCCCTAAATCCCTGGGACAAGAGACCCCTTTGTCCCCCGTCTACTTCCCTAATCACAATATTTCTCTGTGACGATATATCATGGTTCAAATGTTCTTATCGTGACAGGCCTAGTGGAGATGTAACAATCCTGTCTATTTTACATGTAACATTGAGTGACAGTGTAAACAGTTTGTGACCGTTCAGCTCTTCACAGCTCATTAAAAGATGTTTGGCAAATTAAATTATTCAAATATTAAGACTGACATAATCATACAGGCAGGACATGGTAAAACTGGTCTATGTTCAATTATCTTTGGCAGTTTTAGCAAATCAGAATTAGCTGTGTTAAGTGTAGAACAGAAATATATTCTTGGTTTTCAGTAAGGATTCACCGATATTGATACTGGTGTCAAATACGATACGAGTCAATACTGAAAAATTTGCTGGATCTGAATCGGTTCCATAATATCATTTAAGGCATTATCAGGTTGAGTCTTTAAAGGTCCGATATTATGCAGAATTGACTCTTGTGAGTTTTAAGCCATGTTATAATTGTTACCTCATCAAAAACATGCCTGGAGTTGTGTTTTGTTTCATTCACATGTTTGAGTAACACTTTATTATTAGTTTGCCTACATCTCCAAAGCTCAAAATGCTCCATTCCACCTTGTGATGACATGAAGCTGTAGTTTTCAAGTTAGCTGTTACCTTTAATAGCAGAAGCTGCTTCTTCATTTCTGAAGAACTGAACTGAATGGATTCTACCTATACGACTAAGGGATTTTACATACAGAAACTGTTTACCTTTTCCTTAGTTGAGATTGGAAATTCCAGGGCTAAAATCAGCTGACAAATGATCCTAGTGAAGGTGTATGGAGTTTAAAAACACATACTCCCTCTATTACCACATTATATCACAAGTGTTTTCTGTCTGAGAGGAACTCGGCCTAAATATGCAGAGTTTGTGTGTTAAACATGTGTGAATGAAATAAAACACAACCACTGATACGTTTGTGATGAGGAACAACATTATAATACAGAACAGAGAACAATGTAAAAGGGGCCCTTTAACTGGTTGGATGTAATAAGGCTAATTATAGGCTCATTTTGGCCTAGAACATCTCATAAATTTTTTACTTTTATTCATACAAAGTTCTTCAGTGGCGATTTGAAAGTTAAGTAGCAGTTACATAACACAATTGGATCCCTTGTGTTAATAAGTTCACTGTGTTTTAATGAAATAAGAGCCCCTTTCCATCCCTACACTGGTATCGATTAATATCAAAGTACTGGCTGATTTTTAAAGCCAAAGTGTCAATATTGGAATAAAAAATGGTGCATCCTTAGTTCTCAGTCCAGTCATATTTTCGATACTGTTCTATGTGTCACATTTAAATATGCTGTTTATTTCTGAGTAAAGTGGGGATGTGGAAATGCGTGGTGATATTTTGAATATTTTTGCTTATTATTTTGCAGCAACAGAGACATTTAGCTATTAGCCAACCAAAACAAAACACTGCATTTTGTTAGTGCTGTTAGTGAAACAAAAGGAGGCTCCCATAAATTTGACTAAAAAGTGCAATTACCCCACTGGTTCAGTATCAATGCGTCAGTATCAAAATGTTTCATATCAGTTTGAATTGAAACAAAGAAAAATAAACTTTTCCACTATTCATATTTGGTATTATTTTTGGGAATGCATCTGTGACAATATATCACATAATACACAATTTTTGTTTGTATTTGTTTGTTGAATTGGTATTTTGTGAAAGTATACTAGGTAACTTTTCCAGTGGGGGTTGCCATGGAGATGCTATTACTTTGCCTGGAATGTTCCACAGTATGGTACAGTACAGTTAGCTAAGATGCACGCATTCAAAGTCAACTGACGCTAGAATACCTTAAAAAGCATGAATTTGTAGTGTGAGCATAATCACCTCTCCACAGATCTGACCCGTAACTTGACCAGGCGATGGCTCCATGGAGATAGACCCATTAACAGTCATACAACGGAGTATTCCAGGCAAAACAATCAAATTTCCATGAGACAAGTCCTCCACCAAAAAAATTACATATTAGTAGCATTTTTAAAGGTGTACTATGTAACTTTTCGGTTGGGGGTTCATAACTTGCTTGTTTCTATGGATATGCCATCGCTCTGCCTGGAATGTTCCACAGTGTGACATTAAACAGCTCTACCGTACATGTGCGCTATTACATGTGGTTTTATAGCTCAAAAAATAAATAGAAAAACAGGCATTCTGACTGTGAGTGGGGTCGCCTCTCCACAGATCTGACCTGTAACTTAGATGGTTTGGTCTCCATGAAGATAAAAATGTTTAATACCAGACTGTGAAACATTCCAAACAAAGCAATAACATCTCCACAAACAAAAGCATGTGATAAACTCTCCAACAAAAAAATTATATTAAGTTAATTTGACAAGGATGCACCTCCTCCCTGCTTGTTGTCAAACGTGTTCTATCGATAGTTTTGGCATTTCATATATATTTTTTTTTAAACAAATCTTGCAATAACATGCATCAAATCTTTGATATAAAACATATGTACATCACCGACCACAAGGACCTCTCTATTATTGAATTAATAGACCATGAAGCGCAGACGCCATCTTTAAGGCACGAGTTCTGAGTCTCATATTCAAATAACCATGAGTCATTAAACGCACTGTGCTTCCCCGAGTCGAGTTCTCCTTCAGCTCTTCCTGAAGCGATATTTACAGTAAGATTTCCTCCTCTGCTGACGATAGGATCTGGTTTCAAGTGTCCAAGGGGAAAACTGCAAAATTGCAAAACAAACATCACAAAAAAAAAAATTAAACATGGAACAAGATCAAATGTAAATACACAAAGGTCATTAAAAATACTTGTGACTTTCATAGCCTTAAAGACCATCAAAAACATGGGAGATGTAATTTCAAAATAGTGCTGTTGATGTGAAATAATAATATAATATAATATAATAATAAAATAAGAATACTGCACATAATTGAAAGTTATTAGTTCTATGTTATAATGTTGTTTCCTCATTGGAAACATACCTGAAGTTGTGTTTTCTTTCATTCACATAAGTTTAAACACATAAAACCTGCATATTTAGGCTGAGTTCTTCTATCAGACTAAAATCTTTTCCACCTTGGGATGTCATGTGGTAATACAAGCAGTGCTCTGTGTTTAAACTCCATACACCGTCACTAGATTCATTTGGATAATTTCAGTCCAGTAATTGCCAATCTCTACTGAAAAAGGTAAAAAGTAGCTGTTAACATGAAAACTACTCAAACTACTCAAACTACTACTCATGTGTGAATGAAATAAAACAAGTCCAGGTATGTTTTTGAGGAAGTAACATATAACATGGCTTAAAGCTCACAAGAGTCAATTTCATGTAATATAGGACCTTTAAAACATTTAGAGAATGATGTGAGCTGCCTTTTGTCACTCATATTCCCAATTAAACTGTCCTGTTTTTTATATATTGCATGAAGTTAGTTCTCAAATGGTAACAAAATGTATTTGACACAGCATCTGAACATTTTTACAAGATTACAAGAAGCAGTTACTCTATGTGGTGATGCTGTCAAAGGTATTGAAAATCAGAACTAAACAATACTATAACTAGAATCAAATAGAATAGATACTCGTCTGAACAGATATTGATACTAAAAAGGTTACATTCAAAGGTCAGAAGTGAACCTTTCCTGAATAGATTTAGAATGACCCTGAGCTGTATCAGAACAAGTATAACAGCACATAGACTAGTTTACAGCCATGCCCACTATTGAATCTACTGAGGAATTACACAGATATAAGACCACATGGTAATACAAAGGAAGTATTATGATTTAATGTTGAAAATCACATTCTGTTGTCTAAAATAAAGTATGTTTTTCATTATCATTGTTGTATCAGAATCGAGTCTATTCCTTAGTAACTAAATTGAGTTTTAAATTTTCGTATTGTGACACATAACATTATTAGATGGTAGAATAACATGCAGTATATTACCTGGATTATAATTTATCTTTGTCCGTATGGTCTGGCTGAAACTACAATAGAAAGAAAACAAGATTTATTACACAGTTAATGATTCAATAATTTCCATTACAGGTGCTGGGATGTGCGAATAAAAGCTTTATTTATTATATGAGCAGAAGTCATTTTTCATTCTTCAGTCAATATGAAAAGTCAATATTCAGGTATTAAACACCAGCGTATTTCATAAACCATAGTTATCTAAGCCATATGAGCATTTTATTTTGTGAATGAGAAATGTTTTCTTAATCTTAAAAGGTCCAGATTATGCTATTTTCTGATCCATGTTATAATTGTTGTATTAATAGTTTCCTCGTCCCAAAAATGCCTGGAGTTGCGTTCTGTTTAATTCACACAAGTTTAACACACAAACCCTGCAGATTTAGGCTGAGATCTTTTCTCAAACAGAAAATCCACCTGGTGATGTCATGTGCTAATACAAGAAGTGCTCTACTGTGTTTTTAAACTCCATACACCTTCACTAGAATAATTTGGATATAGACAGACTAATAATAAAATGTTACTGAAACGTGTGAATGAAACAAAACACAACTCCGGGTATGTTTTTGAGGAGGTAACAACAATATAACATAGCTAAAAGCTCACAACATCAATTTTGCGTAATATAGGACCTTCAAGCTGTTTACCTAAATAAATATAACTGTATATTATTGATGCTTTTATGAAAATAATATATTAAAAAGTCTGGCTAAATTAGAGAGTATTCCCCTAAGAGTTGCTGTTTTATCTGGTAGCTCTGTTTGAAGTGAAAATCCTTTTAATTATTGGTGGTTTTGGAATATGGGTCTCAAGAGAGGGGCTGCTTATTAGGAAGCTTAAGTGTAGTCTTTTTGGTAAACAATACATGAGAGGTAATTAAATGGTAGAGTTTTATAGTTTACAAAAAGTTGGAACTCAAACAATTTACTCTTAAAGATAAAACAGCCCCTGAACTGGAATATAGGAAAGTTTTACCACCACAATTCTTTCATTGTAATAAAAATTCCCTCTTTGCTAGATGTGGAAACCTTATACTTTGCTTTTGGTTTTTTAGACCCTTGAATTCATTTGTTAAAGGGTCCATTTTACATTCTTTTCTGATCTAATGTTATTTTCTCCTCACAAACATACCTGGGGTTGTGTTTTTGTTTCATTCACACATATTTAAAACATAGAAACCCTAATTTTTACACTGTCTTCATCTCTCAAACAGAAAACACTTAGTTCCACCTTGTGATGTCATTGTGTGTCATGTGTTTTTCAACTCCATACACCTTCACTAGAATTATTTGGATAACTTTAGCCCAGAATTGCCTATCTTTATTGAACTAAAGGTAAACTGTAGCTTTAAACTTGAAAACTACAATTACATGACATCACAAGGTGGAACAGAGCATTTTGAGCTATGGAAATGTAGTTATTCAGACATGTGTGAATGAAACAAAACACAACTCTGGGAATGTTTTTGATGAGGTAACAACATTATAGCATGGCTTAAAGTTCACAAGAGTCAGTTTTGTGTACTATAGGGTACTTTAAGTATACACACAAGTTACATAAGAGACAGATTTCTATGTTATCCTTTACATTACTTTAGAATCCCCGTGTACACTACCTTATTTAAACAGCCCAACCCACAGGTCAGTTGGATTTGAATGCTCATACCTGAATATACAAATTGTGACCAGATGAACTTGAGACTAAATATGAAGAGGAGAAGTCTTAGGTTTCCAGAATACAGACCTGTTGGGACTCTGACATGGCTCTGCTCCTTGGCTCAGACTCAGTTGGCGTTGAGGGTGTCGTCTCAGAGAGGAGCAGGGTCCTTCTTACTGGTTTATCACACACTGTTTTTGTAACACGGAACCTGTCCAAGAGAAAAAATAAAACATCAGAATATATTTGGGATAGGGATGCACTGATAAAATACTGGTATCTGAAATCAGCACTGATATTGAACATTTTGATAGATCGGATATCAGTTTAAAAATATCGGGTCAGTTGATGTCCCATGTAGGTCTATTAATTGGTGTAATAAAATGATGTATTGCACAATGTAAGCCTAAAAGACCTTGTAATATAGTTTTAAAGCTGTTCTGTAGTTACATTGAATGATAAATATTACATTTTTATCATTTTTACCATATGCTGTTGTTCTTAAAGAGAATTAATTATGTTTTCACTCTCTGCTCTGGTATTGGTTGATATCGGGGATCAACAGATATTTAAAGCAAAAGTATCGACATCGGTATCAAAACAGAAAAAACTGGAAAAGCACATCCCTAATTTGGGACATGTGGTTTCTGCTCTATAAAACTGGGTTCATTAAAGCTAGTGCCTTTATGTGGGCGCTTTCCACAGTCTGGAGGTTTTTTCTGGTTCAAAATGCGTTTAACACTTTAAACTGTGCCAAGAGTGTCCGTTATTGTGAGAGAAAAGTGGTATTTTTGGATATGCCTGTAATAAATTGTACTACTTGTTGAACTTGTTTGTACTTGCTTTTATTTGTGCAATAACACATGGAAATACAGGGTGAAGAATAAATGTATTGTGTAAATCTGTACAACCACCATACTGCCCTGGCTAACAAGCATTTTATGTAATTTCTGTTAAATTATGCATTTGCTTTGCACTGACATCATGCTGGGGGTGTTCTACATATCTCTAAAAGTGTTTAGAGGTGACACAGTTTTCAGGAGCCTGTGATCAATAGGAGTGTTCATGGTCCTGTTAAGGTGTTTGATTTTCAACAAAAATGGTGAGCTTGACCAGCTGAAAAACTGTTGGGTAATCCGAGCTAGCTGGGGACTGTAATTTTATGTATGAGAGACTCATTTAACAGCACAAATCATCAACCATCTCAAATCTTTGTGGTCTAAATTAGGTCAGATTGTGTGAAAATAAAGCTCAGAATAAAGTCTCCTGGGGTAGTAGTAAAGTCAAACTTGTGTACTAGAGCTTCAGATAGAGCAGTGCGTCCAGTTAGCATCACACCCCCAGGGAATGTTGAGGGCATCAGCTGCAAAGTATCAGTTTGAAAAATGTATTTATTTAATGTGTCGGATTTTTATTTTTACAATAAAAAAGCATTTTGTCTGTCTAAAATGTGACACAATAGTTGGTCCGTCTGTTTTGGATGTTTGGACTCATCTACAGGAGATGGTCTCTAAACCTCTGTGTGCACTTTACCTACGGCGCTCACATGAAACGGGTCTAAAAGTTTAATGAAATCAGTGAATGATACTAAGACCCAGGTTGTGTTGACCGCAAAGTTCCCCTCTAATCTTCTGGGAGCACAAATGAAAAGCAGCCTCTGTGCATCCCAATGAGCTCAGCGACGCTGCACGCTCTGCTCCACTCAACTGACAAATCATTTCTTTACTTAAAAAGAAAGATTTGGAGCTCATTACACAAGCCGGGGGGAGGTTTAACAGCAGTGTCCAGCCAGCATCACTAAATTATGAAGAAATTGTGATGGGCTAAAAAGTGTAAATATTTCAAGTCCTTCGCACTTCTATCTCTATTTTAAAGTATTATGTATAATCTAGTAAACTAAAAACAAGATTATCAATCAATGTCTTTTTCTTTCTGAATATAGTCTATTGTACATTTTAAATAATAACAATAATACACTTTATTGCAGTTGAAATTAACATTAATTATTAGGGGTGTGCAAAAATACTGAAATATTGATATACTGTATAATTTAATTTGATGATACAGTATCGATATTGTGGGCTGCTGTATCGATACATCGCCAAGAGTAATTTTTGGTATATTTTACTAAATTATTTTGTGTAAAAGCTACAAAAGCGTTGACATTTTCACTGTTTTGATGAGTAAAATTTGTGTTATTCATATCAACTTTGCATAAACTTAGTGGACTTAGTAAACTTTTAGTATCACAGCCATGATGATGTGAAATATATCATATCAAATCGTATTGCATCGAAAGCTCACTGTCTCAAAAAGTGTTTCGTATCGTGACTTATGTATTGAGGTGTGTATTGTATCGACAGCTTCTTAATGATACCAAGCCTTATTAATTATTATATTTTAAAATCCAAAACAGATAATGAAAGTATTTTATAGAAGATACGATGTAGCACTGATTAGCTGCTAACAAAGTTGTTCTTGTCTTAATGAATCACTATTTCATTCAAATCAAATCTGAGAGACTATGTGTATGTTACGCAGGAACAGTCTAAAGTAATAAGCCTGGTGGCCCTGGTGCACGTGCTGCAATGATGATGCAAGCCTTCGTATTGTGCAGTGAACAGAAGCCAAACGCAGCCATGAAATCTCATTAGACGCTGTTTTCAGAGGCCTTTGCCCTCGTCATGTCAGCCCAGCAGCTCCTCATTACAGGGGAAGAACAAATTAAGAAAGGTGGAGGAGCTGTTTCTCCTGCTTACCACAGTAAGCAACATACAAACAAACTCTTTTAACTATCCAGACTTTGCAGCTGATGGCATTAACAAACCATGGGGGTGTGTGCTAACTGTAGGCACTGCTCTGTCTGAAGCTTTATTAGACTTTAATCTGTGCTTTATGGTAACACAATCTGACCAGGAAGAACTGACTTAGCTGGAATTAACAGCACAAATCATCTCACTTGTTGTAGTTCCAATCAAATCAACTCTTTCGGGTCAGACGGTGTTAAAATAAACAAAGTAGTGCGCTCAGTTAGCTTCACACCCCCAGACTAAACCCTCTCACTCACCTGCCCACGGCTAACACAGTAACTTCTCCGCAGTGGCTTTTTCTCTGCTCAGGCTTGCGTGCAGATGGTCTCCTCATGAGCGGCCATTTCTTCTGGCTGCAGCGTGTGCAGATGTTTTTGTGCCCGCCTGCCCCCCCGATGGTGTGCAGGTGGTTGCAGGTGTGTTTGGGGGCACCAGGGGAGGCACCTGGTGACAAAGGGGTCAGGGGTGGGGTCGGGCTGTTGGGAGAATTGGGTGTCATGGGAGAGATGGGTGTCATGGGAGAGATGGGTGTCATGGGCCTGGAAGAAAGAACAGAGCAAAGACATATTTTAATACAGAATTTTAGTTTTTATTTGATTTTTTCAAAGTATTTTCAGACCTATGTTATAATGTTGTTTCCTCATCAGAAACATGGAGTTGTGTTTATTTCATTTGCACATACATAGACTGAGCTCTTTTCTAAAACTGCAAACACTATGTTCCACCTTGTGATGTCACTTGATAATCCAAGAAGTGCTCCATTGTGTTTTTAAACTATATACACCTTCACTAGAATCATTTGTATAATTTCAGTCCTGGAATTTCCCATCTCTACTGAACTAAAGATAAAAGGCATCTGCTAACTTGAAAACTACCTTTTCATGACATCACAAGGTGGAACAGAGCATTTTGAGCTTTGGAGATCTAGTACTAATACTAATAAAGAATTTTTCAAACATGTGTGAATGAAACAAAACACAACTCCAGGTATGTTTTTGAGGAGGTAATATTATAACAAAACTTAAAGTCAACACAAGAGTCAAGTTTGTGTATCGTAGAACCTTTAATAAATACACAAAATGCAAAAACTCTATAATAATTTCACAAGTAAAAAAATGGAAAAGTGAAATAGGTCAGCACCATCAAGCCCAACAAAAAGACCATTTCTCGCTTGTCAATTCACTGGAGTTTTGAACACAGAGACCTTTTCCTAACCCACATTCTGCTCAAAAAACATCTCACTTTGAAGGAGAAAAACTTGAGCTGAGCCAATTCCTCATCACAGCGGCGTTTATCTTGAACCATCCCAGCAGAACAGACATTTATAATTCATATTTCAGGAGACAAAAATAATTACAGGAGAACAATCGAGCTGAATTAAAATGTTTAAGGCAATAATGGGAGCAATTTTCTGAGTGAGCAGGCAGTAATGGATGTGTGATCAGTAAAGTAATGTAGGTTTGATTGAATACAGTATCTTCTCCGGTGTACTATTCATTTAAAGTGCGTTTTGTGGTTGTCTTCACTTATTGGACAAGAGCTGAGAGTGCATTAGGCGTACTCAGTGGCTCCAGAGGCAGTGGTGGTTTGTATGGTAATTTTAATCAGGGTGTTTCATGTATTTATATGTATTGACCAATTTGAAATGAAAAGAGTAAAGTCCAAAACATACACAAGCTATCAGTGTATTATAGGGCAACTAATGTACAAAAAAAACCCAAAGGTATGCTCTAACAATACTTGGCAAAAAAAATTATTAAATCGATTAATCAAATTGAAAAAAAAAAAGGTTAAATTGTTTAGTTTGGAAGAAAATCAATTTTTATTTTCCCCATTTTCTTGCATTGGAAATTGGATTAAAAACACAAATAAGGCTGCTCCCTGCACGTCACAGGTACCAGAGTTTAGTGCAGGGTCAAAGCGCTGATGTTTTGAAATCAGTGACATCATAAAGATTGGGCTCACATGTTTATTGGAATAGTTTCTTTTAATTAAATTTATAAGATTTATAAATTTTTTAGTTTTTTAGATTTTAGTACAGAAAAAAAATCTACAATTTTATTTTCAGGCAAAAATCACCCAGCCCTATCTGTAACTAACTCCTAAATTGCTTGAGGGGAAAAAAATATAAATACAAATAATACATAATACTACGCTAATGCCTTATATTTAGAGATGTGTGTTTGTAACTTTACTGAACTTCACATCATCAGTTGAACTCTAGGATCTCTTAAACGAGGTAGATACTGTGTGAAGAGAATTCCAGCTTGAAAACTACAATAATGGCAACCACCAAGGATCCATGTCAAGATGTGGTGCTTGAGCAAGTGGAAAAATCCAAATACATGGCCACTATACTATTAGTGAACAAACTGCAGACAGATCTCATGAGAGCCCGACTGGGGACAGCAAGACCCACCCCGAGGTCACGCAACACTCGATCAGACTCTGAGACACTGAGACCTGTGGCTCTGTACAGCTCTGATGTTTGGACCTTACAGACTGCCCACATCTACAGACTGGAAGCATTTGAAACCACATGAAGCTACAGATACATACAGAGTCTGGCTTTATTTCCATTTTCTGAGCTCTGAAAGTTGATTTTTCTGAATAGGTCTGCATTAATAATAATAAAACTATTAATATTAAACAATTTAGGTACACCAGTCTTCATTAAAATAATCAGATAATAATAAAAATAATAATAGGGAAATTAAATACAACACAGGAGCAAAAAGATATACATTTAGGTCTGCATCATTTTGTAGACTGCAATTCCTACTTTCCGTCCTTTGTTTATTGAGCTGCCATAACCTGACTACCTTCAAGTGTTGCATTTTATGAAAAAAATAAATAAAAATACTGAAGAACTTAAATAACCTCTATTAGAAGGAGCTTGTATTTTGTAAACACCCAGTGAGGGACAGATGAGAGAGGCTAGAGTCACGCTACAGTCACTACGCCCCCTGTAGTGCCTCCCCCCTCCGCAGTGTTAGGGATGAGACATAAACAATAATATTGTTTATTGTGATAAAAAAAGGGTAGAAAATACTTATTTGTGGATTAAAACTGTATAACAAACTGCTCCTCGTTGTTTAATCCTCTTATACCATGACAACCAAACTATGTAACTTAGTCATTTCTGTTTTAGTTGAAGCAAGTCCCTCCTAGCAGCAGCTCTAACATTCCCTGGGGAGTGATGCTAACTGTAGGCACTGCTCTGTGTGAAGCTTTGTTAACTCAAATTAGGCTTTAATCTGAATTTTACAATCTAGCCATAAAGAATTGCCTTAGCTGGAATTAATACAGTTTGTACTGTTAAACTCCTCTTGAATAACATATAACAAACAACCATCACAAATTAGCTTCAATTTGTAACGTTCACCTTTTTTGTTGAAAATAAAACACCTTGATATGTGTTTAAATCCATTTTATGATTTTTTCATGTGTTTTCAGATCATCCGTAAAATTATTTGACAGTGTTTGTTCATGTGTGCATTGTGTCACCATGGCAATTACTGAACATTCGCCCTAGACATATATGCAGTAACCCCCAGCAAAGTAGCAATAGTACTCATAAAAACACATGCTATTTGATCACCAGCCATAATTTGAGAACCACCGTTAGGGAGACTATGTACTATTATTTATACCTATGAGAATTATTGAAATTTCATTCACAAAAAGAAATATTTTTTTGTAGTTGATTTTCGCCATTAGAAAAAACTGATTCTTGAGCATGATCAGTAGATTAGAGGTGCACTGTGTAATTTGTCTGGTGGAGGGTTTGTCACCTGTTTGTTTCCATGGAGACGTTAATGCTTTGGTTTGAATTGACCACGATATGATATGATATTAAACTAATCAGTCTTGCATTTATTCAACTAAAGCTGTTATATATTACTCAAATATGTCTTAAAAAACATCCATTCTTACTGTGAGTGGGGTCGCCTCTCCACAAATCTAACCTGGACTTTGGCTTGCAAGTCTCCATGGAGATTCAGAAGTTTCTGGGCATACTGTGGAACATTCTAGGCTTATTTCCATGGAGACAAGCAGGTGACAAACCCTCCACCTGTCTTCCGGTCCAGTCCATGTCTACTCTCACCATGTCATATTGTATTGTGTGTTTGTAATGTACGGACGGGGGGGACAGGTCCAGTTTCAATTCCTTTGTATGTCCAGTACATGTGAAGAAATTGACAAATAAAGGCCAATATTAATTCATTCATTCATTCACCAGACAAGTTACACAGTGTATCTTTAATACTCAAGTTTTCGACCCAACCCCTTATGCTGCAGAAGCAGTCCCTGAGGTCAAGTTTAAAATTTCTCGGGATTTTTAGTGCCTTAGTTTTTTCTCCACTACCTCTTTCCACTTTAGTTTTAATCATCTATTGAGACACTTTCTTTCCTTATATCCTTTTAAAATCTAGCCTTGCGCTTTTTCACGGAGCCATCTCGCAGAAGGTACATTTGGACAGGGAACTAAAGAAACAGACACATGAAAGCAAGTGACTGGGAAAATGTGTGCGATTGCAGATTCAAGACGATTTTCCCCCCGAGCAGAATACCTCTTTCCCGGCAGCAGCTACACTTTTATTTTCAGTCATCCTCCTCTGAACAAAGGGAAAGTCTCTGCTGGCTTTATCTCTGTGTGAACAAACGCGCGGAGATGAGGAAATGACAGTGGGACAGGAAGTGAAGAGCTAGTTCTACCTGATTTACGCGAGCTTCCACCTGTCCAAGTCCATATCTCTTATCGGAGTGAGTGAATATAGCACCATGCAAGTCTGTTCAATAGTGTATTATAGATGACCACTGGTAAAGAAGCTGTTATCTGCTGTCACAAAGATGCACTGTGGTGTTGTTTCAAGAGATATAGTATAGTAATGGTTTTCTGAAAAGCATGGCTGTACACTGTTAGATAAAGGTGCACTATGTAACTTTCCTGGTGAATGGTGTGCCACCTGCTTGTCTCCAGAGATGTTATCATTTTGCAGATGGCATTAAAGGACCCATGTTATCATGTGGTTTCCTCATCACAAACATACCTGGAGTTGTGTTTTGTCATATTCAGGCTGTGTTCTGCTCTCAAACTAAAAATTCAAAAAAAAAACTCCATTCCACCTTATGTCATGTGCAAATCTCTGCACACATGGAAGTGGAAATGAAAAAAAAAATCATGTGGTTAAGACAGAATCCACAGCTAACAAAAGGTGACATAAGTTGGTCTGTCAGTTGGAACTACTACTACTACTACTACTACTACTACTACTACTACTACTACTACTACTACTACTACTACTACTAGAATATACTCTAAAGTCTATAGTTTGTACTTTTCCACTGACTTCTTTTAAGCCATTGGCAAACAAAAAACTAGGGCAGAGAACTCTCGAATTTATAGAAAGTTGTCATCAGCATCTGCAAAATCTGGCTTCGTATCCTTTTAGCACAGATGCCAACAGCGGACGGTTCTTAAATAAGGGCTCACTGATGTAATATGGGGCACTGTGGCATTCTGAGAAGGGTCCCCAGCTGCATGCCCCCAATCAGGCGCTGCCAATCTGGAAGCGTGTCAGAGGTAGAATGTGGTCTGATTGCCTTGTCCATTCATTTCCTGCTGTGTTCAATCATAGCTGGCCCTGGTCTCACATGCACAGACAGTAACGGAGGTGTGTGCTGCCATCTGGTGGTTAAAGCAGGCAGTGCATAAGGGCCTCAATTAAACAAATTTGACTCTTGTGAGATTTAAACCACGTTAGAATGGTGTTACAGCCTTAAAAAACGTACTGGAGTTGTGCTTTGTTTCATTCACACATGTTTGAGTAATCTTCTATTATTTGTCTACATCTCCAATACTCAAAATGCTCTGTTCCACTTTGTGATGTCATGTAGTGGTAGTTTTCCAGTTAACAGCGACCTTTTACCTTTTGTTCAGTAGAGACTGATCACAGGCTCCTGAAAATGTGTTGTTCAAATTTTTACGACAATCTTAAAACTTTTTTGTCTGTGTTTGCTAATCTGTGCATCGTGTCACCATGGAAACTTTAGAAAATTCCGGCAATAGTAGACCACCCCCCGCACGGTATCACTGCAAAGTATCAACTACTTCACTACTACCCACCCTCACATTAGTTTAACATCTGAATGAAACTTACCCATCTGAGTCAACGCTGTTTTCATGAATCATCGCTTTCAGGGCATCAGAGTTGGCTGAAAAAGAAATAGAGAAACCGACTTTTTATTGGGGCGCACTAGAGACAGAGAAAAAGACAGAGGAAGAGAGAGAGAAAGAGACAGAGAAAGAGAGGAGGAGATAAAAATATTGTGGCATTAGCACCACACGCTCCAGTGACTTCAAAAGAGCAACGCTTATTGAAAGATCGAGGAGCTGATTATGTCTAATGCAATTAAAGAGCACATCACAAGAACTTACAACAGTTTTATAAGTGAGAAACTAAAGTGAGAGACTAAAACTGCAACTAAAAACAGCTTAAAGGTCCTATATTATGCAAAATTGACTCTTGTGAGCTTTAAGCAATGTTATAATGTTGTTACCTCATCAAAAACATACCTGGAGATGAGTTTTGTTTCATTCACACATGTTTGAGTAACCCTTTGTTATTGTCTACATCTCCAAAACTCATAATGCTCGGTTCCACCCTGTGATGTCATGAAGTGGTAGTCTTTACGATATCTTTAAGTTTTAGTTCAGTAAAGAATTCCAGGCAATTCCAGGTCTGAACTTATCCAAATCATTCTAGTGAAGGTGTGCAGAATTTAAAAAGACAGTGCAGCACTTCCTGTTTTACCACATGACATCACAAAGTGGAAAAGAATGTTATCAGTTTGAAAGAAGAATACTAGGAGGCATGAACTTTTTTCTTATCTGTAATTTTGATGTTGATAAGATCCCTGTGAAAATGTCTGCTTTCCATCGTCAGGCTTTTCTCTCATGGTCTCTCATCTACAAGTATAATTTCTCTCCTCACAACTACTTGATTTGGAATAACAAAGACATTTTGTATAAACATAGATCTCTCTTTTTGGATTACTGGTTTCAAAACAACATTATATGGGTTGACCAACTATTTAATGAGGAAGGACTATTGCTAACATATAGAGAATTTCTTGGAAAATATAATATTCCTGTTACTCAGGGTGACTATGCAAAAGTTTTTGGAGCCATTCCCTCAGGTGTGTGTATGTTATTTAAAAATGTAAGTAGGATTGATACTGAAGCGCTAACTCTTTCATCACTTAAAGACTTCCCTGCAGGGAAGGTTTGCCTTACCAATAATCCTATCAATAATAATCGAGCTGTAAGAGCTATGTTTCAAAAAAGAGTTATTAGTAAAACCCAAAGTCGTTTCATACTGGAATATGTTTGTGGATGACATACCATGGAAGAAAGTCTGGCTTCTACCCAACAGGTATTTAATTACTAACAAAATAAAAGAAGTATCCTTCAAACTTATCCATAGGTTCTACCCAACTAAAACTTATATCAAAAATAGATTTAAGAAAAATATTGATTCTGAATGTAGCCTTTGTGAAGAATGTCCTGAAACTGTTGTGCATCTGTTCTGGAGTTGTCAAACTGTAGTAATTTTTTGGCAGAAATTGTGTGACTATATTCACAATTACATTGATAAACACTTTATTTTGCATTGGAAGAATGTATTGTTTGGCTTGTTTGATTCTCAATTACAAAAAAATTCGGTCTACCTAATTAATCTATTATTATTAATGTCAAAGTATCATATCCACTCATGTAAATTTTCTGGTAAGAGGCCAACCTTTGTTGCTTTCTACAATAGTTTCAAACAATACATTCTTTCAATTAAATTCTCCAAGAAACAGAAGGCACTCGAGACTGTGGAGATCTGTACAGCTCTGAATGTTTTCACTTGAACTCTGACCCCCCTAGTGTGAATGTATAGCATTTCCCCCTTTCCTGTCCTCTTTTATTTCTCCTCCTTTCTTTTTGTTATTTTACTTTTTATTTTGATTTGTTTGTACATGTTGTACGATGGAATTGTTTGGATGGTAATCACAGGTCTTTGCGCACTGCTGGATGTATACACTTTGTCTTTCAATAAAATAAAAAAAAAAAAAAAAAAAAGTTTGAAAGAAGAACTAGGCATGGTGTGTGTGTGTTAAACATGTGTGAATGAAACAAAAAAACAACTAAATACCTCACTAAATACTTCTTATTACATATACACAAAGAATGAACATTAGTGCTGTATATGTTTTAGTCAGTGGTATTCATTGTACTAGTATTAGTAAGTAGTTGTATATGTAATAGGGTTGTCACAAGCATCAAAAATCAGATACTAATAGATATTAAAACTCATATCGAAACTAGATACTTATTTAAGCAGGTATCGATACTAAAAAAGTCACATTCACAAGACAAAAATTAGTCTTTCTTGACCTGTATCGGAACAAGTATAAGAGCACATAGATTAGTATACGCCCATGGACCACTATGAACCTATGGACAACTGAGAGATTACACAGATACAAGGCCGCATGGTAATATAAAAGAACGTACCACGATTTAATGCTGAACACCTAAAAACACACTTATACTATTATTTTCAGTCGATTGTACTTATAGCCATTCTTGAGTCTCCCTTTCTCTTCCACCTTCCCAGGATTTGCATAATTTTTCCTCCTAGGGCCATATTTACCTAAGGGCCAGATGCGTTCACTGACTTGAAAAAAAAAGTAGGTTGGCACAGACATTTTAATACACACACACATACGCACACACAGATTTTGCATGCTCTGGGCAGAGGGAGGTGTCGATGAGTCATGGAGGTGAACGGTGAATTGTACAGTGTTATTACATGTTACAATCTTTCTCAATCCAGCTGTAACCAGAGCCCTTTCATAAGAGGATCCAGTGTGACAGTTGTTTGTCCTAGTTATTTTTAGATCACAGATTTTGTCGTGCTTTTATTTTTGTAACTGGCTTCCTCTTCATGTCTGACGCACGCTGAGTATTAAGACTTGTATTGTCGTGGTCATTGTCAATTTGAATGATGTTATGATAGTAAGAACGGTATCACATTTCACAAACAAGTTCAAATTAGAAATGACATGAATTAAATATTTGTTTTAAAAGGGCGTATATTGTTGTATATTCTGATTCTGGGTTATAACGTTTTTTCATCACAAACATACCTGGGAGTTATGTTTTGTTTCATTCACACATATTTAACATAAAAACTCTGCATATTTAGGCTGAGTTCCTCTCTCAAACTTAAAACCTTGTGATTTCATGTGGTAACAGAGGAAGTGCTCCACTGTGTTTGTAAACTATATATACTTTCACTAGAATCTTTTGGATAATTTCAACCCTGAAATTGCCAATCTCTACTAAACAAAAGAGGAAAACTACCACTTCATGACATCACAAGATGGAGCAAAGTATTTTGAGTTTTGGAGCTGTACACAGACTAATAATAATGGATTGCTCAAACATGTGTGAATGACACAAAACACAACTTTAGACATGTTTTTGTGGATATAACAAAATTATAACATGGCCTAAAGTTCTCAAGAATCCATTTTGTGAAATATATGATCTTTTTTTAAAAAAAAATCTGTCAATAGGTGAAATACTCTCTAAAAATGATGTGTAGATTTTACTTTATTTTTAAATGTATATCTCCAGTTCAAAAAGTTTAACCAAGCAGTTTATTTTCTCAACAGACCACATAATCCTGCCATATTTAAGCACCCACACCACAGTTTACATTTCATTTACATTTCATAATGCCAACAGTAACAGGCCACATATCCATTAAACATTATAGTAGCCACGTGTTTGACGTTCTCTTTCACCACTAACAAATTTTGACAGTCCTGTAACTGTGTCGTAGTGACCTCTAGGTGGCAGCGTTTCCTTGGCTTGAGACCTGATTGAATTAACCTGCTTGAACCGAAATAACAATGAAACAATTCCAAGTATTGTTAATGGAGGCCTTACACAGGAAAAATCTGATTCATTACTATTTCCCGTACACACAAACAACATACTCCCTTTTTCCATTTTACTATAATGTTCATACAAAATACAAAAAAGACTGTATACCACTGTGTGATATACAGTAAATGTAATGCAATGTTGTTAAGAGTTGATACAAAATTTTCAAACCTTGCCACTGTGTCAACACTATCTGCTATTTTTCTTTACTTTATTTGTATTTGTATTATTTATTTTTGTATTTTGTGAGCAAAAATTACCTTCATTTTTCATAATGTAGTGGACGATCTGCCCGACGGTGTCATTGTTATCACTGAAGGTGTCATTCAACTCTGCAAGAAACAAAAACAGACATTATCTTACAATTATAATAGCACAATACCTTATTAACCAGGAAATTTATAGAGAAGGAAGTTTTGGACATTTATAGACCCCACTGTGACCGTTCAAAAGAGTCAGTAAGTCCGTACATTATATTGCAGTCACATTGAAACTGCAATTTGAAATGTTACAATTATTAAACCACAAACTCTTTCTCTTTTTGTGGAATTTGCTAACCCATACGGAAATAGCAACACATATTTCATTCTTCTCTCTGTTTAAAATGCATACAGTGAATTGAATCCGGATTTGAAAACATGAATCACAACACTTAAAAGCCCATATTACATTTTTTTATGCTAAGATACAATGTAGTTTCCTCATTACAAACATAGATGGAGTTGTTTAATTTCACACATGTTTAAAACACAAACCCTGCATATTTAGGTGTAGAGTACTTCTCGCAAACAAAAAACACTCTCTTAGTAATACAGGAAGTGTTCCACTGTGTTTTTAAACTCTGTACACCTTCAGTAGAATCATTTGGATGATTTCAGACCCTGAAATTGCTATTCTCTGCTGAACAAAAGGTAAAAGGAGCTTTTAAATAAAACTACCACTTCAAAACATTCCAAGGTGGAACAGAGCATTTTGAGCTTTGGAAATGTAGAAAGACTAATAATAAAGGATTACTCAAACATGTGGGAATGAAACAAAACACAACTGCAGATATGTTTTTGAGGAGGTAACAATATTCTAACATGTCTTAAAGCTCTCAAGAGTCATTTAATTAGTATATTGCAATTCACATTTCATTCTTCTCTCTGTTTAAAATGCACACAGTGAACTGAATCTTGACATGAATCACAACATTTGACCAAAAAAAACACAATTTATTTACAAAGCCTTGCAGACAGAGTGATCTGGTTGCATTAGGTTTGCCTTAGTTACTTGTTTAGGTAGTCAGTCAGGGAGCCTAGCTATCTCCCTTGGTCATATTGTCCAAGATCCATGTTCTACTATTTAACTACTATTTAAATGTGACCCAGCTCTGTGTAACTGTCACAGTCCAGACATGAGCCTGGCCTACTTCTGATCAGCTGTAATTTGCAAGCTTTATTTAGCACATACACCGACAGGCACTTCCTATCACATCCTGTTCCTTCATACAATTTACTGTTTCAAAACTAGCATCATACCAAATGTGCAGTTGAGTTGAAGTGAAACAAAATTAAGGACACACCGATCTGATACTAGTATCTGATATCAGTGCCGATACTGAAATATTTGCTTGATCAGATCAATCAATCAATCAAACTTTATTTATAGAGTGCTTTTCATACAAAAAATGCAACACAAAGCTAAGCTTTGGTCTTAAGACCTGTGACATAATTATCTTTTTTACTACTAACTATCTGGAATCTGGAAACTTATACTAACTGTCTGGAATCTGGGACACTAACTATCTGGATCATTACATAAATAAAAAAATAAAACCCTCTGCAACATCAGCACATACAACAAAAACAAAGTACAGACATAATTGACAAGACTATCAACTGGAGTTGACCCCAAAATATAGAGAGGCAGCCTCTAGATCCTGCAGCCAGGGGGCGCAAAAAAAAAGTTATATATTTGTAAGATATCCCTTACAAATATCAGTTCAGTCGATATCTTAGTTGGACATACTAGTATACAATGATGTAATAAGACTATTTACTGGGTATAGACGACCTAGAAAGCCTCATAACGTTTGAGCTTTTATTTAATATTTACATAAACTTTTTCTGTTGTTACTTGAGAGGTAGGTAACAGCTATGTAACACATTTGGATCAGTCTTATTTTATTTTTATTTAAAGGAACTAAATACTTTTTAGTCTCTGCACTTACAGCAGTTTCGGCAGATACTTAAAGCTATAGTGTCATAATCGTATCAGAAGTGAAAATGTTGGTTCAGTGCGTTCCTAAACTAAACAATAAATGCACTTTTGCTACTCAACAGTGTATTTGGTGTCAGTGGTCTCTGCGATTTCAAGTAGTTGGTAACGTCACGTATGACTGCCCTGATTACAGCTAGGAGTTTCTGATACAAACACTTGGCTGCAGGGGCAGAGATTGAAGTGTAGAGACCTTTTCGACCAATCATAAAGTTCCTTATAGCTCCAGATCCCACCTCTTCTCCCACCTCACTCTTTTCATTGTGCTGCGTTTATGTGATCTCCATTTGAAAGTTGTGCAAAACCCCCTGTAGCTGGTGTGACATACTTACTGTGACTGTAGACTGTATAAAAAGTGGACTAAGGAAGTGTGTTGACAACCATAGTGTGATTGGAGCTGGAAGCGTGCCCATGCTCATGTCCTATTTGGAACATGGCAGCTTGTGGGTTAGCTGTGTCCATTTATACAGTCAGTGGGATAAAATTATTATTTTTTGTTGCAAAAGTTGTATTACTACTTAATTGAATTTTGGCATAAATAGGTTTAATTTGTAAAGTAGAACCATCAGTGTAAAACAAGATCCCTTTCAGTTTGTCACCGCACTATTTTCCAATCCCAAACGAACTCCTGTCACGGTAATGTAAACTTCCAAGGCTTCAGCACAAGTTTCCGAGTCGAAATTCTGACTCGAGTTTGCATTCATTCCCATTTTTCCAAGTTGGAGGTCAGAGCAGAGTTTCCGAGATCACATAAATGCAGCATTAGTCCTCCAGGTCCTTAAAGGGCACATATTGAGCTGTTTTCTGATCTATTTTACAATGCTGTTTTCTCATCACAAACATACCTGAAGTTATGTTTTGTTTCATTAACCTTCCACCTTGTGATGTCATGTAGTGATACAGGAAGTGTTCCATGAGTAAAACCTCATATGATGATTTCAACCCTGGAATTTTCCATCTCTACTGAACAAAAAGGTAAAAGGCAACTGCTGAAAACTACTGCTTCATGACATCACAAGGAAGAGCAGATTATTTTGAGTTTTGGAGATGTCGACAGACTAATAATAAACAGGTTATGCAAACATGCGTGAATGAAACAAAGCTCAACTTCAGGTCAGTGATGAGGTAACAAATGTATAACATGTTTTAAAGCTCTCAGGAGTCAATTTTGCATTATAGGACCTTTAAACTGTGGAAAACCAAGTCTGTGAAATCTTTTAATCTGGCCTTTTACTGTTTTGTTATATCTCTTTATAACTGTATTGTATTTTGTAATTGTTTTCTGCGCAGTTTTGATATAATATGGCATATTTAAACTGTAATTACAGATGTTCTTTAATATGCACTATCCCTATCAAATAAATAAAACAAAAATAAAATAAAATAAATAGGTACCAATTAAGCAGCTATACCTGAAATGTAGTTGTGTGGGTGGAGTTTAGCTGTTTAGTACCACTTTAAAAACATGACAAAACATGGCCAAAAGTCAACATACAAGAAGCCAAGCCACAATGCAACCTGATCACACACAACGTCATGAGGTTTCACTATTTCTGAGTCCTTTGTTTCCACATGAGAAAGAGGGCTGGGCCTGGAGCCTGCTGAAAGGACAATGACAAAACCTCTAAAGGAAAACACAAGTGTATTACAGGAATTACTATGAGCGGTGTAATAATTAACAAGGTACAAGGCAATAGTTTCAGGATGTGAGTGTCATGCCCAAATAAAGCTTCAAGCACTGTATTTATTCAGTGCTTACCATTAATAAAGCAGACTGTAGAGTCCTTCCATTGCTTAGTTTTGTCCCCACAGTCTTCAGAGTCTGAATTTCGTGAGCTTTAAGTCATGTTAGAATGTTGTTAACTCCTCAAAAACATACCTTGAGTTGTGTTTTCTTTCATTCACACATTTGAGTAATCATGAAGGATTACTCAAACATGTGTTTTAGCCTGTCAACATCTCCAAAGCTCAAAATGCCTCTACCTTGTGATGTCATGAAGCAGTAGTTTTCAAGTTAACAGCTACCTTTTACCTTTAGTTCAGTAGAGAGCTGAAATTATCCAAACTATTCTAGTGATATATGTATGGAGTTTAAAAACAAAGCAGAGCACTTCCTATATTACCACATGACATCACAAGGTGGAACAGAGTGTTTTCTGTTTGAGAGAAGGGTTAAACAAGTAAACATGTGAACAGTACATTTTAAAATAGTGTAATAGTAACAGTACCTTTCACATGGGCCAGTTAGAGAAGCTGAATTATACTTTTTGCTAGTTGTATTATCATAAATATTAATCATGGAATTTCTCAAACATTTAAATTCAAAGGAGTAACTTTATTTAATCTAATCCTTCCTTTTTGATGAGTAGAGGCAATGATAAATGACATATTTACTTCAAAAACTGTATTCAACAAAATGACTCAATAAAAGGATGCCTTGTGCCACTGTAGGCTCATATATACTTCATTATTTCTGCACCCTCACTTTCACTTTAAGCTATTATTGTCAGTAAGTGCACATCTTAGATCAAGAGCAAGTCACTAATTAGACAGTTACTACAATTATCAAATCGTAAAGACTGTAATTATATTGACAATAGAGTGTCCTCTGCAAAGAACATAATATCATTTTATTTTTATACAAAAATGTGGCTGTACCTGTAGTTTAGAGCTGAACAAACATGTTCTGAAATGCGTGGGTTTTCTGCATTGATTTAGCATTTCAGATTCCAGTCGTCTTAATGCTCATATAGTTGTTTATTACGTGCATTTTAAACATGAAATATTTCATACAAGAATATCTCAGATACTTTGCAGCTGATGTCATTAAAATTCCCAGGGGGTGTGAAGCTAACTGTATATGCTCTGCTCTGTCTGCTCTGTGAGACTTTAATCTGAGCTTTAGTTTAAACACAATATGACCATAAAGAACTGACTTAACTGGAACTATAACAGAGGAGATGATTTGTGCTTTTAAATAAACATACTGTCTAGCATTAGCCAGTAGTTTTACATTCTCACCATTTTTGTTGAAAATCAAACACCTCAACAGAAACATGAATGCTTGTATTGGTCACAGGCTACTGAAAATGTGTTTAAATGTGTTTTTTCAGACAATCTGAAATCTTTTTGACAGTGTTTGCTAATGTCTGTGTGTGGTAACTGCTGAACATTCCACCATAAAGACATGTACAACACTCCCAGCGCGATGTCACCACAGAGTATCAATTCTGCTCCCAAAGTCCAGCATTCACAAAATATATTATATAGGAACTACCCTACACTGTAGCTCAGATGTAAAAAAATATATATAATAATAAAACAAAGCCTTGTAAATTATTTTGGTTTTCCGTTACATTGGTGTATATGATAAAAGTTCACCACTACAAAAACGCCACAACCTTTTATGCCCCACTTCCTGCAGATTACAATCTTTTTTGTGTTAATCTGAGCTGTCTTCACCTCAGCTCACACGCCCCTAACTGCGTCATAACAACCAGCATTTTATTACATGGGACTATTCTATGGAACAAAAAACTAAATTATAAAAGAAAAAAAACTTTGTCTCTGGGGTAGGAATTTGTTACCATAGTGATTAGTGTGCAGGAGGCTACAAGTACTGACCACATGCAAACTGACTCCAAATCACATGACCTGAATGTACTGGTGAATCATTTGTAAATGCACGTGAAAGTTAGCATTGGACTTCAAATTAGAACACATTACATTGGAAGCAGTTGTAAACAGGCTTAGACACAGATGGATTTTATTTATTCAAAGATTTAACTCTAATCCCGGGGTGTGTTTTGGTGATTAATGTCTATATAAGAAAACATTGTGGAAAGTTACTTCAGTTTGAACATAGGTGATGCTGATAAGGATAACCTGAACTATTGCAGACAAGTTGGAATTCCTTGTATTTCGTAATTGAAAGATATGGATACATGGAATGAAGTGATGGTTGGGTAAATTTGCAGGTGTAAAGGTGCATTGTACTTTTCCGGTGGAGGGTCCGTCAAATATTTATTTCCATGGAGGAGTTTTTGCTTTGTCTGGACTGTTTCACAGTATGGAATTAAACCTTTCTGTCTTCATGGAGACCAAACCAGGTCAAGTTGTAGGTCAGATCTGTGGAGAGGCAACTCCGCTCACAGTCAGAAAGTCTGTTTTTTATGTATTTTTGAACTCTAAAACCACCTTTAATTGAATAACTGTAAGGTAGAGCTATTCAATGTCATACTGTGGAACATTTCAGGCAGAGCATTGTCATCTCCATAGAAACAAGCAGGTGACAAATCTAAAAGTTACATAGTGTGCCTTTAAAGAGCCCATATTACATTATTTCCTGCTCTATGTTTCCTTATCAAAATGAGTTCAGTATTTTGTTTCATTCACACCTTGTTCCAATTTGTGATGCCATGTTGAAAAACAGGAAGTGCTCCATTGTGTGTGTAAACTGCATACACCTTTACTAGAATCATTTGGATGATCTCAGCCCTGGAATTACCAATCTCGAGTGAAGAAAGGGTAATAGGTAGCCATTAATTTCAAAAATTCATGACATCACAAGGTGAAACAGAACATTTTGAGCTTTGGAGATGTACACAGACTAGTAATAAATGGTTACTCACAACTTCAGGTACTTCAGGTTTTTTGAGGCGATAACAACATTCTAACATTGCTTAAAGATCACAAGAATCAATATTGAGTAATATAAGACCTTAATCTGGACTAGAGTAGACAACATTCTGTGGTATTATGAGATTAAGACAAGAGCCTAACTGTACATTTCTGGGGGTTTTTGCCTCTAGACACCCAGATAGTAATTTAAAAGTTTCACCGTTAGTAGCATATTTGTAAAATAAAATAAAGGTGCATTGTCTAACTTTTCTGGTAGAGGGTCCAACAATTTCTTTTCTGCATTGAAATGTTATTGCTTAGTCTGGTTTCTTCCACAGAGTAGTACTAACCCTTTCTATCGTTCATGGAGACCAAATCCCAAGTTACAGGTCAGATCTGTGGAGAGGCGATCCTGCTCACAGTCAGAATGCCCATTTTCCTAGGTATTTTTTTTTAGCTATAAAACCATCTATAATGGAATAAATGCAAAATACAGCTGTTTAATGTCACACTGGAACATTCCAGACAGAGCAATGACATATCCACAGAAACAAGCAGGTGACAGACCCCCAACCAAGAAGTTACACTGTGCACCTTTAAACTAATCAATATACATCAGCATTAAGTGCTAACATCTACTAACTATTTGAATAATGGCAAAACTACAAAACAGAAACAAGTGACGATAGGCCTGTTTCTTTCTCATTAGACTTTCACAAACAGTATCATGCATGTGGTCTGCATCTGTTAATGATTCTGAAGCTGTCACAGATCCATCACGTGTCACAGAGAATCCTCCGAGGGGGGGGGGCCAATGGGGGCTACTGAAGCTGCAAAGGTTTCAAAGGACATCTCCAAACAGAAAATCCACAAATGCTGAAACTTATCACTGTGTCCACAAGCTTTTAGGTTCGTACTAACTTTCAATGGTACCACTTTTTGATGCCACTGTGATTAAATTATTTTTATAACCTGTGTCCAAAGCTCAAAATGCTCCATTCAACCTTGTGATGTCGTAAAACTATAGTTTTCAAGTTAACTGCTACCTTTTACTTTTAGTTCAGTAGAGATAGCAAATTCCAGATCTTAAATTATCCAGATGATTACAGTGAAAAGTGTGTTTTCTATTTGAGAGAAGAACTCAGACCAATATATACAGAGTATGTGTGTTAAACATGTGTGAATGAAACTAAATAAAACTCCAGTTATGTTTGTGATGAGGAAACAACATTATAAGAGATCAGAAAATAGTGTAATATGGACACTTTAATCAACTAATTAAACCCTACTCTATTTCACAGCTTGCATACCTCCCATCTCCAGGTCTTGCTCCAGCCCGTTGCACTCATGTTGCACAGGTTTTTCTTCATCTTCGGCCTCGGTGGTGCAGCGGTAGCCCTTCCTCTTCAGCACGTGGCAGATGATGACTCCGATCAGACCCAAGAGGAAGAAGGTGGGCACCAGGGCGAATGCTGTGAAGTCATGGCTGCTGTGTGTGCCATCATCGTTCTTGACCGTCACTGCGGGTTTATCTGCTAAAAAAACAAAACACAATGCAATGTAATATTTATTTATATTGAAATTTCTGAGTATATTCTTTTTGGTGTAGCTTTCTACTATAATGTTGTTCCTTTATCCTGCAAGAGATTTTAGATATCATCCATGCATGTTTGAGTAATTTAGTGATCTCTCCCAGGCCCTATTCAAACCCTCCTTACGTATAGCTGTAAGATGCTGCCCAATACTCCAACCACAAGGACAATTTTCTATAAACATACAAAACCATGAAACAAAACTGTACACAGCAACTTGACAAACCTGAGGTGATGTGTAGTAGTTTCATTGGCGAGATGCACGCGGATTGTGTTGTGATAACGCTCTGAAGGGGAAATGACTTAGCAACAGAGAGTAAAAGGTACGTGAAAGCGAAACCTATTAAACACGTGAATACATTGTTTTCTGCGAATAAAGCATTTTCAAAACAATAAAAGGTAATATGGTGATCTAAATATGTTGTGTTAGCAATTTATACCCCATAGAAGTAAAATTCCCCCTCTATAACAACAATAACTACAATTTAAGGATCCTGGCTATATAAATGTAAACACTATATACTATTTTTAATGTGTAAGTCAAACAAGTATAATTATATTTTGAAACCGAATACGAGGAGCTATATTTAACCCCAAGTCTGAACAGCTGAAGGATTTAAAACGCCTGCTCTTCCAGGATCAATAAGGAATCCAGCTCATGCCTTTGCCATGCATTGTCTGATCTGGGTTAAGATGTCTTTTGGGTCTGATCTATGTCATAATGTTGTTTCCTCATCACAAACATACCTGGAGACGTGTGAATTAAGCAAATGTTTAACACACAAATCCTGCTTCTGCTCTCAAACAGAAAACACTGTTCCACCTTGTGATGTTATGTGCTAATTCAGGTGCTCCACTGTGTTTTTAAACTCCATACACCTTCACTAGAATCATTTGGGTGACAAACAGTATCATGGCAAAAGTTAGCTGTTAACTTTAAAAGTACCATTTCATGACATCACATGGTGGAAGTAAGCATTTTGAGCTTTGGAGATGTAGACAGACTAATAAAGGGTTACTCAAACATGTGTGAATAAATCAAAACTCCAACTTCAGGTTTGTTGTTGATGAGGTAACGGTATTATAACATGGCTTAAATATAAGCTATGAGGAATATAAGAGCTTTAATTTGAGAGAACTTATAAATACATGGACAAAATGGGTATGGGTAAATAAGTACTGTTGCACCACACTTAATTTCGCAAGAACTTGACTTTACATGACTCTGTTGTAACGGAAGAGTTATATTTTGCCTTCAAATACAACTGGAATCGAAACTAGATACTCATTTGAACAAGTAATGATATTAAAAAAGTCAGATTCTCAGGATAGAAATGAACCTTTCCTGAATGGCTTTAGAATAATCTTGAGCTGTATCAGAAAAAGTATAAGACCACAGACTAGTTTACACCCATGGACAATTATGGACCCTACCTGGATGAGTGAGGAATTGCGCAGATATAAGACCAAATGGTTAGAAAAAGTATAATGATTTAATGTTGAAAATCCTGTTCTGTTGTCTAAATAATTTGTGTTTTTCATCATCATTGTGGTATTGGAATCTGTATTGAGTATCGGGTCTATTCCTTATCTAAATCAATTTCAATTCAATTCAATTCAAGACTACCTTATTGTGTGGTAACAATGACTCCTGACTCATGTGTGATTCATTTGTTTATCTGAAGACCAAAGTGGAGAACAATTCTAGAAAAACATAATAGTTTTAGTGTCCTCTCCCACCCACTTCCACTCAGACTTTGGACCCTTTGACACTTGTTTATGGGGGATTCACTGACTAAGAAGAAAATATGATTTATGCATTTTCTTCCACATCACTGTGCTGTATCCAAGGCGCAGATTTAAAACACAGGAGGCTCTTGTACACTGTGAATGTGGTCACAGATGAATCAACCATGCCCCTGGAGACACCCCACACTAAAGCTACAATTACAGAGACAAAGAGACAAGTGACAATGAGTAATGATGGTTAATGCATTTTTAGTATTTGGAACATGTTGATTTCTTGGTAGATATTTGCTATCTATTGTTGAGATATAGTCGAGATAGAGATTGCTCTACCTGGAATGTTCCACAGTATGACATCAAACAGCTTTACCTTACATTTATTCAGTTACAGGTGGTTTTATAGCACAGAAATTCCTAAAAAAAAAAACATTCATTTGACTGTGAGCAGGGATGTCTCTCCACGGATCTGACTTGTAACTTGGCCTGGTCTGGTCTCCATGAAGATAAAAAGATAAAATACCATACTGTGAAACATTCCAGACAAAGCAATAACATCTCCATGGAAAAAAGCATTTGACAGACCCTACACCAGAAAAGTTACACAGTGCACCTTTAAATCTCAAGCACAGGCCAATATTTTGTTTTGGGTGACCTGCAGCCTTAAAAATCACCACAAAGCTTTATTTGAACACTCTAGTGCAAAGAGAGATAATTGCTGAAAACATGACTATGCAGTTTTCTTATGGGTTTGAGGTGGGAAAGAGCGAGTGTTTAGTATATTTTAATTATAATAAAAGTGTATTGTATTTGTACAGGTTACCAGCCTTCAGTAGACCTGAGCCACACCACGCCCTTCTGTTCTGACAGATGTCTAACCACAAATTCAAAGTACAAATATCTAAATATGTGCCAAGCTTTGACCAGCGCTGTTCACAAGATACCAGATTTAGAGTACATAAACATACTTAAATTGGCAGGCATCTAAAACACAGATAAATAGACCAAATAAATATAGAAAACATGCAAGGTAAAATGTTTCTATGCATGCTTGCCATACAAAATCAAAAAACAAAAACAGAATCACACAAAGGCATCTAGTTTTACACAAAAATGTATAAAATTGGCATAAAGGAGGCTCCTGAAAATGTGTTGCTTTGTAATTTAATTTTTTTTTTTTTCTATTTTACAATATTAAAACCCTATCCCTGACCTTTATTGGAATTTCTTTTGTTATGCCTTATCCAGCCAGGGACCACATAACCTACTATAGACCTGTCATATTTGAATTCAGGGATTGTTTTATCTCATGTTCAGTGTTCTGCTTATTTGAAGTTGAATTTACAAAAAATGTGAAAATCGTGCTCAGGCTTTTGATTCTGAAGTCAATATTTGAATGGGCCAGAGGTTGGAGGTCACGAAAGCTCCTGAACCGAGTGCTGCATTCCACTACCACGCACAAACGACCCTTTGTGTGCTTCCTGTTAACATTACTGAATGAGATTCACAAGTCAAAGACAAGATGAGAGGAGAGTTTTGGAAAAGCACCGTCAGATTGAAGTCAGGGTTTAGTTAAACAAGGGAATTCTCTGAGTGAATGCACTGGCTAACCACATACTAGCTGAAGCATACAGGGATAGTGCAGTACCATTGTATCTGAGCGAACAGACTCAAACAGGCCATTGTCCAGTCTCTGAGCACCCTGTGACCACCCTGCCCATGTGTTTAAACAGGCCATGAATGAAGAGAAGTTAAATCATGAAAATCTCTGCTCTAAACTGTTCTAAACAAGAATCAAAACTTTTAAGGTCCTATATTACGCAAAATTGTCTCTTGTGAGGTTTAAGCCATGTTAGAATGTTGTTGCCTCATTGAACATGTTTGAGTAATGCTTTATTATTAGTCTGTCTACACCTCCAAAGCTCAATATGACATACAAATGACATCACAAGGTGGAACAGAGTGTTATCTGTTTAAGAGACGAACTTAATCTAAATATGCAAGTTCACTGTGTTAAACATTTGTGAATGAAACAAAACATAAATCCAGGTATGTATTTCATGAGGAAACAGCATTATAACATCAGAAAGATCAGAAAATACTGTAATATAGGACCTCTAAATTTGAACCTTTTCCAAGCAGTAAAGCCATTTACACACAACCTATATTCAAAAAGCAAAATGATTGATGATGCAACTTTCCTGGTGAAGGCGCCTGATAACTTCTTGTCTGATAACGGTTTGTCTGGAATCTTCCATAATGTGGTATTAAACTTAACTGGAAAAGTAGGCGACATAACAAGATAATATTTGTGTAAAAGGTGACCTCAAAAATACAAGATACTTAAATGTGCATTGTGTAATTTTTCTGATGGAGGGCCCATCAAATAATTTTCTGCTATTGCTTTGTCTGGAATGTTTTACAGTATGGCATTAAAACTTTCTATCTTCATGAAGTTCAAACCAGACAAAGTTATAGGTCAAATCTGTGGAGAGGCAACCCCGCTCACAGTCAGAATGCCTGTTTCTCTAGCTGTAAAATGATCTGTAATTTAATAAATGTAAGACAGAACTGTTTAATGTCATACTGTGAAACATTCCATACAGAGTGATGACATATCCAAAGGAACAAGCAGGTGAGGTACGCTGAACCAAAAAAGTTTCATAGTTCACCTTTTAGTTTAATATCATACTGTGGAACAATCCAGAAAAGCAACATTTCATGGAGACAAGCAAACCCTCCATCAGAAAAGTTACATAGTTCAGCTTTAATGCATATACTTTCTACTTAACAAACCATTCGTACAGCTTTGCAAATATCTTCATATGCTGGCCCATTAACTTTAGAATTGTAGAAAAACATTACCTCTGGTCTAACATTTTCCTTCACGAACGCTCCTCCCTGTCAGCTGAGTGAATACTACAGCCAACAATCTTCTCAAAATCTGTTATTTATTGATATTTGTCCAAGAACGTGAATGCATTTTTGCAGTGTGTCAAACTGTAAACCTGAAATGAATAGCTGAGTTAGACTGGGCCTGATAAGCTTCTCCGTCCCACTAGAGTAATTTCCTGCGTCTTAAAGGATCTGGCCTCCGCTCGAGGTTATTGACGTTTGCGCTGCGGGTTTCACCAAATGATGTCCAATCAATTCTCTGCAAAAAAACAGAGCAGTGATTTGACTTCATAAATATTTCACTATAAAACTCTCTCGTCTTGGTCCAAATAGTCCTCTTGTTGGCAACTACAGCACTTAACACAAACTGCACTTAAGGTTATTATAAATAGACAGTCAGGCAGTCTAATATGAATACAAATAAAAATGTAAATAATAAAATATGCATAAGAAAAAATGCTTTGGTCAATGGTCACATATTTATACAGCGCTTTTTCACCTTCACTCAGCACTTTACATCAAGAAAACACTCACCCATTCACACACACATTCATACACCAGTGTACGCAGACATTGGGGGCGAGATGGGTAAGTGTCTAGCCCGAGGACACAACATCAGCATTCATCTGTTGGAGCTGGTATTGCACTGCCAACCAACTGAGCTACTGTCAACATGCAAAAGCAAATTTTCCAAAGTACCGGTAGTTGAAACTTTGAAAAGCAGTTGTTGGGAGCAAACAGGGAAGAGACGAGACACGACAAGACAAGACACGAGATTTGGTCCATGAGAACAAGACAAAATAAGATTTTTACATAATTTATAATATGAAAATAATGCAATTTAGTTCCCAAGGTTGGCTTCAGAATTTGTATTTACTTCATTTAATATTGTTATCATTCTAGCAGTGCTTTTTGGAACTACAACTTCTCAAAAGATTCAACTCACAGCCACACTTAACCTTTTTTTGTTCAACCCAAATAGGGAAAAAAAATTCATTATTTTTCTTGTGTTCACAGTCTTATGGTGATTTTGTCTCGTGAGATCTTGTGGCACAAGAGCTTGTCCCATCTCTAGTAATAGATAACCCTATGTCCTGTCAATCACTATTGTATCTCTGCACTGCTTCTTCTTTTGCATAGTTGTTATATTTTGTATTACAGACCATTTGAAAAAAATTGTATATCATGAAAAAGTTTCTTTGTCACATTTCAGACAAGTCAGACCACATATTATGTAGAATCATGACACAAAGAGTGAAGCCGCTTGTGTAAAGTTGTAGTTGGCAGTGAATGTATTATGCTGACATCAGGACAATGACAATGCCAAGGGTCAAAAAACACTGAACTTGTTCCTTATTTCCGACATCGAGATATTGAAGAGGTGCTATTTTAGATTTTCCGTGAAATTCCTCACAGTTTGCATAATGAGTGCCCTTGTAGTCCAACTCCAATCTAATCCAGTGTTACTCTAGGCCTCTTATGATAATTACAATATAAATTTATCATTCTATATATGAAAGCTGGAAATATATATTTTGGGCTTAATATTTATTGTGGGTACAATTTTCAATATGTATGTAGTAATGTAAGATTTGACCTGTAAAATAAAATAAAAGGTAGAATAAAGAACTTCTTTATGTATATATATATAAAATACTGTTGATTTAAAATTGGATATAGCGGGATTCTACTGCTTTGTGTCAGTGGCATATAGAAGTTTCAATATTATAGTTTATCACAATATTTCTCTGTATAGGAATATATGATGCTTCAAAATGTTACTGTGACAGGCCTATGTTACTTGTTATTATTGTGCTCATCTGGGAAATGCTAAATGCTTTTCTCATTTACCATAAACCACTGATTCTGTAAACAGTTACAACACTATCCCAAAATGACCAGCACCACTAATGGAGACTAACAGCAACATTAGACACTCATCCACAAACCTGAAGTCGCAGTTTGAATCTTTGAATCTTAGACCATACTGTCAGTGTGTCTCTGTGCACTTCACCCACCTTGACTATGTACAAATGTAATGGGAGCATGAGTGAAATTGGAAGTGATGTTAGAGGCACCAATGGCACAGATTGTCAGTCTCTTTTCTGTCAGTCTACCCCAGGGCAGCTGTGACTTAAACAGTAACCTTCCACCACCAAATGTGGAATGAATGTATAATGATTGCAGTGTATCGATTTGTCAAAATTGTAATGCACATAATCGTATTATTAAGGTGTTATTATTAGCCTATAATGTGATTGCTCAGATAATAATTGGTCCAGGCAATTGTCAGCAAATGTTATCAAAATAATAACAAGTAGAAACCAACAAATGAACAGAGGCCACAGAACGCTGCTTCAGTTTGTGTGAAAAATGTTTTGAACGCGTCAGCACTGGCATTGAATTATTCTAGTCCAAATCGGACCATCTGTCACATTTAGAAATTAGACAAACAAGTTGGATAATGGTGGTGTTTTGCAATGTGATATTTATTCTGAGATGAAAAAAACTGCAGAAACATTTTAATAATATAAGACAATCGCTGAGGTTGATGTCACTGAGGTCAAATGTAAATTCGGCCTTACTTCCAAAATTACATTCCTTTTCTTACACTCCACCCGATCTTGTCAAATCAACCCTGATCTGCAGTTAGCTGTAATTACACAACATCCTGTCATGTTACACTGGAAGAAGCCACGACAATGTAAAGTATTTACTTCATGTGTGCCTGCAGCAGCAGGCCATAGGCTTGAATCAGAACTATCACAGAGAAGACAGGTACTCTACTGTGTTATAACCACGGTGGAGTGTCATTGAGATGAAATGGAGAACGCGCTTCTTTAATTAGATCAGGAGTAATAGGTCGGGCCACAAGTAAGCTCCAGAATCCTCTGGCCCCTGTGGAAAATGGAAACAGACCAGCTTTGGTCTTTCCTCTGTCGGGCCACGTGAAAGACCAACCGCTGATTGGACGCAGTCAGGTCTCATAGAGTCTGCTGGACAAAATGACATCTGTGCACAAGGATGTACAACCTGTCCATCTGCCGCCATCAAACCTCAGTACGCATATGACAACAAAAATAACTATCCTATCATTAAAGCAGGACATCTCTATAATGGAGCCGTGCAGAGTCGCTGCCATGCATGCCAGTGCATCTTCACATGTAGGCAGGGTAAAGTGAATTGACTCTAGTTTTAATCTTGCCTTAAAAGTTACAAGCATGGCTCAAAGAGCACATCTATTCTACTGGATTCCTTCTGATCAGGCAAACTGCTCATAAAAATCACGAGTTCAGGATAAACATTACAGACTCCACTCTTCTCTCCCGATAATCGCTGCAGCAAAACTCCACCGGAGAAAAACAACAGAACGAACTTACGCGACACGGCGGTAGAGTTGGCCATGGAGGGACCGGAGGACCGCAGCGATGGCCGGGGCTGTTTGTGAGAGGCCGCCGCGGGAGGATCACCAACTGGTCAAACTAAAGTCAAAGGAGGGACTTCTTCATGACAGGTCTGAATTTCCTGATTGCCCAAACTCAGGACCCGCCCTGATTTTCGAAGAAGCTCGGCCTCCAGCAAAGAGCTGAACATCAAGATAAATATAACACTTGAACTTCCGTATTTGTAGACTACATGACTTTTCTTTATATTATATTTCAGTGTCTTTTGATATGTCTATGTCAGTAGGCTATCTGTATGTAAATGTAGAATGAAACATTAGTCAGAATAATTTTATGTGCAAACCGTCCTCACCTAACTGTTACTGAACTGTTGTTGACAGACAGTTGAGTCTCTCCGGCCCGACAGGGGGCGCTACAGTGCACGTGCAGACTCGCTGTGATTGGTCCATTCATGTTCCGCTCGTGGACGCGGTTTGTTTGGATCATATTTGGTAGCGCCGTTGTTCATGTAAAAACAGTGCCACAAAACTCAAAATCTACGTCTTATTTGAGTTAAATTAACTACGGGTCACGTTTTATAGTAACAAACGGTTAGATATAGCGTTGAAATGGACGATATGGCACAGGCTTTGCTGAAGAGACTTGTTAGGCGGATACCGAGTCATAAGCTCCAACCTACCCTCGAAAAGTGGGGTCGTATGGAGAAAGCGCAGCTGGAGTCCATGGATTTTACCCTGTCGAAGTATTCTTTAACAGAAACATTACTCTCAATCTGCGAGGTGAGGGTTTTTTTTTTTATCTCCTCTAAGGTGTGGCAATTCAGCTTCGATCTCGTCACTGGTTAAAGGTGCACTGTGTAACTTTTCTGGTGGCTTGTTTCTATGGAGATGTATGTGCATTGCCTGGAATTTATACAGCACGGCAAAAAGGGCCCGTATTATTATTTTGTAATGTTGTTTCCTCATCGCAAACATGCCTGGAGTTGTGTTTTGTTTCATTCAAACATGTTTAACTCACAAATTCTGCATATTTAGGCTGAGTTCTTCTTTCAAACTGAAAACACACTGTTCCATCTTGTGATATAATGTGGTAAAATAGAAAGTGCTCGACTATGTGTTTTAACTTCGTACACTTTAAGTAGAATCATTTGGATAATTTCAGATCTGGAATTGCCAGTCCCTACTTAACAAAAGATAAAAGGAGCTGAAAACTACCACTTCATGACATCACAAGGTGGAACAGCATTTGGAGATTTGGAGATGTAGACAGTCTAATAATAAGGCAGGTATGTGTGTATGAAACAAAACACAACTCCAGGCATGTTTTTGAAGAGATAACAATATTCTAATATGACTTAAAGCTTGCAAGAGTGAGTTTTGTCTAATATAGTACCTTTAATACAAGATATAAAGTGTATTCATGTTTTTTTCTTGTAGGAAAGTAACTGGAATACTAAACATATAACAGAATTGGAGTTATTGTGTAAGTAAATATTATTATTTCTATAAATGGTTGCCAGTTGGAATGATTTGTCAATATCTTCCCTTTTTTTTAATGTATTTATTGTTTAGATATAATTGACAACCCAAATGTGGGAATGTGGCATGCCTACCAACTTGCTGACCCAGAAGGTATATTGTAATTTTTATTAAAATTTTTAACTGAAATGTACTGAAATATAATTTTATGTGCATTTCATTGTTCTCAAGACGATGCCCACACTGTTGAGCTGATGCAGTTTAAAGAGCAATTTAAATCACACCTCACTGAACTAATACAAAATGTAAGTAAGTCACATTTATGTAACTTTAACCGGGTGAATTCTATAGTAACAATCTTTATCTATATCCCGCTTCATGTTTTGTTTTGTTTTTTATAATCACAGGTGTCCATCAAAATAAAGAAACACACAGATGAGGCAGTATGGATCCGGCTTGCATGGGGTGAAAGTTTTTCCAGGCCCAATCATTTTCGACCGACATATGTGGTACACTATCTCCAGTCTCCCTATGTGTTCATGACCAGCCTAAGCTCAAAGCGGAGGCCTTTGGTATACCAGGTAAATGAAATATGCATTACAATTAGAGATCGACCGATATATTATGGATGATGCTGATACCCATGATTTAGGATCCAGAAAAAACAGTGGCCAATAATGTCTGCTGATATTTTTTGGGCAATATATAGGGATGATTTTGGTTAAAAAAAAAAAAAAAAAAAAAAAAAATATATATATATATATATATATATATATTATTATTATTATTATTATTATATTTTTTTTAAATTTAGGTCAAACTCATCCACGACCTTGTCTTACTACAAACTGCATAAGAGCTCATTTTTGCAGTACCCTCTCTGTGTTTCTTACAGGTTTATACTAAGACTATGGTGGCACAAGTGATCCAAATTGGAATTATTTTCTTTAATGCAGTATTTTGGTGTATAAATGTTACTTATTGCCTCCTCTGAACAAAAAAGCACTGATGAACGATTAAACATGGTTACATTAATGTTTATGTAATTTGTTTTGTTTTGGGGGGTTTTGCGCTCAGCTAATTTTTATACTGCTGGGATAAAAATTAGACTATATGTCTCTGTATTAAAGGGAAATACTGCTCTCTGGACTAAAATATTCAAATAAGGCTTTATGCATATACTCTTGATGCATATGGAGGCAGCTTTTTGGCCAAACAAAATATCAGTCCCAGCTGGAGATTTAAGACCAGTAGTTGTGGACAAATTGAGGAGGCTGACAGTTTTTCAATGTAAAGTGAACAGACACTATGGAGCCAGAAGTGCCTACATGTTGACTTCTTATTTAGAATGTGACGGCTAGTGGATTAGCTATGTCCATTTATATATTCAGTCTATGGTTGAAAATGCAAAAAAACCCGCAAATATCTGCCCGATATATTGGTCTATCTCTAAATACAATTTAAAAACTACATACAAGGCAGATTCTTATGTGTTCTCACATACTGCTCTGTGCTTTGTAGGCTTTGGTATTTGCCACTAGATACCAATCCGTAAAGGATGCTAATCTCAGTGGACGCAAGCTTGGTGCAATCAGGGATCTGCTCATGAGACAATATGAACAGGTAATGAACCAAATTTGGCTTTCTGTTTCTGTTGTTTATATTTTGCATAGTAATTATTTGTATTGTTTTATAGGTGTTTCCATCCAAATTTCCAAGCCACATTACAGAAAACAAAGAAAATGCCAAAAGTATAAGTTTATATTTCTCTTGATTTCAGATAAGATGTTCCTATTCCTTAATTATTCCATATTATCTTTTTACAGACCCACTGATTGAACAAGAACAATCTGAGCTGTCTTCAAACCGAGTTCAGATGGCATGTGAGGCATTTGGTGGGGGCAAGTTACCAGAACTACAGTCGGCAGTTTACAGGGTACATAGAATTTAATTGAGTTTAAAGGTCCTACATTATGCAAAACTGCCTCTTGTGAGATTTAAGACATGTTAGAATATTGTTACCCCCTCAAAAACATAACTGGAGTTGTGTTTTGTTTCATCCATACATGTTTGGAGTAACCCTTTATACATCTCCAAAGCTCAAAATGCTCTGCTGATGTCATAAAGTAGTCTTCAAGTTATCAGCTACCTTTTTCTCCTTAGTTCATGTGAGATTAGCAGTTCCAGGAGTGAAATCATCCAAATGATTCTAGTGAAGGTGTATGGAGTTAAAAAACACAGTGGAGCACTCCCTATATTACAATATGAGATCGCAAGTGTTTTTAGTTTGAGAGAGCCTAAATATGCAGGGTTTGTATTTTAAACATGTGTGAATAATTAAAAAAAAACACAACTCCAGGTGTGTTTGTAATGAGGACACAACATTATATATTATATATTATATTATCAGAAAATAGCGTAATAAGTGTCCTGTAACTGTAAATTTCCTTTTTTTTTTTTTTTCAGCTGGAGACCAAATTCAGAGGATATGCAAAAAACATGGCACAACATAAGGAGCCCTTCAAATGCGTTGTTAAATTTTCAAGCACCAACTTACTGGAGTCTTTGAGAAACTGTGCATCTTCAGGTACAAGAGTATTTGACACTCATTATATTGTCCTTTTAGTTGGTGGCCACTAGGGGGAACCCATACACCATAAACTAGACAGCCAACGTGCGTAATAGATTTAGACGCTGTTGTGTACTTCTTTTAATAGGAATTGCCTCAACCCCGGTCACACCTCTGCTGTCATCGATTCCACTCAAAGGAAGGAACTACTTTGTTATCACTGACAACGGGCCTGCTTCCTCACAGACACTACAGCAACAGAAATGACTCTATCAAGTTCAGCACACAAGTCCTACATAATTAGGCTGATTTCTTCTCTCAAACAGAAAACCCTCTCCTGTGATGTGATAATACAGGAAATGCTCCACTGTGTTTTTAAACTCCATACACCTTCACTAGAATCGGTTTGGATGATTTCAGCTCTGGAATTTCTAAGGTAGAACAGAGTCTCTGAGCTTTGGAAATATAGACAGTCTAATAATAAAGGATTACTCAAACATGTGTGAATGAAATAAAACACAACTCCAGATATGTTTTTGATGATGTAATAGCAATATAGCGTAGCTCAAAGCTCACAAGAGTCATATTCTTGTGTAATATGGGACCTTTAAGTTTAGTTTAACACAGAGATAATTTATTGTTTTCCAGTCAGTCTACAAATAGCACACGGTATTTATTTTTAGAACTACTTCATATCTGTGTAGGTAATACGGTGTCTTGGTATTGGGCTCCTTTGACTCAAATCAATACTTAAATCAATGTAAAATACAAAGTGTATCACTGCTCTAATATTATGTTGTGTCATTGTTGAAACTGAGTTAAAGGAATTTCCCAGATGAACAAATGAACTATGCGAAGTCAGACCTTGCAACCATTTTCCTACGAATAATTTAGCAACGCAAGAAAGCTGTGCAGTGTGCAGAATTTTTAAGTAAACAGCAGCTATTTCCAGCGACACTGCGCGAGCTCAGACAAGTGTACTAAGTGTGGCACAGAGCCTATTCTAAATTATATGGAACAATGGGATGGGTCTGTTGTGGGAATTACTTAAGTGATGCGAATAATTATAGGTAAAATGTCTGTTTTGTGTATGCATATTATATGGTAAAGTCACAAGCTTTAATTGTGTGGTCCCTAAGTAAACTCTCATTGAATACACATGCCCGGGTTTAATGGATGTATTTTGTACGTATATAACATGGATCTGTACTATCCGCGGGGGTTAGCCACACATGGCCCATACAGTGGCCTACATCTGCGGCTGTGTTTACGGTTTCAGCGCCCATCCTTCTAGCCGCGTGCTGTTGGAGGACATGCGACGTCACTGGACCGCAGGCACGTTGGGTGGTGCATGTAAGCTGTCCAGTGCACCGTAAGTACAGTACCAGAGGTGCACTGCAAAATATAAACCATGCGCATGTTGATAGAATTTGAGTTTTGCATTATGAGTTTCAACACAAGCCCCTCACGCTACCAAAAGGATATGTAAGAAGTATGATATGCGTAAATATAACATCTTCACATTTGTACCGTCATTTCTGTTGTTATAATTATTGCTCGAATGTAATGCATATAGTATTGTTTCCTTTTGTTGTGTGGTGATTGTCTCTAGACCAGACCTGGGCTCCCGGGCCTCATACGGCCCTTTGGTAGATTCTGACCAGCCCGTTTAAACTAATTTGGAATGACAAAATAAACATATTTTATTATTTTACCTCATGCATGGACTAAAGCTACATTGCTTATATGTTAGAGGTGTTTTTTTTATTACATTTTTGTAAGGCAACCGCACGCTTTCAATGCTTAGTCATAACATATACGCTTACCAGCATTACCAGCTCGTCAAAGCAAGGCTATTTTCTGCTTTTTTTATATAAAGAAATACAATTAATATTATGCAGAGTTGAGTTAAGCGTTTTGGCCCGGCCCTTCCCAACATTTTCTGTTTCTCATGTGGCCCCATGGAAAAAAAATAATTGTCCAGCCCTGCTCTAGGCTGACAGGTTATAATGCTGGGTATGCATGAAGTATTTCTGTTGTTATAATTATTGCTCGAGCATAATAAATATAGTATTGTTTCTTTTTCTTTTGTTATATTGTGGTTCTAATGCACACTTTCTTTTCTAACAGCTCGTGTCAAAATGCAATATATATTCTGCAACTTCATCAAAACATTTCGCTGCGTCTTTATTTGCAGCATTCCGGTCGGTCAGTATTCTCAGCTACGTGCAGGCCGGGCTCCACCCTCTTATGTTCCCGTCTGTTTAGAAGTGTACTAGTTCCACACTCTCTGCAACGTGACTCCGGAGCCCCGTGCAGCTTTCCGCGGCCAATGAGCGGGTTCCGGGGCGGGACAGGGCGCGGTCTGTGGTCCAAACCGAGCAATCAGAGAAGCTTATTCTCCTGTACTCTCCAGCCCATGCACATGCACGTGTGTCCCTGCGTGTAAACTAGTACAGGGGGAAGAACACCAGTCTGACGGGAACATTCATCGGGAACAAACTGCCAGCTACGCACAGATAGTAGACGTCTGCGGATTTTATGATACTTACTTTGTTTTGAGGCTTTTTCTCTCGTATAATATTAAAACTAGTGTTGTTGTCGTGGAGGATTGAAAGGTAAGCCGTAGTTTAATATGTTTTTGTTCAGAAGCTAATGCTAAATAGTTAGCATGTTAGCTGAGACTTTGCTAATAGTACCGTTACCAGGTACAAATGTGTATTCTTAACATTGTGTATTATTGTGGTTAATATACGTGCAATATACAGTTTAATATGGTTTCTGTACATGGATGATCTCGTAACTGCGCCCTTTTAACCCTTTGTACTATGCTCCTTGATTTTTTTTAAAGATTTGCATAGTGTTTGGGTAGTTTGTACTAGTTTAGCTTTAATCATACGTATGTTGAAGCCAACTTGGATCTTATACACGGCTGCTTTAACACATGTTTTATAGCAAACATTATGTAGGCCTATAGTCATTAAGTTGACAATTGTGGAGTGTAAAAAGTGGAAATGCATCTGGACGTTGCACAATGTAGTAAGTGGACCACAAAATGCCCTTCTCTGATAGGTTCGTACTCACTCCATACAGACCACCCATCTAACTAGTTGGCAATAACCCGTTTGCCAACACTATTATAGAGAATGCCAAAGCTATACCACCATCTAAAACTGTTACTTATAACTAGGTCTGTAAGCATTTGGTTACTTGTTGGACACTGCTGAATATGCACTCTGTGTCAAGTCAACAAGTCTTTTGGAAGATATTGCGAAAGTCAAATGCAACAAAGCAAACGAGGATAGTAAATGCAATGACTGCATCATAATCAATGATTATATAAAGAGGTAACAATAAAAAGGATAAAAGATAATAAGAAAATCACTTATCACTTTTTTGACAAGTGAGTAATACATACTACTAGTACTACGATTTTAACTGAAATCAAATGTATGAGTTAACATGCCCATTGCACAGTGACTGTTTGTACTTCATTTAAATCGTCAGCTTAAAAAAGGTGTGATGTGAGGCCAGTTCTGATGAGACTACCACTGTCTTTCACTACAATATAGCAAGTGATTCTCCAGCTGTTGTCGTTTTATTTTTTCTGAGTCATTTTTGAGCTGTGTCGTTTCATTTAAAGGTTCATGATAACAAAAATAGACTCTGTTGCTCATTGTATTATGTCAATATATATATAGTCCGGGTTGTTTTTAGACTATGGGGGAGAATTTTACACTATGACTATGACCATAGTTTCCTGTATCAATGGGAAACACTGTAATGTTTGTTTTTGTGAGTGTGCCTATAAAGACAATTTAATTTCACATTGTCCTTTTAAAGATCATTAACAAAAAGGAGAGGACAGTGGGAAAAGGAATGATGCAACAGTAAATAAACAGTATTTGAAATTTAGGTCCTCACATTAGGTCTAAAAATAGCTAGACTGTTTGTTATTATATTAATCCTTTTGTATTTCTGCTTATTGGGCTATAGGTTTTAGAATGGGCCAAGCCAGACCTCATTTAAGTCATTTAAGGTTAGCCTGGCTGGCTGCCTCTCCAAACAGGAAAAACCTGTGTTCAGGACCACTGCAATAAATACACTTTGGTGGTCAATGAGATCACTTGTTGAATGTAGTGTGATTATTATCTGGGTCAATGTTATTTTAATAGAATAGAGCTTTAAAACTAGATTCAGATTTCTTTATTTGGGATAATTCTGGTGCAGTTAAAAAATGCATAAGGACTTATACAAGCAAGAATCAGAACTACACAAACTTATTATTTTTCTGTTTCAAGGTAAAACAGAAATTTGGCTTCAAAACATCTTATTCCAGACAGACATATAATGAAACTCACAGTATAAAAAAATGTGTTTAAAACCATAAAATATCTTACATCTTACAAACATTTTAATGAACAAATGCAACTATTTGCTCTGTTACTAGTTAAAATACACTGCAGTTTGGATGTCAATTTTTTTTTTTACTGTGTTTTATGGTGTAGACAACATTATGCAACTTTTCAGTAGGGCTGCCATAGAGTCCATTCTACGTTATGGCATCACTGTTTGTTTGTGAATTTGAGTGTGAAATCTAGAACACAAATTTGCAGCCTGGTTAAAACAGCAGGAAAAAAAATCATAGGGGCCTCTTTGTCCATCCCCTCATCAGCTGTTTGAGGAATCTACCAATCACCCTGGCTCATATGACTCTATGGGACAGTACTCGCATCCTACACTTAGTACACGCTCATGCAGTCAGGGATGTGAAGAACATTTCACTATATGTACAGGAATTTATGTGTATCTGTGAAATTTTAAATGATGAATTGGAGAGCAAATGAAAGAGGAGATGATCTGTTTGTGTTGTGGCTTTTTGTATGTTTCACTATGACTGTATGCCTGTTGTCTAGTGCTTTAATAACTTTCTTGTATGTGATGATGTTTTGAACAGCTCCCCCCTTTTTCCCAACGTGATTTCTCCTATGAGATACAGATAACTGAGACTTTGGCTCACACTCAGTTAGCTTATAACATCTTGACTGTGTGGTGCCAATCAACCAAGATCATCAGTACTGTTTAACATTAACGTACAGTTCTATCACATATATATCTTGCTTCAGTTGTTATAAGGAGCCTACATGTTTATGCAGTAGGCTATGTGATAACATATACGTAGAATAGGTCTATATTTAAGAAACTATACATTTTCCTAGTATATACGCTTCATATAGGAACGCCTGTTGGCGCCATTGTGTGGAGGCTCTGCAGTGGTGGAGTAGTTTCAGCGCGTGTCTCTCACTAGTCTAGTAGTAGTAGTAGTAGTAGTAGTACATGATGTACAGCACAGCGCCGCTGGTCTGGGATCAGCTGCTCGTCTGCTTCGACACAGAGCAGATAAAGCACAATCTGAGCTAAGACCAGCGTCTGGCGCAGCGTTTGCATACGCACTGTGCGTCTGTGCGCACCGTGCAGACCCCAGCCGCAGCCATCCAGCCTCCGCTTTATTATTGGTGCAGCTCGCGGACCAATGAGCGGCCAGCACCGCTCGCGGAAAACACTGCCGCGTACACGTGCCGTATGTACACAGCAGCAGCGCGGCGAGAAGCGGCACACGCGCTAAGCACCGTGGACAGGACGAGCGGTCACACTGCACTACGGGTGAGAACCACTCCATGCATATCAGCGCTCTTACTGTCTGATTTTCTGCTGTAAAGAATGTGGCTGTGCTAGCGGTTCAGTAAAGCAGGAGGGAGGTTTCACGTGTTGTGTTCGTGGTGTCGGCGCTCTTTCGTTGTTGTAACTGTAGTGACAGCATCGAGTGTTTGAACCTTTGTTTATGATAAAGTCGCGTGTTTGATGGTGTGTTAACTTGCCGAAGTGTTGTATGTCTCTGTGGAATACAGTGGTCTGTACAACCTGTACATTATACAGTGTTCACACATGAATGGGAACGTGCTTCTTACGTTTACACTATGAAATACACGGTGTGTGTGATGTTGGGATGTAGCGGTATAGTTGCATATGTCAGGTTACAGCGGAATAATGGCTTGTACCTCTAACACACATGGACATTTTTGTTCAATAGATTTAGGATTAGAGGTGTTTTTATTACTGAAATATTACTGTGTGTAAAATGGCATTTATACATTTCTTTCTCTTTACATTACATTTGTGGTGTGCTGAATCAACTACTAAAATACATTGACAGTAACTGGTATATTCTTTTAGTTTAGCAGATTTACTGCATTTCTATAAAATTGTTAAATGTTGGATTTGCTGCGTTTCCTTCCCATCGTCTGGAACATGTCTCTGAGCATTATACAGGAATGTGATCTGTTGACAGCAGACGGGTGCCTCTGCCTCCTACTGAGCATCTGAGACCACCACATGCTTTTTCTATTTCCCATACTCAGACTAAAGGGAACAAAACCTCATTATCCAGGTTACACTGACCTGACATTCAGTCAGCCTGTTTGTCTTTCAGCTCATTATATTGAGTAGCTCCCATTAAGATTTGTGTTATATTCGTATTATACAAAGTAGTTGCAGCAGTATTAGGAGGACTAACACGAGATGGCTTACTCAGTAAACTCATTGTTCTGTAGTTTGTACAATGATGCAGAATACTACTGTGCACACAGAAGGAGTCCCCCATTCACCATCAAGCACTGCAAACAAAGTTATACTGTATTTGATACAGTCCAGCATTTTGGCCCTTAGGCTGAAGCTGTGTTTTTCTACTACCACTTAATGATATATTTTTGCACTTCAGTTTGACCCTGCATAGTCAGAGCCTGAATGCTCATACCGAGTGCATTTTGTGAGTCATTTGTGTGAGTGGGCGGCAGTGCCCTGATGGGTGGTGGTTTTAGTTCACAGTGGGGTCTACAGTTGGCCTGGTTGTCCCAGGACTTTGTTGTGGCATTGGCTTGTCACTCCCGTGTCTGAGCCTTGTGATCCACATGCACCTATAGCCCACACAGACACAGGGGGCATCAGGAGCTGCATGCTCAGTCCTTTATTATAATGACAGCAGTATGGAGCCATTATGCTTTGCTCCACCATCAGACTGAATTATATTATATTATGTTATTAGATCTTAAAGATGCCAGAAATTATTCCATAACTATATTTTAAACTGTGCATTTAGCTAAATGGGGCCACATAAAGCAAGTGCATATTGTTGTGTCAATGAGCAAGTCACTTTATTCACTTACTCCAGCCATAGCATAAAGAGAAAGGGCTGCAAGCATGGTAAGAAAGCATAAACCACAAGCATAAAAAACAAAGCAGCTGGAGGATACAGGTTTCTCCATTTGTAATTTAAATCATTCACCCATACATCGCTAAAGTGGAACCAAATACATCTGTACTAAGTCTTTGTTTTGTAGTCATCATATGTTTGTCATGATATTACATTTTGAAGCACGATATATTGCTAATTTGCTACAGGAATCTACAGCAATAAACGACAATACTGAAACTACTTCATGTCACTCAATAATGCAAGAAGGTAGCCCCACTAAACATTTTTTAAACAGACAGTATCATTAAGATGCCTGAGCTGCAACAAATAAACAACAGAATGAACCAATAATTAGCCTAAGAAGTTACTTATTCAACCTTTTACAACTAATATGTTATTGTATTACTACAAAAATACCCTAAACTGCCCCACTTTGCATAGAAATGGTTCACATGATAAATACTGAGCCCTAAAATAAGTACTGAAGTGTTTCATTCTGCTGTTTATTTATTGCAGTTTGTGATTTGTGTTATTGTGTTTGTGGAATAAATTAGTTTGAATTTAATTTTGCAATATATCAAACTTTAAAATGTTGTTATCGTGACAGGTCTAGTCTGCTCCAGGCCTACAGCTGGGGTTTGGGAGGGTGGACTGTAACAGCGCATTCAGGTATTATGAGCCAGAGCAATGTTTAGCGTTAGCGTTAGCATTAGCACCTCCGCCCACCGCCGTGTGTCTCTGTGGAAGTGTGCATGGATGCCAGCCTCTCTCACCCCCACTCGCCAAGGCCCATCACACATTCTCAGATCATGACTGCTCCTTCCCCCGCCCCGATCAGACCCATCGCACACACTGGTGCCATGTGCCAGTCTGCACCATCCATCTGGCCAAAAAGTCAATTAGCATTTGGAATAACATGAATCTGATCATGTTTTGTGGCTTCATCCTTCACTCCTGATCCTTGCGCATGTTAACCCCCTGAATCAGTTCACTCACCTGTTGCATCATGGGTATATTTGTCCAGGTAGTGATATGTTGTAGCTGACGTCATTAACATTCCCTGGGGGTGTGAAGCTAACTGAAAGCACTACTCTGTCTGAAGCTGTTACTCAATTTAGACTTTAATCTAAGCGTTGGTTTAAGACAATCTGACCAGAACAACCGATGAGCTGATTTGTGGTTTTACACAAGTTTCTCACACACATAATCACATTCATAAGGGAGCTAGCATTACCCAACAGTTGTTGGGTCACTCTCACCTTTTTGTTGAACATCACCTAAAGAGGACCATGAACCCTCGTACTGATCACAGGCTCCTGGTTGTTTAAATATATTTTGTATTTTTTCTTGAGTTTTCAGACTCTCTTGGTGTTTGCTAATGTGTATATCTTGTCACTATGGTAACTGCTACATGTATCTCTAATGGTGGAAGCATGAGGTCACGACAAAGTATTAATAGATCCACCTGCTTCAGAGCTCCAGAGGTAAAGCGGGCTGTAGGACAGATTTGTGCATTAAACTATATAAAACTATAGCTGTGACGATAAATAGATGTCCCTCTCTATCTTCTCTTTGCTTCGTCAGGGCTTAAGGGATTATGGGGTGTCTTCCTCCTTGAAATAAATAGCACTAGAGTCCAACTTGCGTAGGTGGTGCTACATATAAACTTCTATAAGACATCCCAGCCACATGCAGTGGAGATGTGCTTTATTTGAGCTCCAGGTGAAAGGGAACATTAGTCTACCCGATCTATATTCAGGGACCACATACGCATTGCTTACACACAGGCCTAAAATAGGGCTTTTGTGGATAATCTAAGACAAAGAGGAGGGACTTCATTCCAGTTTGCAACATGTAAAGCATTTCATGGCCAGTCTGAAAAAGCTGTGAAGGCTAACGCGATAAGTGATAAGACTTGATTTGTTTTTGTGAGCTGTAGCCATGAGCGATACAAGTCCATCTCTGACCCTGTTTCTCTCTGGTTGCAGGTTTGACACTGGAGGACTGGCCTGAAGTTACAAAGCGATCACAGCCCGACTGAAGCCTCCTGTTGGTCTGAGCCCATCTGCCTGAGCTCACGCCAAGGCTCCTTCTGAGGCCAGACCAGATTTGCTCTGCAGGACGCTGACTGACACTTTTTCAAAACCCACTTGTTGATTTTGTTTATTTACAAGAATCTGTCCTTGATGACAGCATTTGCTCCTCGCTTTTTCACTTTCACTATTTTAGCACCACAAATGGCTTTCTCTCCTTAGTTACTTAACCATACAACCAGCCACTATGATTCATCCAAGTATATGTAGTAGTCCTACTTAAGTGTGGTTCCCTTGCCTTGGCCGATAAATACTCCCTGCTTTATCACACTCTAGTATGAGTTATGACAACTCTAAAACAGGGGCCAGCAGAAGCACTCGGAGCAGAGTGGCACGGGCCGAGGAGAAGGACTCTGAGCAGGAGTCTCGTCCTGACAGGTTAGATGTTTCTAAGAACAGTCAGACTGGTGCCAGCAGCACACAGCAGCAGAGGAATGGGTCTGAGGGCTGCTCCTCCTCTCCCAGTGGAGCGTCTGGTTCTGGGGGCTCGTCCGGAGACCAGAGGGGTCCCAACTCAGACGACATGGACGGATTGTCCAGCGGGAATGACTCTGGAGAGAGGGAGAGCGACTCCAGAGGGCGCCAGTCCACTCGGAGCTCACACAGCTCCAATGGGAAAGACTCAGGCATGATGCTGGAGACCACTGAGAGCCACAAGAGGTAAGGGCCTCTGTTACTAACATGAGTTACATGGACCACACAGACTTCTATTAAACTGTCTTCCAGTAAATCCAGTTTCCCTAACTATGGTAATTAGGTTACCTGTTACATAATTTATATATTAATAACTCTGGATACTTGAAACCTTGTCCAGTCTATGCCAGATGCTATATTTATGACCTAATCATGGGGTCAGTTGAATTGAGGACAGAGGCATAGGTTTCATTTGTGAAAAGACATCTCTTTCACATCCACTTGTTTGGTTTGTGTGTGTGTTGACAATAATCTGAGTTCCACATGATTTTGGTGCCGCACATGCTCATACACATGCTTTACATGAGTCAGCGCAGCGCGGACCACAGCCGTGTGGGCGACTCTGTTTGTCTCTAATCTTAAACCTTCTTCTTCAGCTCCAACTCTCAGAGCCTGTCCCCTCCCAGCGGCTCTCTGGCCTACAGTATGTTGTCAAACAGCTCGGAGCACGACCCGCCCTCCACCTCCGGCTGCAGCAGTGACCAGTCTGCCCGTTTGCAGACGCAGAAGGAGCTTATGAAGGCCATCAAGGAGCTCAAGCTCCGCCTCCCAGCAGAGCGCAAGGCCAAGGGCCACTCCAGCACCCTCAATGCTCTGAAATATGCTCTTCAGTGTGTCAGACAAGTGCGAGGTAAGAGCTGCTATTACTCACAACTATATACCCTGGATAAATAATACCTTCTTTTACAGCTAACAAAGAGAATTACCTTCTTTTACAGCTAACAAAGAGTATTACCACCAGTGGAGTGTGGAGGAGTGCCAGGGCTGCAGTCTGGACCTGTCCACTTTTACCATCGAGGAATTGGACAACATCACCTCAGAGTACACCCTCAAAAACACTGTGAGTCTGACTTTACAACAGCTCATCCTCCTGTGAACTATTTAAGGCATTTTGTCCATCCAGTTTCTAATGTTGTACAACCAGCATCATGGTGGAAAGTCTGTTTCCAATGTTTCACATGGAGGGACTTTTATGTAATCGGTCGGCTCAGAGGATATGAGTGATTCTTGTTACTAAGTAACACTGGGTACCATGGAGATTTCGTACTGCTTGCAGGGTGATGAATAATGGCTGTGCTTGTTGTGTTGTCAGGACACGTTCTCCATGGCGGTATCGTTCTTTTCGGGGAAGGTGGTCTACGTATCCCCTCAGGGCTCTTCGCTGCTGCGCTGTAAACCTGAATGTCTCCAGGGCACAGTTTTCTCTGAGCTTTTGGCACCACAGGACATCAGCACCTTCTACAGCAGCACAGCCCCCTGCCGCCTGCCCACTTGGGCTTCATGTATCGGCTCTGGTGAGGCTTTAAGTCAATGTGTTAACTCAAAAACAGATCTATTTTTATGTCATGCACTGAACCTGTTGGGATATGTTTCCAGCATCTCCACCTGTCGACTGCACACAGGAGAAGTCCATGTTCTGTCGCATTAATGCAAATCGAACACAAGGGGGTGAGATGCGCTATTACCCCTTTCGCCTGACGCCGTACCAGCTCACGCTGAGGGACTCTGATGATGCAGAGCCACAGCCCTGCTGCCTGCTCATCGCTGAGAGGGTCCACTCTGGATACGAAGGTAATTGTTTGGATGTCACATTGCACTGGGCCTGATACAAACCTTTGTGAGGTCAGATAAAGGTGTATTGGTGACATAGCAGAGACAGATAAACCTGATCCCTTCAGTGGCTTTTCACTGCACACACAAGGAAGGCGAAATGTGCTGTATGTAGTAAAAGCCTTTTCTATTTGATATTAGACACAGAAGAGATTTTTATCAGCTCCACAATATGTTCACTGTTCAGCTCAGTGCATATGTGTGTTATTCAACCACACACAGTTAGATTCACACCTATTCTAATGACACTCCTTTGTGTTAGTGACAGACAATGTGATCGTGAGCAGCTCGCTGCTATTTCTGTTACTGTCAAGATTACTTGAGTAGTCAGCTCTGATTTATCAGTAGTACTGTATTTTCATGAGCGTAAATACAGTTTTAAGAATTTTATTACAGCTTCTCAAAAATATACCTGGACTTGTGTTTGTTTTATTCGCACACATTTGTAGAACCCTTTATTATTAGCCTGTCTACATCTCCACAGCTCAGAATGCTGTGTTCCACCTTGTGATATCACAGAGGGGTAGTTTTCAAGTTTGCTAAAAGGTAGTTGTTTTTGCTTAGTAGATTGGCAAGTCCGCAGAAATTATGAAAATGATTCTAGTGAAGGTGTATGCAGTTTAAAAACACAGGACCACTTTCTGTATTATCACATGGCATTGCAAGGAGTATTTTCTCAGCCTAAATATGCAGGGTTTATGTGTTAAACATGTGTGAGTGGAAAAAAAAACACAAGGTATGTTTTTAATTAGTATACAACATTATAACCCTTAAAATCAATAGGTCTGGGATGTTCTATAGCTGTGTAAGGTGTATGAAATGGACTTTTATGTTTTGGATTTTTTACGGATGACGTCTTTGAATTGTACATAATAATAATTGACTCAGTGGCAGTCTGGTTTTCATCTGTTGTGTTATTTCGCTGTAGCTCCCCGCATCCCCCCAGACAAGAGGATCTTCACCACCAGCCACACTCCCAGCTGCCTCTTTCAGGAAGTTGATGAGAGGTGAGTTACCGGTATTATTTAGAGTTCTTTGGAGTGGTCCCTGCTGTGCCCCCGTCGGCCTACAGTAAAACCTGATCACCACAATTAAAATGATTAGACTCATGGCAGCGGTACATGTGTCCATTTGATCTTACATATTGGGTTGTGTAAAGCTTACAGAAAGCACTGCTCTGTCTGAAGCTCTTTTACTCAACTTGGACTTAAATTTGAGCTTTATTTTAACACAGTCTGACCAGAAAGTGCTGATTTGATTTAGAACTACAACAGATGAGTTAATTTGTGCTGTTTAAACAAGTCACAACCTAGCTAGCTTTAGCTGTTATTTTTTCAGGTAGTCACTCTCACCTTTTCATACCTAAAATACATAAACAAGACAATGAACGCTCAGTGATCACAGACTCCTGAAAATTTGTTGTTTACCCAGTCTTAAAGGTGCACTGTGTAACCTTTTGGTTGGGGGTCCATCACCTTCTTGTTTCTATGGATATGTCATTGCTCTGCTTAGAATGTTCCACAATGTGACATTAAACAGCTCTACCTTACCTCTACTTGATTAAATTACAGTTTGTTTTATTGCTCAAAAATACCTAGAAAAACAGGCATTCTGACTGAGCGGGTCGTCTCTCCACAGATCTGACTTGTAACTTGGTCTGATTTGGTCTCCATGAAGATAGAAAGGTTTAATATCATACTGTGAAACATTCCAGACAAAGCAATATCCTCTCTGTTGAGAAAAGCATTTGAGAGAAAAGTTACACAATGCACCTTTAAAACTTTTTTGTCGGTGTTTGCCAATGTTGTGTTTTTTCCTGCAGGGCTGTACCGCTGCTCGGACACCTGCCTCAGGACTTAGTGGGGACTCCCATTCTGCTTTATATTCATCCTGAGGACCGGCCCATGATGGTGGCGATACATGAGAAAAGTGAGTTTTATTTACAGTTCTGTTAATCACTGAGTGCATATACAGGTGTTTGAGTATTCTGGTTATGATCAGGTTTCTGAGTATCCTGGTTTTGTTAGTTAGCAAAAGTTGCTACGTGTTTTGCTCCTTGCCATATCTGTGCTATCGTTACTGTAGCAACCTCTGATGTACACAAGGATATGAGTGTCTTGGTTTTTTTAGGGCTTATGTAAACGTCACACCAAGAATATTGTCATAACCAGGATAAGGATCATAACTGGGATTCTGGTTTGCATGTAAACTCACTCACTGTAGAGATATTTGTATGATTCTCTTCACACTTTTCTCTTGTTGTCCTCTTCAGTCTTTCAGTTCGCAGGGCAGCCTTTTGACTATTCTCCTCTGAGGATGTGCGCCCGCAGTGGGGAGTACGTGACCCTGGACACCAGCTGGTCTTCCTTCGTCAACCCCTGGAGTCGGAAAGTGGCATTCATCGTTGGTCGCCATAAAGTCAGAACGTAGGTCCAAGCACAATACTCACAGCACATATACATACAAACAACTATTTTACCAACCAGACACACCAGAGTGAATAGAACGGTATAAAGGATAAAAAGACAAGTGGTGTAATTATTTATTTAGAGTCTGTCAATCTTGTTTTTCCTCTGAGCAAAGCTGTACCAACAACTACTCCACTCAGATCTCAAAAAAAAAACTCAATCGTTTAGTGTAAAATATCACTGAATGAAAATAGTAGGGACCATTTTACCTGTACAAATCTTTCTTTTATCCTTTCCTATCCTATCTATCCTTTTATCAATGTAACTAGATAAATGTATTGTAGTTCATTTATTATAAACATAATATGTCAAAGTGGATCACTTGGTTTGACAGCTCTAAAGAAGGAACAAACAAATGGAGGGCAGTATATACAGGAAGTTACAAATGTAACTATGGTTCTGAGTCAGTCAGTAGTGTCTTTTGGCAGTCAAAATGAAACGGATCTAAACACGTGTTGTACCTGTAGGAGCCCCCTGAACGAGGATGTGTTCACCATGCCACCAGGGGGCGACACTCGCCTCACCCCAGACATGGTGCAGCTGAGTGAACGGATCCACAGACTCCTTGTGCAGCCCGTGCACAGTGGGGGGTCACAAGGCTACAGCTCCCTGGGCTCCAGCGGGTCCCGAGGGTCCCACCGCTCCCATCAGCAGCACTTGAGTGCCTCCGCCACATCGTCCAGTGACAGCAATGGCCCCGCTCTCGATGAGGCCAGAGCTGTTGCACTCCACAAACCAGTGAGTCTGTCACAGTGCAGCTGCCTTATTTTAATGCTTTAATACTAATACCAATCACATTGTGCCAAAATACTAAAGCATAGTTGCCCTTATTTCAGATGACATTCCAGCAGATCTGCAAAGACGTTCATACGGTCAAAACCAATGGACAACAGGTTTTTATTGAGTCACGTAACAGGCCACCACCAAGAAAAAACACCAGCATCGGTAAAACTTTAACAACAAATATCTGGGCTTTGCATTTCTGTTTTCATTGTGGCTCACATTCTCATGAGACTGTTCTTTGTGCAGGAGTGGCAAGTAACCTCCGAGCGATCAGCAGTGATCCAGTGAGAGGCCTGATCACAGACATGACCAAACCCCCCAAAGCTCTGGCTCCTGCTCCTCTGGTCCAGAAGGAGGCCACCACAGGCTACTCCTACCAGCAGATCAACTGTCTGGACAGCATCATCAGGTGTGTGCACTGTGCAAATTTTCTGGTGGATTGTTTTCTACCTATTTGTCTCCATGGAAATGTTACTGCGTTGTATAGAATGTTCCACAGTATAGATTTAATCTATCTAACACAAGGGAGACAAGCAGGTTACAGCACTGCACTAAGTTACAATTCAGATTTGTCAGAAAGTCACCTCTATTCACAGAAGAAATTATTATAATTATTTATTTTTTTATTTTTTAACATTTAACACACATAAAACAAAACTGTCATGCCCCACCCCTCTTTGCACTTGAGTTATTGTATTTTTGAGCAATAGAAACACCCATAATGAATAAACACTAGATGGATATATTAAAGTCATACCATGGAACATTCAAGCAATATCATCTCCTTGGAGACAAGCAGGTAGCAGATCCTCCACAGGAAAAGTTCAGCAGTGCATCTTTTAAGCATAATTAAACTTTTTTTTTTTTGTCTAATGCAGGTACTTGGAAAGTTGTAACATTCCCAACACAGTTAAAAGAAAGTGTGGCTCTTCCTCGTGCACGGCCTCTTCAACTTCTGATGACGATAAACAACAAGAAGCAAGTGGCACAAATAAAGGTAAAGTGCTCTTACAATTTCACTGAATGACTTTGTTGTTGATTCATTTTCATATGACTGAAGTGAGTTCAATTCACTCAGTCATATGCATCTGCAGGCGCATATTAATAAATCACAATACTGTAGCTTTTCTATTCAAAGTATGTTACAAAATTATATATTTTGAACCACAACAAGGACAATTCTTAGTGTTTACCTAAGTTAAATCTACATTAAATATTTTGATAAAACCATACATCACTTAAAATACAATTTTCCTCCTGTTAAATCACCAGAGGATCAAAATTTTTATTTTATTTTTTTTTAATAATTATTTCAAAAGGACAATTCAAACTGAATTTTATTGATGTGCGCCTGTAGTGGAGCTTTAATTTTAATTTTGTTGCCACTTTTTGTAGGTGGTTCGGTCAGCCTTGTAGGGGAGCCGTCCTCTCTTCCGCCGCTGACTTTAGCCACAAAAGCAGAGAGTGTAGCATCAGCCACATCCCAGTGTAGCTTCAGCAGCACCATCGTCCATGTGGGAGACAAAAAGCCTCCTGAATCTGGTGGGCCTCACTCACTTATGGTTAATTTCTCATGATTCACAGTCAGCTTCTGAAATAAATGACTCAAGTTTTGTTATTTTATTTTGTATTTTTGGTTTATTTTGACCTCCATTAGCTGTAGAAGAACAGCTATTCTTCCTGGAGTCATTGACCTATGGCACATGTTTTTTGGGTTGGGGGGGGGAGGGGACTGCAATAAATGCACGTAAACAATATGGTCTAAGGAGCTGTAACTCCTCACTTAATGTTCAGAGTCACCTTTGTTTAGGGTTCAAATTAATTGGGCAAAGACCAGGAGAAATTCTGCTGATAGCTGCAGTTAAGGCCTGGACAACATAAGTGAGGGAATCCCTGTACTTGGTGGTGAGCTTTACATCTGAGGCAGATATTGTCTGATTTTCTTTTAATTTAACTCCATATTGATTACAAAAGTATTTAAAGCCTTTTAAACTGTAATTTTTTAAAGAGATAAAATGACAAAACTTGGGTCTATGTTGATACATTTCTGGAGCTACCTGTAAATTCTATTCTGCAAACTATGCAAAAAGCCAAAACAAAAAAAACAAAGTGACTCATTTTACAAACCAGCACTGGTAGTTGTTGGATACTTCATAGAAACCCTGGACACTTCCCAGCACCACTCCAGAAACCATTGGAACAAAAGGAAAGATCTCTGAAGGAAAAGTTTGCACAAGGTTCTTATCTGTTCAGTGACAGAGGAAGACCTCTGCAGACGACCTTGAGCGACACAGCACAGGAATGAGATGAAAGATATCATATATATTTTACAAAACAACAGTCTAAGTCAAATCGTCAAACATAAAAAATTAAATTATAAAATCTTAAAATGTCAAAAAGTTAACTACTGGAGTGCACGTCCGTGCAAAATAAATTGTGAGAGACATTTAGACATGTACGGTTTAGACATACATCCAAAGATCATAAAAGTTTTAAAGTTTTTTTTTTAAAACTCTTCCTTTACAGATATCGTGATGGAGGAGGCTCCGACCACTCCGACTCTGGCTGCCCCTAGTACTGCTCCCACTCCTCCTCCTGCCAGTGTCTTTACTCCTCCCAGCAGCACCATTATCACCCCCCCTCCTCTCCCTCCCCCTCCTCCCCTCCCTCAGGCCCAGTCCGAGCGGGACACACGCAGGAGCGGGAGCGGGGGACGCCTGGGCCTCACTAAAGAGGTCCTCTCTGCACACACGCAGCAGGAGGAACAGGCTTTCCTCGATCGCTTCAAGGACCTCAGTAAACTCCGAGTGTTCGATCAGACCACCTCCTCCACTGTGCACTGCCCCACCCCCGCCATCAACCCCCTGTCCAGAGGTATCTAAGAACATTTTACTAATCTGTGTTTCACTGATGGAGCATAAAAGCAGGTCACTCATATTTTGCTTTGTTTAATCTGTAGGTGTGCGCTGTTCCCGTGACTACCCTGCAGCCTGTAACAGCACAGGGCATCGTCGGGGTCGTGGGGGTAAAAGGCTGAAACACCAGGAGTCCTCAGAGCAGCACAGCTCTATGTGCAGCCGCAGAGACCCCCGGTCCAACACCATGCCAATGCCCCTGCCCCTGCCCATGAACATGCCCCTGGGCCCCCCTACCACATCCTCTTCCTGGCCCTCTGTGGGCTCACAGGCCAGCATCCCATCTGCCCCCTTCGCCCCTGGGATGCTTCCAGTTTACCCCCTGTACCCCCCTCTCACACAGCCTCTGTCTGTGCCGGATCCAACTCGATTCCCCCCAACTCAAATGGTTCCTCCCATGATGGCCCTGGTTTTGCCAAACTACATGTTCCCTCAGATGGGAGCCCCCATGTCCCAGCCAGGGGCCACAGGACACTTTTTTAACCCCAACTTTGCGTACCCAGGCACTACTCCAGTTACTGGACAAGGTGTTGGATCTAACCCTGTTCTAGTTTCTAATCCTGTCCCTATCCCGGGCACTGGTGCCCCGTCTCGTAGCAGCACCCCCCAGTCTTACAGCCAAACCCCCGCTGACCGCGAGGGGGCAGAGTCCCCTCTCTTTCAGTCACGATGCTCCTCCCCTCTCAACCTGCTGCAGCTGGAAGAGTCCCCCAGTAACAGGCTAGAAGTGGCCACTGCTTTAGCAGCATCACAACAGACCACACCCTCTGCACAGGGCGGGACCCCCGGAGCACAGAGTGTAGCCAATCAGAGGGGAGCTGACGACACCTCCAAAGAGAATGAAAACGTAAGCTTCTCCTTAAACTGAAGCACATTGTTGGCGTATAATATGCACAGCTCCTAACCCCTGCCTTCCTCTCTTAGGGCGAGGCCAATGAGTCAAACCATGATGCAGATGCCATGTCAACCTCCAGTGACCTCCTGGACCTGCTGCTACAGGAGGATTCTCGCTCTGGGACGGGCTCAGCCGCTTCAGGCTCCGGCTCCTCCGGTTCTGGCTCCGGCTCCAATGGCTGCAGCTCATCTGGCACTGGCTGCACCAGTAAGTGACCTTGTGCACAGCTTTTATCAAACATCAAACACACACAAACATGAACTCACATTAACATTAACTCTCTCTCTTTTATCTGTCTGTAGGCAGCAGCCAGGGCAGTCACACCAGCAAATATTTCGGCAGCATTGACTCCTCTGAGAATGATCACTCCCGCAAACAGCCAGCAGGGGGCAGCAGTAGTGCAGGAGGAGATGGTGGAGAAGAGCAGTTCATTAAGTGTGTCCTACAAGACCCGATCTGGCTGCTCATGGCCAACACAGACGACAAGGTCATGATGACGTACCAGCTGCCCGTCAGGTAGACCCTGAGCCACAGAGGCTTTCATTTACTTTTAAGATGACCTTCTACACTAAGGGTGCACTCACACTAGCCCAAACAAACCATGCCCAGACACAGCACGTTTGGGACTTTATCCCAGTTGGAGGAGGTGGACCAATGTTGCTCATGTACGGTCATACACATGACTTTACTATACGAGCCCTGTCAAGTGCACTAATGTTACTCATAAGAGGAAAACGCTGAATTAATTCCACTCCAAAATACATGGCGAATTTGCACTTACTTCAATAAAGACTGGACGGTGACAAGTTTTTCAGCCTCACTCCTCCATGCTGTTTTTATATCCATAAAGGATATGGAGGGGCGCGTATCGCAGCAGGACTCATACCCGTCTTACTATTTTTAATAAATATTTTATGCCACTGGACTTATTTTCTCTGCTAAAGCTTTAGCTCTGCTACGCGACATGTAAACAAACAGCTCTGTGCAATGACGTCATCAGGCTGTGGCTCGGTTTGGTTGTTCAGATGCGAGTGTGGGGCATATAACCCACAGCAGTCGTGCTTGAGCAAGGCATGGTTCTAAGGCCCTGTGTGAGTGCGCCATAAAGACAGCATCCAACATATAGTAGTTTTTAAATAACTGTCACTGGCAGTTAGTGAATGGTCTGTATTGTTGTTTCAGGGACAGGGAGAGTGTGCTGCGTGAAGACCGTGAGGCTCTCAGAAATATGCAGAAGCAGCAGCCTCGTTTCACAGACGAGCAGAAGAGGGAGCTGAGCCAGGTACATCCCTGGATCCGCACAGGACGCCTGCCACGCGCCATCAACATCTCAGTAAGGACAACACACAACTGTCTGATCCATGTGTTCTGTTCAAAATCACTCATTGGTTTGTGTGTTACAGGCCTGCACTGGATGTAAGTCTCCCCCCTGTGTGCTCCCCACTCAGCCCTATGACGTGGAGATCCATGAGATGGAGCTGTGCAGCGTACTTAAGTCTGAGGAGTGTGATCCTGGAAAAGACAAAGAACAGATAGAGACACTCATGGATGAGCCTCACCCAGAGGAAGAGGAAGACGAAGAAGAGAAAGAGGACAAATCACCAGCGGAAACAGCAGAACAGCTCAGGACTAACTCCCACAGCAGTGAGGAGAACAGGGTTCCTGCTGAGTCTCACATGGCCCTATAGGGGAACACTGTCTACACCTGCCTGTCGCCATGCAATGTGCCAGAGCAGGCTGCACTTATGTTCAGGTTGAGGACTTGTTTAAAGACTGTGCAAGAAATGCCTTTGAAACCACAGGACGACACACTCTCAGTTTTGGAGAGTGAAATAGTTCTTTTGTTCATTTGTTCCTTGAGACATGACATATTTATTTAAACTGTAAAAAAGGGGGGATTAAATGGGAGGATGTGTTACTAAAGGCAGAGTTTACATAAATGTTCCACAGTGTCCCCTGCGCCTCTCATTCTTGGTTCAGCTCTTCACATTTCTGCTGTTGTAGAATGTTGCTCCTGCTGACTGTCTTTTTAACATGTGACACTTTAAATGCTAAAATCACGCTACAAATCACCAGAAAAAGACAAACAAAAATGTGTACAGTGAATCATGTTTGACTTTGTTTTATTAAAGTTTGCATCTATTTTTATACTTGCAGGCAGCGATGCCACTGAGTGGTGTTTTATAATTTGCTATAGCTAAAGCCTCAACATCAGTATGAGTCACTTGGTTGTTGCTATGAGCAATGTACAGTTGTAAAGATGAGAAAATGCCTATGAATTGTCCCCTTTTTTTTTTTCAGTAACAGTATTTTAAAGTGGTCCCACATTAGAAGCTATGCGTGGGGCCTTTCATTTTGTTGCCTCTGATCACAATGGATGGATGAGCAAGTGGAAATCTTCCCTCCTTTTTAAGTCTCTCCTCTCTTCCTTGCACTGTTTTGATCATGTCTCCTTTGCTTTATGGTGTCAGTGATGTCTGCTCCCGTTTCTTAATATTTTGTGAATTTGTTTGTACAAAAAAAGAGAATAAAAAAGCCAAAAGAACTTCCTTTGACCTCTCTCTTTCTATGTGCTGGTAGGTTCATGGTTGCACCTCCTCCGCTCTATTTTTATCAGTGTTTTGCAACAGTCGGCGTGGAGACAGAGCGAGGGAACCACAGCCTGCTTCTGTTGAGCTGTGGCTGGAGCCGGAGTGGTCACCGCAGCCCAAAAAAGACAAAAGCTGGACTTCTCTACACAAAGATGCTAAATAACTCTTCATTGATGACTATAGACCTCACAGTCAGTTTAAATACAATGGCGTTTTGACTATTAGTAATTACATCAGTTGTCTCTAACCTCTTTAAGTCACCTGTACAAAAATGAAAAAATCCAGGGGGAGAAACTAATTTTAGATGTAGCAAGAAATTTTGTAAATATAAGGCGCATGGCCATCGATGGGGTATAGTTATCCTATAAAACATAAACCATTGTCCAATTAGTGCACAAAGTTAGGCATGAAAATTATACATTAAGAACAGCAATAGGGATTTAATCTCATCAAATTTTTGTTATTCAGCACAATACATATAATTCAGAAATCTTTCTGTGAGCTATTGTGAAGGGGGTGGAGAACTACTGGCTGCTCCCGAGCTACAGGTTGGAGACGCCTGAACTACATAGATTAAAATCAAGTACACCCTTAATGTACCATACACAACTAGAAAAAGACTTTGTAAACTCTTTACAACAAATACTGCTACTGCAACAATGACTGCCAGAGGTGGGTAATAGGTCTACAGTTATATTTACTTTTCATTTTCTAGTCATATATTTTTACTGCAATTACACTTGGTTAATATTTTTATTGAAGTAACAGTACTTGAGTAGAACTTTTGGCTCCTCTTCCCACTGTGATTTCTATATATGCTTTCCACATTGCCACAGGAGATGAAATATTTAAAATATTTGCATCTGAAAATAAATAGAGCAGACCACATTTAGAATGGCTTGTGTATTACTACAATTCAGAGGGAGGGACTTGAAGGTCAGTGACTTGGGACTTGACTCGGACTTGAGGCCTGTGACTTGAGAAGACTTGAGAAGCACTTATAAATCTGAATTCTTTCTATTCTGAATGTAATTATTCACACTAAGATCTTGTCAAGACATTTAAAAAGGAAAAATTTACATTTCTACAACTCTTATATAGTCTATAAATACTCATATATAAATATACTATGATTTTTTAAGTACAATTTAATTTAAAATTCACATAAATTGCAAAAAGCTATATTTCGTACTTTGATTTAAAGACTTGAAATGACTTGAAGCTCAAAGCTTGACTTGGACTTATGAGCCAGTGACTCGACAATCGACTTGGACTTGCTTGTATTTGACTTGGGACTTGACTAGGACTTTAGGTTAAAGATTTGAGACTTACTTGAGACTGGCAAAACAATGACTACCAAGTGCTTCTGTAATTTTACTATCATCAAAACCAGGGCAGTAATCTATTTGTATAGAGTCAAAAGTTTGGGCATACCTTCTCATTCAATATTTTTATTTAACTGTTTTTCTTTGCTACATAATTCTATATATGTACTTCATATATTTGATGTCTTCCATATGCATCTAAAATGTAGTAGTAAAACATAAAGAAAACAGTGAATGAAAGGGCGTGTTCCAAACTTTTGAAAAGTACTGTATGCATGGTTAGAATGAGGATTTCAGCAAAACTGAAAAAAGTGATTGGCTCTTTATACTGTATATTTATCTGTACACATTATTGATTTTGGCGTAGTAGTAGTTTATGCAGTAATTAACTCACCCCTTCTTCTACCTCCCCCGTGACCCCGCCCCTTTTTAGAACCTCTCCACGCCTCTCCTCTCCTCTTTCCCTCTCTCCTCTCCTCTCCTCTCCTCGTCTCCCTCTCTCCTTCTCTCCTTCTTAGCCTCCAAGGACTTCACCATGGAGTTCAGGGTTTGGGATATCTGCTGGTTTATCATCTTGACCCTAGGATGGACCAAGGCTCAGACTCAGACCGATACCAGGTACATTAGAAGCTTAAAGGTGCATTGTGTAACTTTTCTAGTGGAGGTTTTGTTAAATGCTTTTTTCCGTGGAGATGTTATTGCTTTGTCTGGAATGTTTTACAGTATGGCATTAAACCTTTCTATCTTCATGGAGACCAAACCAACCTAACCAACAAGTTACAGGTCAGATCTGTAGAGAGGCGACCCTGCTCACAGTCAGAATGTCTGTTTTTTTATGTATCTTTGAACTATAAAACCACCTGTAATTGAATAACTGTAAAGTAGAGCTGTTTAAAGTCATGCTGTGGAACATTCTAGGCAGAGCAATGACATATCCATAGAAACAAGCAACAAGCAGGTGACACTTTAAACATTAGAATCTTTTTTGCTTTTTGCTTGGGTACACCTCCACACTGAACTTAATGCACGTGGCAAGTCAAGTTTCAAACAACGATTTAACTGTTTTTTCTTCTGTGGTAGTTGTAGTCTTTACACTGACAGAAAACTACAAATTAGGCGGTTTCTGTGTTTAGAATACGTGGTTGGCATCTCCTAAACAGACAATTTTGAGAACCATTAGTCACATGATCAATCACGCCATGTCTGATTGGTGGTTTTCAGATTCTACACGTATCTCTATTGGCGGGCATGTTCAGCAGTTACTATGGTAACACAATTCACACATTAGCAATAATTAACAAAAAGTTTAAGAGTGTTTGAAAGCTCAAGAAAAAAATACAAAATTGATTTAAACCACACATTTTCAGGATTAATATGAGCATTTATGGTCCTGCTTAATTCATAAATGAATTCATAAAATTTCTTTCAGTGACTAGACCCAAGAACTGTGAACTTGTGTCAAATATTTTGGCATTAAACAATATAGCCTACAACTACAGCTCATGTTGTGATCTTGTTATTTAACTACTAAAATAACTTATTTAATTCTTTTGTAGTTTTAATGTCTTACTCTATCAATAACTAGAAGAAAGCATAGTGACTTAAAGGTGCATTGCGCAACTGTTCTGGTGGAGGATCTGTCACCTGTTTGTCTTCATAGAGAAGTTATTGCCCTATTAACCCTCTCTATCTCAAAGGAGACCACTATAGGCTATATTACAGGTCAGATCTGTGGAGAGGCAACTTTATTCACAAAGTGAATTATAGTATTTTTTATCATAAGAAACACCCGTAATCAATAAATGCCAGATAGGTTTAGTAACAGCTCCATGGAGACAAGCAGGTGACGGACCTTTAAATTAAAAATGTTAAACAAAATACAGTCATATAGTGATTGTTGTATACACATTGTTTACTCACTTGGGGTGTAAATTCACTTGGGACAAAAACACATGCTTGTGGGTTTTGCTCAAAGCCAAATGTGGTCACAGCATTCCAGCGTAGAAAGAATAAAACTGACAAAAACAAAAGTCTCGATCTGATCTGGCAACACTTATGTTACCAGTGGTGGAACAAATGAAGTGAAAATAGTAAAGCACTGTACTTTTAAGTAAGTAAGTTTAAAAATTAGGACATATATTGTTACTTGAAGGTGCACTGTGTAACTTATTTGGTGGAGGGTCTATCATCTCATCATCTTATCATCTCATCATCTCATCATCTTATCATCTTATCATCTTATCATCTTATCATCTTATCATCTTATCTCCATGGAGGCTTGCAAGTCAAATTACAGGTTAGAGTTGAGGAGAGGCGACCCCACTCACAGTAAGAATGGATGTTTTTTAAAGATATTTTTGGGCAATAAATAACAGCTATATGAATAAATGTAAGACAGATTACTGTGGACAATAAACTAAAGCATTAACATCTCCATGGAGACAAACAGGATGAGGACCCTCTCCAGAAAAGTTACACAGTGCACCTTTAAGCAGATTTTTTCAGTGGAACGTTTTACTTTTACTTCACTATATCTGAAAGCAGGCATCTGTACTTTCTAGTTCACTTCATTGTTGAACAGGACTGAAAAGTAAAAGTATTTTTTATTATAGTTTGAGACCTGTTTAAAAGGCTTATGGTTTATTTTTTAACTCATTTGTAATTTAAGCAAACAAAAATATACACAAAAAACAGCTCAGAAAAAGTCTCCTCAGTTGTTTCTGTTCAACAAAATTCAGCACAATTCTTTATTAAAATCATTACATTTTAAGTTTTATTAGATCTCAAAATCTCATGTGATACTTTTGCCTGTATTTCAGTATTTCTTTGCTCTGGTATATGTACTTTTACTAACAAAATTGAGTACTTCTTCGACCACTGCATGTTACAAATTATGAACTGCAAAGATGAGGAAAGCTTCAATTAAACAAGTGAAGAGGAGGTAATGCCCAAAATGAAAAGTTAGTAGAGTTTGATGTGTGTTTATCTGAATACGAGTGGGTGTGTTTGACCAGATGCCATGTGTGACCAAGGCTCCAGTCCCACTAAAATATTTCTCTCTCTATGAAGAAAATCCATAGCATTTTTATGTGTGTTGGCAGTTTTTTTGGGTTTACTTTGACCAAGTTTTGAAAAACACCGTCCAGGAAACTGAAAGCACAGAGGCAGCCTGTCCGTGTGTGGTTAGCAGCGTGTATCCCAGTGCATGTGTGTACCCATTAGTGTTACATAAGCAGAGTCCATCTATACTTCACATATACTACCAGTCAAAAGTTTGGACACACCATCTCATTCAATGTTTTTACTACTTTCTATATTTTATAGACATACAGAATACTTCAAATATATGTAGTAAGATCTATGGAATTGTGTAGCAAATAAAAAGAGTTAGAGAGTTATATTATACCATTTTGTGATCTTTGTCATAATGTTGTTTCCTCATCAAAAACATAGCTGGAGTTGTGTTTTGTTTCATTCACACTTTTAACACACAAATCCTGCAGTTATTCTCTCAAAGAGTAAACACTCTGTTCCACCTTGTGATGTCATGTGGCAATACAGGAAGTGATCCACTGTGTTTTTAAACACCTTACAGCTTCACTAGAATCATTTGGATCATTTCAGCCTTGGAATTGCCAAAAAAAATAAAAAATAAAAATAATAAATAAATAGTAAAGGGTAATTTGAAAACTACTACTTCATGACATCAGAAGGTGGAAGGGCATTTAGAGCTTTAGAGATATAGAAAGACAAATAGTGCAGGATTACTCAAACATGTGTGAATTATGTTTTTGATTAAGAAAGCTCACGAGAGACAATTTTGAATAATATAGGCCCATTAAATAATTCTACTATGTATTTTAAAAAGATTTTATGTTCAAATCCTATGTTCCTCTTGTTGAAAAATAGTTATTTAACCTTTTTCTTTAATACATAATTTAAGATATCTTACTTCATATATTTGGTGTCTTCTATATCTAAAATGTATAAACTAGTAAAAAGAAAAATAGACACTAAAAGAGATGGTGTGTCCAAACCTTTGACTGATAGTTTATATACTTCACATATGCTGCTATAACTTCAAATCTCTCCTGTTTTTTTGTTTTTTTCAGGCCTGTTTTCAACTGTGGAGGACACCTGGTGACAGACTCAGGCATAGTGGCGAGTGAAGGCTTCCCCAGTCAATACAAACCCAACAGCAAATGCACCTGGTACATCACAGTGAGTAAAATATGAACGACGTATTCAAGAGGGACCAGTGTATACAGAGAAAACATCATGGATTTTCTCTGCAACATATTATAGATCAGGGGTGTCAAACTCATTTTGGTCCGGGGGCTGTATCCAACCTACTTTGATCCCAAAGGGGCCAGATCAGAAAATTCATGGCATATAAACCCCAAAAATAGCAATAAGTTCAAATATTTGTGCAGAGAAACGCAAATCTATTATTATGAATTGATGAACTCTTTCTTTTACAAAATATTATATTATTAACCACCTGAAACTTTAATAAAAATGCAATTTCAACACAATGTTTTAACATTAACTTGTATGCAAATAGGAATAAGCCCATTTTTCTTGGAAAACCCTGCACTCGGCGTCCACTTTTCTCATTTTTGACATTTTGCTGATGAGGGTGTCACGGTCAACAGTCAAAACAATTGTCCTTTATGAGCATTTGGAAAGAGGCAAGTCTTCATTTGTGCTGCTTTGGTCGGAGGCACCCACACACAGAGACATAGAAATATAATTAAAATATTTTAGTAGAAAATCAGCCCAGGGCCAGATTAAAGGTCTTGGAGGGCCAGATCTGGCCCCAGGGCCGTATGTTTGACACCCCTGTTATAGATAGATACTTTATTGATCCCGGAGAAAATTCAAAGTTGAGCAGCAGCAATAATGACATAGACATAAAAAAAAAATATTTAAAGGTGCACTGTGTAACTTGTCACCTGCTTGTTTCTATGGATATGTCATTGCTCTGCCTGGAATGTTCCACAGTATGACTTTAAACATACTTCTACCTTACATGTATTCAATTACAGCTGGTTTTATGGGTCAAAATACCTATAAAAACAGGCATTCTGACTGTGAGTGGGATTGCTTCTCCACAGATCTGACCTATAACTTGGTCTGGTTTGATCTTCATGGAAAATGAAAGATTTAATACCATACTGTGAAACATTCCAAACAAAGCAATAACATCTCCATATAGAAAAGCATTTGACGGGCACCAGAAGTGCAGACAGCAGTCCATCCTCTTGCATTCATCAGCTGTAGCAATGTGTAGAGTTGTGTGGCAGGTGGAACAAATGACCTCCAGAGTCTGTCCGTGTAGCAGGACAGGGACAAATGTGCTCTCCTGTCCGGTGATGGTGCTGTGCAGGGGGTGCTGGGGGTTACAGGAGCTTGTTTAAGGCTTGTATGACATCACAAGGTCAAACAGAGTGTTTTCCATCTGAAAGAAGAAGTCAGCCTAAATATGCAGGGATTGTGTGTTAGACATGCGAGACATAAACAAAACAACTGTTTGATGAGGACACGACATTATAACATAAATCCAAAAATAGTGTAATATGGGGGCCCTTTAAACCACTCACTGCTTTATTTGAAAACAAGTTTGCTTGAATGTACCCAAACTTTTCTTTCTTCGCTCAGCCACAAACCCTCTCTGCTGATGTGGTGTGTTAATTAGTGGAGGGTTTAATGCAAACTCACCCCACAAAGACTCCAGCCTCTGTTTGACGCCCTGTTCTTGGTCTGTGAGAGTGGAGTTGGTCCACCACCTGCAGAATGATCAGGGTGAGGCACATAAACAATTTAACTTAAAGGGCCCATATTACCCTATTTTTTAATCTATGTTATAATATTGTTTCCTCATCAAAAACATTCTTAGAGCAGTGTTTTGTTTCATTCACACATGTTTAACACACAAACCCTGCATATTTATGCTGAGTTCTTCTCTCTCTAAAAATACATTCCACCTTGTGATGTCACGTGGAAGGAAGTGCTCCACTGTGGTTTTTAAACTCCGTCACTAGAATCATTTGGACAATTTCAGCCCTGGAATTCCTGATCTCTGCTGAACAGATGGTAAAAGGAGCTATTAACTTGAAAACAACTACCGCTTCATGACATCACAAGGTGGAACAGAGCATTTTCAGCTTTGGAAATGTAGACAGACTAACAATAAAGAATTACTCAAACATGTGTGAATGAAAACAAAACACAACTCCAGGTATGTTTCTGTTGAGGTTACAACATTATAAGATGATTTAAAGCTTACAAGAGTCAGGTTTGTGTTATATACCACTTTTAGATTATATAGGTCTTATTACCTTGATCCCATTCACTCAGCTCAGACATAACATCACAGTTTTCACTCACCCACATGTCTGCCCTAAATGTATCAGTGAACTCAGATTTATTGTCAAACTAACATAATAATCTGAGTCTTTACACTTTGTTGGCCTCCAGGTGCCCGAGGGTCACGTGGTCATGCTGTCCTTCCGCCTCTTTGACATGGAGGCGGACCCCACTTGTCGCTATGACTACCTGGATGTGTATAACGGGCACACTCGCCTGGTGCAGAAGCTGGGGCGCTTCTGTGGAACATTTCGACCTGGGGCTCTGATCTCTACCTCTAACACCATGATGCTGGAGATGGTCTCTGATGAGGCCACGTCTGGACGAGGGTTCCTCGCCTTTTTCAGTGCGGGGAAGCCACACGTGGAAGGTAGGCATGAGAATAAAATATTTGTACTCTATAGGACTTACATGATTATGTAAATGAATGTATCTGGTTTTCGGATTGTAGAATGTGATGATTTCATACTCCCAGTTGGGAGGAAGAGACAGTTTTCCCAATTGATTACATTGTACTTTCCACTGAAATATCTAAAAAGTAAATTCACAAAGAAGAAACCCAAGAACTCACTGTATTCTAACAAAACTCTACATTTTAACAATATGAATTTTAGCTGCACCCATCTATATTAAATATGACTGGCCTATAGACTACTGATGCCAACTGAAACCTGGCAATACAGTTAAAAAATAGGAGTGACCTTATTAAAGGTGCACTATGTAACATTTCTGGTGGGGCGTCTATGGAGATGTTGATTTGTCTGGAATGTTCAGCAGTATAACCTGGTAATTATTCAGAGTAAAAAAAGACAAAAAGAAAAGCATCCATTCTCCAGGTCAGCAGGGTCTATTCTCCACAAATCTTGTAACTTGACCTGGTGATTTTACTTTCTTGTCTGTCTTGTATCTAGATAGATATGTTTAATGATATACTGTGGAACATTCCTGGCAAAACAAAAACATCTCCATGAACTTGTTGTTGCCAGTAGTAACTATACGTTATTTTTTGGTCTTTTGAAATCCCTGTTTTTTTTTTCTATTTCTGTTTCTACAAACAGTAAAAGTATGATTTTGTCACAGAGAACCAGTTCTGTGGAGGCCGTCTCACCAAAGCTCAAGGCTCCGTGAAGACTCCAAACTGGCCCAACTCTAACTACCCAGCGGGCATCAGCTGCTCCTGGCACATCTCTGTGGAGCCCAGCAATGTCAGGCTATGGCATCTATCTATCTATGAGAGTCAGAATGATCTGATGATTTATAGCTTTTATTTCCAGACTTTTGTGTGGGTCAGGTGTGTTGACTGAGGTTTTATTTGAAGAAAAGGGCGGTCTGTATGTAGTGGTGAAGGGGCCCATCTCCAGGAAAACTGAACAAATTTGAGCTGAAAGCATTCATTGAGAGTCAGAGGTGTGTGCCCAGAGTCCAGAGATCTGAACGTAAGGATGTAGGAAAAGAGGCAGGACCAGTGACTAAAAGCCTCTCTTTATGCGACAAATCTGATATTTTCTCTAGTTTAAAATCCAGCTCAAACTGCACACGTGTGGATTTAAATTACATCAAACATCATTTTCAAATTCATTATGTTATATTTAATGCGCCTATGACAGGTTAGACGACTCATTTTACTAAAACACACTTAACATCATTATATTTAAGATTTAACAAAAAAAGAAACAAAAAATATATATATATTTGGCCACTTTTCAGGTGTAAAGTTTTACTTCTTGGTTGAAAATAATGACATCATACTAGAGTATTCCACAACTGTTACCTAGCAACCATGTTATACACTAGGTCAAACCCCCTCTAATGTACACAGAAATGAATATCTGACATAAGAAGACATGTTTATCTTGTTGAAACAATGTTTAAAATATTGGGAAAAAAGGTGTTCCTTGTGTAAATTGTGCCGAACTTTTGGACAGAATTCTTCCTATAAAGAGAACCCTAAAATAGAATAGATAGAAATCTCTATACTTCCTCTAATTTTCAACATATTTTTCAAATTTTCTTCACAAATATCTTCTCGATTTGTATAAAAGTATAATTTATATTTACAGGTATTATCGCACCAAATTAAGTCAGAATATGAGAATCATCAGAATCTTTAATTACACAAAAGATCATTTTCAAATCCTTATTCAAAGTCATTATTCTGTGTTTAATGTGCCCTGGTGTTGCTTTACACAGGTGATTGAGGTGAAGTTTGAGAAGTTGGACCTGGAGCCGGATACATACTGTCGCTACGACTACGTGGCCCTGTTTAACGGAGGAGAGACCGATGACTCCAGGAGAATTGGCAAGTTTTGTGGAGATACTGTGCCAGGGTGAGAATTTATTTAAATCTGTAATATACTGTAGGTTCCAATGGTACAGAAATTGGTCCATATATTTACACAGTGTTGTCCAGTTTTCAAAGGCAATATAGGCTATAGTTGTATATACTGTTGATCTCTATTGTAACTTTGCAGTGACATCAGTTCAGATTAAGCCTAACCTGAGTAATAGATCTTCAGACAGAGCAGTGCCTGCAGTTAGCATCACTTCCTCAGTGAATATTGACAACATCATTTGCAAACTATCAAAATTCTGGTAATTTGCATGCAACTTTTACATTGTCATCAACAGAACCATAGTGACCAATGGGAATGAGCTTTTGGTCCAGTTTGTATCTGACCTCAGCGTGACCTCGGATGGCTTCATGGCACTTTACAACAGCGTCCCCCGGGGTTCTCGTAGACCAACGGCTGGAGGGGACTTTATTTTTAGCTCTCCCAGCAGCTCTGCTCCAAAACCTACTTCCAAGCCCACATCCAAGCCCACAACCAAGCCAACCAAGCCTGCCAAGCCTACCAAGCCTACCAAGTCAACTAAGCCCACCAAGCCCACCAAGCCTATTAAACCAATAAAACCTACTCCGAAACCAAAAGCAAGCCTCAAACCTACCACGAAACCAATAAAAACAAAAGTGACTCTGCCCTTGAAGCCACCTGCACGCAAGCCCACCCCTAAACCAGGACTGAAACCTAGCCCCAAGCCCAAACCAGCCAGACCCACTCCACCGACGAAGAAGAAGCTTGCACCGAAACCTGCCACTAAACCAGTAGTCAAAGTTACACCGAAACCAAAGATTATCAAACCAACAATGAAGCCCAGAGTTAAACCAACCAAAAAGCCAGCAGCTCCTAAAGTGAAGCCCACATTAAAAACAGCCATTAAACCAGTGAAGCCTACGCCAAAAACTGGTTTAAAGCCCACGGTGAAACCAAAATGGAAGCCAAAAGCCACCCCCAAAACAGGAGTCAAAACTGTGACCAAGAAGCCCTCTGTGATCAAGAAACGTGAGTCATTTTTAGCTTTGGTTTGGGTCCTATATTACACAAAACTTACTCTTGTGAGCTTTAAAGGGATAGTTTGGAATTTTGGATTTCCTAGTGAGCCCGAGTGTTAGAGACATGTGGAGGCATGTTTTTAAATATTCCATCCAGTCCTTGTATTTGCAGAGGTCACTGGTGATAGGCTAGTGCATGTCAATGGCCATAGTTAGCCTGCCACTAAAAACACTCTTACCCACTCCAGAAAACACCCAAAGCAAATTACACCAGACTGTCGATGACGATGTCTGTGTCGATAGAATCATTTTAGAAGTAAAACCAACTTTGCTTTCCTGATAGAAAGCTTGGCAGCATTGGACTGATATCACTTAGCACCTGCTGCTGCTGAGAAAACATGAGATGATTCATGCAATGCAAGGTTAGTTTTATTTCAAACATTATTCTATTCTAACACAGACATTTACATTGACAGTCTGGAGTAATAATAGATTTGCTTCGAGTGTTTTGTGGAGTGGGTAAGACAGTTTTTAGTGGCAGGATAACTATGGCCATTGACATGCACTAGCCTAGCACCAGCGACCTCTGCAAATACAAGGACTGGATGGAATATTTAAAAAAGTGTCTCCACACGTCTCCAACACTCTGACTAACTAAGAAATGAGTTCTTATGTCCAAAATTCCAGGCTGTCCTTTTAAGCCATGTTATAATTTTGTTACCTCTTCAAAAACATACCTGGAGACCTCTTTTGTTTCATTCACACATGTTTGACTAATTCTGGTCTATTAGTCTGCCAACATCTCAAAAGCAAAATGCTCTGTTCCACCATGTGATGTAATGTAGTGTTAGTTTTCAAGTTAACAGCTGTTCAGTGGAGACTGGCAATTCCAGGCCTGAAATCATCCAGGTGTATGGAGTGTTAAAACACAGTGGAGCACTTCCTGTCATGACATCACAAGGTGGAACAGAGTGTTTTCAGTTTGAACTAATCTTAGATATGCAGGATTAGTCTGTTAAACATGTGTGAATGAAACAAAACAGGTCTCCAAGTATGTTTTTGGTGAGGTAACAATATTATAATATAGATCAGAAAACAGCGCTATAGGACCCTGGCAAAATGAAATACCTTTTACTGTTGGAATCACATTTTTTCCTGATTTAATATTTTAGGATCAGTGTGCGCTAAAAGTTTTTGCCTCTATAATAAATCCTGTTATGCTTTATTTCCCACAGCGTTACCACTGAACCCCCAGTGCACACAGACCTGTAAGAGGACAGGAACTCTGCAGTCCAGTTTCTGCCCTCATGACTTTGGTGAGTACTACATGGATGTGTATTGGAGGAATATTCACCAGTTTCCATGGAGACACAATGCACACTGCACAAAATGTTTTAAGATCATCTGAAAACTCAAGAAAAGTATACAAAATGGATTGACACAGTACATTTTCAGGAGCCTGTGATCAATACGAGTGTTGATGGTTCTGATTAGGTTCCAAATAAGTCTGTTCTTTTTGGTCAGATTGTATTAAATTAAAGGTGCATTGTGTAACTCATTTTGTCCATCAAATGCTCTTCTCCATGGAAATATTTCACAGTATCTGTCTATCTTCATCGAGATCAAACCAAACCAAATTACATGTCAGATCTGTGGAGAGGCAACCTCACTCACAGTCAGAATGCCTGTTTTTTGGGTATTTTTGAACTATAAAACCACCTGTAATTGAATAAATGTAAGGTTGAACTGTTTAATGTCTTACTGTGGAACATTCCAAGCAGAGCGATGACATCTTCATGGAAATAAGCAGGTGATGGACCTCAACCAAAAAGTTACACAGTGCACCTTTAAAGCTCAGATTAAAGTCTAACAAACCTCAGACAGAGTAGATAATATTGATGACATCAGCTACAAAGTATAAATAATTTTTAGATATGTTTTTTTCTAATCACTATTTCTCTGTTTTTAGTGCTCACAGGTAAAGTTACATCTGTGACTATGGGTCCAAGAGGCTCTGCTACAGTGGAGGTGTATCTCATAAAGGCCTATAAGCCTGGACGCCTGAATATCACTAAGTCTGGCCCCATCATGTCCGTCACTCTGCACTCTGCCTGCAAAAGATGCCCCGGACTCCTCAAAGGTACTCATAAAGTTTAACCTATGACTTTCTTACTAAACAATCAATTTTGATACTGAAGTCTAACTACATCCAGATTCAAAACTTATCTACTCAGACTGGATTTTAAGACTCAGTAATCTTTAGTCACCTTAAGTGTTTTATAAATAAAGTTTATATTTATGTATTCACTCAGTGGTCCAGGTAGGTTCCATAGTGTTCCATGGGCGTATACTAGTCTGTGGTCTTATACTTGTACTGATACAGCTCAGGATCATTCTAAAGCGATTCAGGAAAGGTTCAGTTCTGTCCTATGAATGTGACTTCTTAATACCAATACTTGTTCAGATGAGTATCTACAGTAGTTAGCATCTGATTTTCAGTACTTTCGACAACCCTAACAAGGGCACTAAATGTGTGCTTTAAATTATTGCACTCTGTTGACCATTGTTAATATTTTATTGCAGTGAACTTTGCACCAAAAAACTGCAAATTGGTTCATCATTGGTTATAATATTTTAATCGGCATTCACAAAAGGCCTATATTATGCTATTTTCTGCTCTCTTTTATAATGTTGTTTCCTCATCAAAAACATACCTGGAGTTTTGTTTTGTTTCATTCACACACAAACATGCTTATTTAGGCTGAGTTCTTCTCTTAAACAGGAAACACTTCACCTTGTGATGTCGTGTGGTAATGCATGTGGTAATACTCCATACATCTTGACTAGAATCATTTGGATAATTTCAGCCCTGGTATTGCTAATCTCTTCTGACCTTAAGGTAAAATGGAGCTGTTAACTTGGGAACTACCACTTCATGACATTACAAGGTGGAACAGAGTATTTTGACTTTTGGAGATAGATTAAACAGACTAATAATGCAGGATTACTCAAACATGTGTGAAACAAACAAAACACAACTCGAGGTATGTTTTTGAAGAGGTAACAACATTATAACATGACTTAAAGCTCACAAGAGTCAATTTTGTGTAATACTGGACCTTTAAGATACTAGACTAGAGCATCCCAAATGTAACAGAAGTTACAGAAGATAATATATATTTTTTTGCTTTGTTTTTCATCTCGGCAGGACGTAATTATGTGTTAATGGGAAAAGTTGACCCTCAGGGCAATGGTCAGCTGACTCCATCCAGCTTCACTCTTCTGTATAAACCCATCCACGCCAAGGCCCTCGCCAATCTGACCAGCAAAAAGTGCTGACCAATCACGATGCCCGGTGTTTCGTCAGTAAGTGGAATGTAATGAGACCAGAATACATGTATCTTTGACACATTTTACTGCACATTTTTTTTATAAACATTGAAGTATAAATCGAATCCTGTTATATTTTGTATGTAAATTATAATAATGTGATTTTTTAATCAGTAAATAAATGGCGTAAAACTGGTATTACGTGTATCACTGATTAAACATTTTATGCACCAATCAAATATCAAACTACTGCAGACTGAAGAATAATTAAGAATGTGGTGAATATTTTTTATTTGACCCATAATCTGATATTAATATTTATCAACTTATCTGCAGAGGTGGGTAGTACTCAATCACATTTACTCAGTTATGTTTACTTGAGTAACTTTTTGAAGAAGTTGTACTTTTTCTAGCAGCATACTTTTACTCCTCCTTGAGTAATATTTGTGTTGAAGTAACAGTACTGTTACTTGAGTAAAAGGTTTGGTTCCTCTTCCTACTGTAAATAAGGCTACAAGTAAGGCTACTTGAGTAATTTTCTTGAACACTACTTTGTACTTTTACTTGAGTAATATTGTTTTGTAGATTTAGATTTAGAAAGATTTTTTTTTTTTTAATTCAGCATTGTTTTTTACATTTTAAACAGAGGTTGAACATGCACATTTCGTTTTCTGCATTTAATAACTACAGGTTTAGACTTACCTACTACAACAGAGCAAGTGACATTTATCAATCTGTTTTGCCTACTTCCATCATGTTACTGATGGCGCCCTCTGTTGGTGAAATGACAGAACGCGCTGTAGATGTTGAAACAATTACATTTTTCTGTTTTTGAGACGATCTATGGAGAGTTTGGGGCAAGGGCAGGTCTGTGAAGAGGCAAGCCTCCTCACAGCAAGTGTTCATGTTTTTTAAAATATATTTTGGTGCAATAAACATTGTAGTGACGTAAATGTATTTGTTTCACATAGTTGGTTGTTTTTAGTTTTTCAGTTCATGATTGAGAATCTGACTGAAAATCAATTACTTTAAAAAGTGCTTTTTATTACAAAGGAGGAACAAGGAAATGAATAAACAGGTAAGAACACATAGGTACAAAATCTTTTCTCAGCTTTCATAAACAGTACAAAATATGTCTATGTGTGTATTATTTGTATGTTTGACAAAAGTAGTTAAATTTGATTAAAATGGGTTTAAAATTGCACTGATCAAACAAGGCAATGAAGGAAGGGAAAATTAGGAAGGGATACATTTCAGTTAAAAACATCATGATTCCTGAGCAGAAGATAATACATAAAATATGCAAATGACTGGGTTAAAGAATATCTTCCCGACTATTTAAATAATATTCGAATCATGTGAATGTAAAACAGACTTACATTGACTGATAATAAAGAGCTATAATATACTCTTAAGCGTCCAGTGTCTATGTAGTGAAAAACATTACCTGATTACTTTAGTTGGCCTTTCACCTGATAGTGAATTGGATGAGGTACATTTTCAAAGTGACAAAATCATCGTCTGAAAAATGTAAACAAACAAGTCGATAACTTGAAGTGTCTCATTCTTGTGCAAGAGAAGGTCTAGAGTAGGGCAGAGACTTTTGGCTCCTTTGTGAGATCCGAATTCTTTTTAGATCAGTTCATTTCAAGAGGCATTCAAAAGATTGGCTCTTTCTACATTTAATTATATAACAGAAGAGAATGTGAGAACTAATTTAACTACAAACAGACCAAGGCAGAGGTTTGTTCAAAATGGTTCAAACTGAGAGTGAGAGTGTGTTTAATTATGAAATTCTAAATAAAATGTTGCATTACCAAAATGATAAAAAATGAATTGTTATTAAAGGTGCACTGTGGAACTTTTAAGGTAGAGGGTCAACCAGTTTCTCCATGGAGATGTTATTGCTTTGCCTGCAATGTTCTGAAATATGGCATTAAACTTATTAGTCTCCATAACGACAAGCACACTCCACAAATATAATAAGAATAAATGCAGTTTAATACCATATTGTGGAAGATTACAGGCAAAGCAATAGCATCTCATTGGGATCAGACCCTCAAATGTTACGTAGTGCACCATTAAGGTGATGAATATAATTTTATTTTTTATTTTTTTAATGCACAAAGTTCTCACATTCTCACATTGCCTGCTCTGCTTCTGTGCTGATTATTGTGTTGCTTCAGCTTTATTCAGTGTGAAAATGCATACAAATTGGAGAGAAAAAGAGTTGGTTGAGATACTAAGGAAGGTTCATATTAAGGAAAAATTCATGAACATCACATCACTCTGGAGCTCTGAGCTCAGTCGTCTGGATCAGCGCGCCCACACAGGCAGAAGCAGCAGAGCACACAGCAGCCTCCCACCAATATCGCCCCCAGCAGGATGTAGGCCAGGGTGGTGGTCCAGAATGCAAACAGGTACAGCGTCTTATTGCAGTATGTGTCAATTATGGTTGCATTCTTCACATAGTTAGGCTCATATATACGGTAAATCCACACGTTACCTGGAGAATGAGTAAAAAACAAAATATGTGTATTAGAATAGGTTTCATTTTTTTTCAGGCGAAACTTATTTTTAGTTATTGACAAGATGTTGACAAAATGCAGCATGGTCCTGGCTCGATGGAACCATCAGGACAACATGATCTGCAAACAACCGAGATGAGATCCTGTGGTCCCAGAACCTGATCCCTGACTGTGCCTAGAAATTCTGTCCATAAAAACACTTAACAAAACCGGTGACAAAGGGCAGCCCTGAGGGAGTCCGACATGCACTGGGAACAGATCTGACCAACTGCTGCTAATGAATTCAGCTCCTGCTCTGGTCACACTTGGACCACACAGCCCTTCAGATAAAGGCCCCTGGACCCCATAGTCCTAGAGCACCTGCCTAACTAAGGACTTGGTCAAAGGCTTTCTCCCAGTCCACAAAACACATGTGGACCTGTTGGACAAACTCCCATGAACCTTCAAGCTGCCAACCCTCCCTTTGACTGGCATCATAACTCGCCTTGATATGCATAATAGCCCCTCTAAACCATTAAAAAAAAAAACTGGATCTGATCATAAACCTAATATGAACAGTGGGCCGGAGGTATAAGCTCCATGTGGGGATGCATAAACTCACCAGCAATGAACCAGCAGGAAACAAAGGCGGACAAAAGGGAGTTCCAGGCTGTGCACAGGCGGTGAAGGGGGCTGGTTGTCCCATCTGGGGAGTCTTGTGCACAGGGCAGACAGGCCAGGATGGCCAGTATCAGACCGCACACCCCTATCACCACCAGGTAGATGGGGATGTAGTGCTCCTTGGGGCACTCATCTAAGTACGCTGCACCTGAACAAGAGGGGAAAAAATCCATAATCCATAACGTAATGTGGTAGCACTTTGTATTTAATTTATACTATAACCATTACAGCATAACAGGACATCAACATTTAGTAAAAGAGTAAAAAGTATTTTTGAGGATATCAAAAGAAAAAAAAGAAGAAAGCATTTTCGAAAAATCAGTATATTACTTGAGTTAAAGTCTTTTGTACTTTGAACTTGTACAAAAGTCAAAAAGTTTCTACTTACCAATGGCTATCTGTGCCACAGGCAAGATGCAGACTACCACTTTACTGCATACTAAAAAATAACATATTTGTATTGAGTAAAGGCTGTGTTGAACAATGTAAATATAAGAAATAACTTGTCATATCTTACACATTATAGGCAGAGGGGGTCTAGGGGTTTTCTTGACACGATCGATAAGCACACTCATGGTCAGAGACAAGGACTCACCCACTGGAAGCAAAAACATAATTAATAAAACATGATGGTTAAAAAGGACCTGTTGGACTTATTTTACTTGACTTTTACCCACTATTTTCTGATCTGTTATATTGTAGGTTCCTCATCATAAACATACCTGGAGTTGTGTTTTGTTTCATTTACACGTTTAACACACAAACCCTGCAGATTTAGGCTGAGCTCTTCCCTAAAACTGACAACACTCTGTTCCACCTTGTAATGTCATGTGGTAATACAGGAAGTGATCTATTGTGTTTTTAAACTCCATACACCTTCACTAAAACCATTTGGATAATTTCAGACCTGGAATTGCCAATCTTTACTGAATTTATGGCAAAAGATAGCTTTGGAGATGTAGACAGACTAAAAATACAGGATTACTCAAACATGTGTGAATGAAACAAAACACAAATCCAGGCATGTTTTTGATGAGATGCCAATATTCTAACATGACTTAACTTGAGTCAAATTTGCATAATACAGGGCCTTTAAAATCAAAAGTAGACTATATAAATGTGCAGTTGGTGCCACTCAGTAATAATTCAATAGTCAGTAATATTTGTTATTAACTCACTCTGATCTGAACTGAATTTTCTGGAGACTAAGGTTCCAACTACTCAAAGTGGACATCAGCTAAATGTGCAAAGCAATAGCATCTCCATGGAGTGAAGAAAAGTTCCATAGTGCACTGTATAGTTGTGTTACTTGTCTCCGTGGAGATGTCATTGCTTTACTTCCAATATTCCAAAGTATGGCATTAAAATTTTCTCCATAGAAACAGACAGGAGGCACTGTCAGGACAAGTTACAGGTGAGATCTGTGAAGCGGTGACCCCACTCACAGTTAGAATGCAGGTATTGTTCAGCAATAAAAACACCAATAATTTTATAAATGCATCTAATATAAGTTTAATACCATATTGTGGAACATTAAAGGCAAAGCAAGAGCATCAGCACCATGGTAGCGGACCCCAACCTGAAAAGTTACGCAATACACCTTTAATCACTCTCTTTTATTGAAATGTGATCTCTTTATTATTATTATTATTATTAAGACAGCTTTTTTTAAGGTCATACACATTGTCTTGCTTTGTTTGATGACACATAGAAAAAAATACAGTTACAAATGATGATGAGAGCGAGACAGTGTAGTACTATGATGACATACACATAAATACACAAAAGGAGACAATCAGTGAAGTGATTTAAGTGACTGCATTCTCCACACAGCCAGTCTGACAACTTTAAGGACTTCCCATAACTTCAGAACACAGCGCTGAACTCTGCTGATGAAGCTGTTTGATTTTCATGATTTACCAATTGCACGATTAAACTAAAAATGCTACTATAATGTATATAACAAGTAATATGTTGCTTATGAGGCTCGCTTGTTGCGTTTGTTCAAATAAGGTGAGCCCCACCCTTCGTAACTTCGTAACATAACTTTTACGTCAAATAACAACACTGTACACTGTGTATTGTAATACTCATCTAAAACTGACTTTTTCATCTCTTGCTTTTGATCTTGATTTATCCGGAGTTTTTCTTACCTTACGCGTAAAAGTGTGCCAGTTTACCTTCCCAGCTGCGCCAGTGTGACATCCAACGCGCTGCGCCTACAAGAAACATGCGCCTGTGAAGGTCACGTGAGCAGCAGACGTAGAAGGTGATTGGTCGAGCGTCGTCTTAGTCACATCTCATGAGAACGTGTCTGTAAACTTTTTCGAATATCTTTGACAGGTCGTAAGAATGTTGTCATCAGTTTGATCTTTTCATCTAGAGCAACTTGAGCACATTAGCAAGATTTTATTTGGGCTATTTATTAACTACTACTGATTCAAAACCCTAGTAAATATGACAAATGCAATTATAATATCTGTCATTACTCAAGTTCCATGTATTTTAAAGGGAGTATGACACATTTAGATGATTTTCGAATTCTAAATCATGATCAGCTATCGGGAATTCAGGATAAGCCTAGACTTGTTGAACAACTTTGATGAAATATCCCCACACAAAACAAGTTCACATGTATAAACTTACTTACTTACCTACTTACTGCCTCTGATGAAAACAATCTCCCTGTGCCACCCACTTATATGTCCTAGGCGTAACAGATTAAACCAGAAGCAGAGAGGTGCAAAGATAAACAACAGCAGATCAGACTAAACAAATGAGAAAATATATAAGAAATATGAACACAGCAAAAATATATATTAAATGTGCAAATTACTAAAACTAAACTAAAACTAATGAGACAGAAACAAAAAATAAACTAATTTTAGAATAAACAAAATTAGCAAATAGTACATACACTCTGTAACTTATTGCTTGGGGATTTGTCATATGCTTTTTTCTGTGGATATATCATTGCTCTGCTTGGAATGTTCTACAGTATGATATTAAACAGTTCTACCTTACATTTATTCAATTACAGGTGGTTTTATAGCTCAAAATACCTCGAAAAGTATACATTCTGACTGTGAGCGGGTTGACCTGTAACTTGGTCTGGTTTAGTCTTCATGAACATAGAAAGGTTTAATACCATACTGTTCCAGACAAAGCAATAACATGTCCATGGAGAAAAGCAATTAACAGACCCTCCACCGGAAAAGTTACACAATACACCTTTAAGTTTACATTGTATTTCCAGTCAGAGTCTATGTAGTGAAAAACGTTGCCTCACTACTTTAGTTGATCTTTGACCTAGTAGTGAACCGGATAAGGTGCATTCTCAAAGTAATACAATCACCATCGGAAACAAGCTGATAACTTCAAATTTGTCCGCTGTCTTGAGCAGGAGGTCTGGGGCTCTCAGCTTCATCATCGGGATCAGAGGACACACACAGGCTGATACAGATGTACATGCAGGAAATTCCCAATAGAACAGCCCCCAATATGATGTAAACCAGAGTGGTGCTCCAGAATGCAAAGAGGTACAGCGTCTTATGGCAGTATGTGTCAATCATGGTTTCATTCTTCACATAGTTAGGCTCATATATACGGTAGATCCACACGTTACCTGGAGAATGTGTGAGAAAACAAAATATGTTTGGATTTGCATTTGCATTTGGATCATTTCAGATCTGGAATTGTCAATCCCTACTGAACACAAGGTAAAAGGTTGCTGTTAATTTGAAAACTACCACTACATGACATCACAAGGTGTAGAGCATTCTGAGCTTAGGAGATATAGAGGGACTAATAATAAAGGATTACTTAAACACGTGTGAAGGAAACAAAACATAACAGCAGGTATGTTTTTGAGGAGGTAACAGCATTATAACATGGCTAAAAGTTCACAAGTCATAACAGTGAACCTTAAGAAGTAAACTCACCTGCGATGAACCAGCAGCCGAGGAAAGTGGACACAAGGGAGTGCCAGACAATGCTCAGGCGGTGAAGGGTGTTGGTGGTCCCGTCTTTGGGCTCCTCTGCACAGGGCAAACAAGCCAGCAGGGCCAGCATAAGGCTGAACACCCCCATCACCACCAGGTAGATGGGGATGTAGTGCTCCCTGGGGCACTCATCTAAGTATACTGCACCTAAACAAAATAAAAAAGAAGGCACACCATAACTTAAGGGTCCTTTAATATGTGAGCTTTAAGCCATGTTAGAATGCTGTTACCTCCTCGAAAACATACCTGGAGTTGTGTTTTTTTTCACTGATTCATTATAACATAGATAAGAAACTAGTTTAACATAGGCCCTTCAAAAGTAAAGTAAAAGCATGGTGAGCAAAATGCTGAATCTATAATCTAATGTGATAGCACTATGTATTAAATTTATACTATAACAAGTACAGCATAACAGGGCATGCAGACATCATAATTTAATGCATGGGTATAAAGTATTTTTGAGGATGTTTAAAGAAAAACATTTGTTACATATCAGTTGCTTGGGACAAAGGAAAGTAGCACAGACAAGATGTAATGGGTATAACATACAATAATAAATTAGAAGTTCCCAATGAAAACTAAATGACAAGGAAGGAGACTCTAAATGAATAAGGCAAAATTAAAGAAAAATACAAATACCCAAGGACCAAGCCACAGTGGCAGTCACAACAGATAGGCTAGGTCTTTAGTGACCTCTAGTGTCTCTGTTACAAATTACAACTTACACAGTCAAACAGTTACACTATGGTATACACAAACAAGAGATATGTCTGAATCAGAAGATGGCAAGCTGTCACTGAAGTCCAGCCACATGGACAAGCAGGTGGGTGGCACTTTTACTGGGCGAAGCACTGGCAGGTTTAGGCAGGGGACTGTTGGAGCAGGCGCCAGTACTTCAACCACTGCAGCAGGAATCAGGAGCCAACAGCAGAGACGGGTACGCCACCCACCGGTCAGGCGCCAGGACTCAGGCAGCATATGTAAATATATAAAAGGCACATGCAGTGAAAACAAAGATGGAGCGCAGGGCGAGGGGGGGGGGCCAAGCGCCGTAACAGTCAAAACTTCACTATATTACTGGAGTTAAAGGTGCACTGTGCAGCTTTCCTGGTGGAGGGTCCGCAACCTACTTGTCTCCATGGATATGTTATTGCTTTGCCTGGAATGTTCCATGGTATGACATTAAACATATCAGTCTAACATTTATTCATTCATTACAGGTGTTTCTATAATTCAAAAAATCCTTCTGTGAATAGGGGCGTCTCTCCCCAGATTTGAACTGTATTGTAACATAGTGCTGTAACCTGCTTGTTTCCCTTGTGATAGATACGTTTAGTCTATACTGTGGAACATTCTAGATAAAGCAATAATATTTCCATGGAAACAAGCAGGTGGCGGACTCTCCACTAGAAATGATACGCAGTGCACTTTTAAATTCTCTTACTGGCTTTGTTCACAGAGCCTATTACTTGTACAAAAGTCATAAAAGAATGCAGTGTTTTTACTTACCAATGACTATCTGCGCCACAGGCCAGATGCAGCCCCACACTTTACTGCAGACTAGAAAATGACATATTTATAGAGATTAAAGTTTGTACTGAACAATGTAAAAATACTAAATAACTTCAAGAACTGTCTATTAGGGCTGGGCAAAAAAATCTATCAAATCGGTTAATCAAATTTGAAGTTTAAATTGATTTGTTTAGAAGATTTAATTTAATTTTTTTTAAAATTGGAAACTGGACTGAAAATGCACAAACTCACTACTGTCACAGGAACCAAAGTTTTCAGAGAATTTTTTGTGGATAGTGCCCAGCCTTAATGTAAAATGTATGTCTTACACAGTGTAGGTAGAGAGGGTTTACAGATATTCTTGACAGGCTGAAGCAACACACTCATGGTTAGTGACAAGGGCCCACCCACTGGAACAAAAAATATGACAGTCATTGTAAAATAAAAAGTAGATTATATAAATGCACAGTTGGTGCTACTCAGTAATAATTAAATTGTAACAGTACTATTTGTTATGTAGTTATATGTTTTGCTCTGAATGAGAATTTTTGAGAGGAGATGTCTTCAGCATTTGAGGGGTGCATGCCCAGTGATGGAATGTATCGAAGTAAAAGAAGTAAAGTACTGTAAAGTACTGTACTATACTTATGTACATTTTAAAGCGGCTACTTTTAGCAGGTATCTGTATTTTCTACTCCACTACATTATTATATATTTATTATAGTCTGAGACCTGCTGAAGAGGCCTATGGATTATTTTTAACATGTTCATAGTCTGAGCGAACAAAAAAGTGCTTCTTCAAATTTGTTAGATTGTCTCAAGATTGGACAGACGTTTTTCATGTTCTATGGTTCGATTCAGTGGCGGACTGGGACTCAATAATGGCCCTGGACTTTTCCCCCACAAATCGGTCCACGGTAGAAACTGAGGACCAGGGGTGGGACTTTTCCAGAACGCACAGATTGCCAGTCAGCCCCTGGTCCGGTTCCAGACCCTTATGTCTTCGAACAGAATGTAGAAGAGACTGGCTGGTCAGACAAGGTCAGTGTGAACGCTACAGATGGAAGGATTTGACTTTAATGATTTTACCAGTTGCACGGTCAGATCAAAGCGCTACTAAAAACACTTAGTGGAAATAATGCACGCCCAACCCTTATCACTCACTGACAACCGCTCCAAGCTAAAGGTTTACGTCAAAAAACAACAGTACGTGCATTGTAATTCTCATCTAATACTGACCTTTTCATCTATTGGTTTTGACACTGGTTTATTCGGTTTTCTTACCTCAAGCGTTAGTGCCTTTCCAGTTGCGCCTGTCACACATGAATCTATTACAGTCACATAACGCACCGCGCCTGGGAAGGTCACGTGATCAGCTGACGGTGAAGGTGATTGGTCGAGCTTCGTCGTACTATTAGACTATCTGCACGGTTTGTGTGTTAAACATGTGTGAAATTAAACAAAATTCAAGGAAACGACATTAGAACAGATCAGAAAATGGAGTCATATATATGAGCTCTAATAACAAAACCTCCCTCGTGGCGATCGAAATATACAGACTCAAAGTACACATCTTTAGCGCAGCCCAGAGACCTGTAAAGCCAACGTTTTGGAAGACTTCTCGAAATGATGTGATGAGACAGAACTACAGCCGTTTACACAGGACCCACTGGAAACCAGACAGTGTCATGAAAACACAAAACAACAGAGTAAAACAGCAGAGGTCTGCAGCCAATCCTCTGTCAGGAAAAGACTTAAAGACTAAAAGAAACATTGGTTTGGAGCAGAGTTCAAAGGAAAACATGAGGCATATGTGTGTATTAGATAGCAATGATTGAAAGTCTGTATTCATTATGTTCAGGAAAGTGAAAATGAAAGACATTGTTATTTGTTTTAGTAAGAAAAAAAATTGGGAATATAGCAGCAAGGAACAATGAACAATGATGAGCCAGGCTCATCCCTGTTTGGCTTCAGACATCAGACAAGATCAGGTGGTACAGCTGATATATGTAAATTCACTCACCAAAAGAGAACATTATGCTGACAAATTGTTTTGTTTTTTAATTGTAATTACTGTATATTTCATTTATAAATGTAATATATTTAATGTTTTCAAATTAAATATTTATTTTGATTTACAGTAAAATGTTTTCTATTCTAATGCTGCGTTCTAGAATGTTGCATTTAGAATGTTGCATTAGAATGCCGTGGATTCTGGAACATCACTGGTCTGTGTGACATCACAGCTCGACATTTGTAAGGGGGAGATCTGCTCAGACTTCTTCACTTCTAGCCAGACCTTGATGGAAAACACAAACGAGACAGAACTTCAGCAAACACATTTCTCTCTCTCTACTGTAATGGACGCACACATCTCCTACATGTCGACCAACGACTCCATGTCCTCTTTCCAGCGTTTGGACAGCCTGGCACAGGGCTTGGGTCTGTCCGTGGACTTCACAGAGTTCACCACGGCAGCTCAGCCCCACCCTATCTTCACTGTCCGAGTTTCAGTCGGGCCCTTCAGCGCAGAGGCGCAAGGTCCTGACCAGAGAGAGGTTAAGATTAGGGCTTGTGTCATGGTGACAGACATAGTGGAGTCGTATCAGCGGAACCAGAGCTACGCCGACCTCCCGCCCCACTGCCATCCGGACTTCGGTCTGGGCAAAGACTCCTGCACTCGCCTGTCCGAGGTGCTCATGGCCTACAGACACCCACCCGCCCAGTACCACCTGCTGGGGGACACAGTGACTGGCACCCACTGGCCCTTCTTCATGTGGTTGGCCGTGGACCAGTACACTGCAGTGGGCAAGGGGCGCTCCAAGCAGGAGGCCAGGAGGAGAGCGGCTGCAGGTGTGCTCCACATGATGGGGTACACAGTCCCAGAGGAGGAGCTGCTCTCATCTGATCCTGAGACCACAACAGAACCTGCTTCTCAAACCACAGCAGAACCTGCTACAGAACCAAATGTGACTGTGAGTCCAGAGGCCTCACAGGAAACTCCAGACCAGGAGACCACAGCTGAGGACCAGCTGGAGCTGCAGCCTGTAAACAGCTCAGGCAGTGGTGATGTTTTAGAGGAGACATCAGAAGAGAGCCACAGACACAGCTCTCATGAACCTGCCAAAGAGGAGCAGAGCAAAGACACTTCAGCTCAAACTGGACTGGAAGAGCTCGAAATGATTGAGAAATACGTTCCAGAAACAGCTTTTCTGAAAGATGTTGCTCGAAAGGAGTCCAGTACACTAGAGACTCCCAGTCCAATGGAGGTTCACATCCTGGAAGAACCAAATGAGACACAGTCTCTGGACACCTCCAAGGATGTACCTACAGAAAAAGAGTGTGAGAAGCTGGAGATAGAAAGCCCAGCCTCAGCTCCAGAGTGTCACGCCCCTCCTCCTGAGTCTTCTGTGTGTGGAGTGGGCGGAGTCTGCTGGGAGCACCTGCTTTCCATCTCCAATCAAGCCTGCAACAAAGGCCCAGCTCTCCTGCCAGACTCTGCCAGATTGTTTCGTCTACCTGATGTTCCCGCCTTTCAAGACTCCTGCATCCCGGCATCTGGCTCCTCATCTCTCCACCACCTGACCTCCCTGGTTAATAAACCTTGTTCCTTTTGCATTTTTGTTGTAGTTTTGAGTCTTTTTGGGTCCACTCCAGTGTTACCTAACACAGAGCCTCCTGCAGCTCCTCAGGCCTCACACACCTTGGGCTCAGTTGAGAGCTTGGTGATCCATGTGCTGGTCCAGAAACTGCTCCAAAAGCTGCCGTCCAAAGTTAAGAACCACCATGATGCAGTAGTGCAGACTCTGGAGACGGCCAGAGTCCAGGACCAGTTCAAAGTCCCAGCTGACGTTCAAATCAAACCCAAGAACATCAAGAAGCTGGGCAAAGCTGCAGCCAGAGATCTGATCCATGAATATGGTTCTGCATCTAAACTCCTGTTGATGGCTTTGGGACCAGATCCCACAGATTTCCAGAAGGACGCTGTGAAACACTTGAACATCCGTCTCAGTGCCTTCAGGAACCGGCCAAGAACTCTTCTGGCTCGGCTGTTTCCAAAGTGGGACAAGCCCAATAAGAGGGCCTGGTAGACAGCGCCCCCTGTGTCCTTTAAGAGTCACTCCTTTGGTAGAGAGGGGTCAAAGGTCACTGGACACTTTTGAAGTTGAGACGTTTCACTTCCCTCCTGTTCATATAAAACCTGCGACTCCTTTTCTCCCACAAACCAAATGAGGATCACACCGACTCACAGAGGACACAACACCTTTATTCAAATGCATTCAAAAAATAAATAAACATTTCCCCTCCCCCCAAATATTGTTATTCTTTTTCTTTGATGTCTTTTTCTCTCTTAAAAAGCTTGCTCTGGGATAATCATCTATATGGTAACTAATGAAAAACAAGCTCAATCATTTCATTTAAAATTTGTTTCTGAAACTCTATAAACTGTGATGTTATTCAAACATTTTCTAGAAACTTGCACTTTAAACAGGCTTTTTGGACTTAAAACAAGTGGATTATTATGGATATTTGTTGGCATGTGGCAGCTAAGAATCCACAATGCCTTCGAACTGTTAATATTTGAACTTTTCGCAAAAGCTTCTGTTTATTTCATATGTTTATGACATTTGAAATCACAGCCCGCAGTCTGTAGATGCTCGTTTTAATAATAATAAAAAAAATAAAAAAAAACAATTATGAGAAGTAATCATAATATATTGCTTAAATTTAAGTTCTGATGATTCCCAAATTTTGACTTAATTTAATGTTATAATATCTGTTAAAATATAAATTTATAGTTTTGCACCAATCAAGATGCAATGTGTCAACAAAAGCTGAGAAACATGTTGAAAATTATGGGCAGCTAATTTGTTTTATATGTGCTTTTTAGTGCAATAGACCAAGCAATTCATTGTGTAAAATTTGTACATTTTATTTTACATGTTTTGACAAAACCAAGGTAAAAAATTACAAACTGACATAATCACACTAATCACACAGTGTCTTAAAAGGCATGTATTACGCTATTTTCTGATCTAGGTTATAATGTTGTTTCCTCATCACAAACATACCTGGAGTTGTGTTTTGTTTCATTCTCACATGTTTAACACACAAACCCTGCATATTTAGTCTGAGTTCTTTTAACAGAAAACACTCTGTTCCCCCTTGTGATGTCATGTGGTAATACAGGAAGTGCTTCACTGTGTTTTTAAACTGCATACACCTTCACTAGAATCATTTGGATAATTTCAGCTCTGAAATTGCCAGTCTTTGCTGAACTAAATTTAAAAGGTAGCTGTTAACTTGAAAACTACCACTTCATGACATCATAAAGTGGAACAGGGCAGTTTGAGCTTTAGAGATGTAAACAGACTCATAAAGGATTACTTAAACATGTGTTAATGAACCAAAACCAACTCCAGGTATGTTTTTGATGAAGAAACAGCATTATAACATGAAGTAAAGCTCACAAGAGTCCATTTTGCATAATATGGGGCCTTTAAAGTAATCAGTCACTCAATGATTCATTTTGGCTGCTCTTTCATCCCTGACAGAGATAGACTGAGACTGTACTGTCCACATAATTGATCCGACCAGCAGACCATAGCCCACTGACTCGATCACAGGTCCATGAGACCGAGGCTGGACGATGTCTCCAGGTAAACAGTGGTTCTAGATAAACCTCTGTGTATGTCCATCACGTGACTCCGGCCGCGCTCTGATTCTGCTGTGTGAAGATGGACCTCACCCAACATGGAGTCCCACAGCATCCCCCGCCTCCACAACTACAACAACAACATAAAAACAGACACTAGTACAGGTTTAAAGGTGCACTATGTGACTTTTCTGGGAGAAAGCCCTCCAGTGAAGATGTTATTGCTTTACCTACAACATAAGAATAATAATACATCAGTTTTATACAGCGCTTTTCACTGTAACACAAAGACGCTTCACAATGAAGTAACACTAAAACAAGGAAAAGGACAGACAAAACAGTAATGGGAGCAGTCATGTGTGGGGGCTCTGAGGAAAAGGTCTGTTTTGAGCAGGTTTTTGAAGGTGTTTAGTGAGTCTGAATTTCTGATGTGAAGGGGGAGAGAGTTCCAGCGGGTGGGGGCGGCCATTGCAAAAGCTCAGTCCCCCAAGATCCAACTTTGATTTAATGTTGGGAGTGAGGAGGTTAGAGTCGGCTGATCGGAGGCAGCGGTAGGGATGGTGGGGCTGGAGGTCTGTGAGGTATGAAGGGGCCTGGTTATGGAGAGCTTTGAGGTGATCAGGAGGATACATATTCCAGAATATTCCAGAGTATGGCATTAAACTTTTCTGTCTCCATAGAAACAAGCAAGAGACACCACCAGGCCAATTTACAGATGAGGCGACCCACTCACAGTAAGAATGCATGTTATTAAAGACATTTTGAGCAATAAAAACACCCATAATTGAATAAATACATCTTATATAAATTTAAAACCATATTGTGGAACATTATAGATAAAGCAATAGCATCTCCATGCTAGCGGACCCCTGACTCGAAAAGTTACGCAGTGCACCTTTAACATACATACACATATATTTGACAGATTGCTTTACGACCCTCATATTTTATTTATATTTTATTTGTAAATAATGTGACCAATGAGCTCCTTTACTTTACTGAAATAAACAAATCTGATTGGACGATCACATTTGACTGGGCCTGAGACGAGACAGAGGGAGTGGAGACTAGACTGATATCAATGTGTACAAAAATACAGGTAATGACATGATATGACATTTTATAAACTGACAAACCTCAATAGAAATGTGGACATGGGGGTATCTCCTGTAGAAAATACTTCTGAGGTTAAACTCTGGGTTTCCTTCAGCTTTAAACACTGGGGTCCTGACAGAGTCATTCTCACAGCGCACCACAGCGTACACATCTGGAGCTACGAGTACAAAAAGAGCAGAAGTTAAAACAAAACAAAAAACAACAAAGATGAAATTGTTATTGTTGTTGTTGAGTGCACCTTTCTGTTTGGGGACACAGAGGCCTGTCACTCTACGCAGATGCACTGTGGTCACTACTCTGGGCTGTGGTAACAGACAGTGGAAGACAGACGGGGCTGGCAAATCCTCCAGCAGTTCACTGGAGAAGAAGTAACATCCAGTTACTTCAATGACAAATTGAATTGAAGGCAGGCCTTTAAGGGGCTGAACAGTCCCAGCCACTTGGCTCTGGTTCCATTCATTTTTTACCATAGATTTATCAACATTTCCAAATATTAACAGTTCAAAGATATCACGGAGGTTAATCTTAGTTTTAGTTAAGTTAAGTTTTGCAGTAACTAATATCCATAACATGGTTTTAAGTCCAAAGAGCAATAATGGACTTTTACTTTCACTAACAGAGTGCCTCAGGCATTTTTCGCCACTTTTTAAAACTTTGTTACATTAAGTTTTTATACTACAAGCATGGTCAGTTTCACTGTTTGCTAGTGTTTGAGCCCTGTCCTTTGAGGAGCACCTGTTCAGTATTTTTCACCAATAGATCTCTTTGAAGCTCTCACCTTCCCTGTGCGTAAAAAAACCCATAATTATCTGTGTTTTATAAAATGTATTCTTACTTAGACATTTCATTTTTTTCACTTGTGAATAATTTCAGTTCGTAGTAGCGTGTCCATATTACATAGACTTTCTGCACTAACCGGAGCTGTATGTGTGAATGGGAGAAGAGCCGTAACAGGAAGTGCCCGGTGGCTCCTGGGAGGAAGGTGGTTGCCAGGATGACATAGCGGCCGGGGCTGAAGCAGGCTCTGACAGTGACGCTGCGTGAGTCCATGTACACAGAGCTGGCCGCCTGCTCTACCACAGTCTGTACACGAGTATAACGATTCATCTCCACCTGAACACAAGGTCAAAACAACTCCTTACAAACTATCAACATAAAAAAAAAACACTAAAACTACCACTTAAAGGTTATGCTATGTTATGTAAAATTGACTCTGGTAAAGTTTAAGCCATGTTAGAACAGTTATCTCTGCAAAAATACACCTCAAGCTGTGTTTGGTTCATTCACACGTTTGAGTAATTTTTTATTATTAGACTGTCTAAATCTCCAAAGCTCAAAATTCTCTGTCATGAAGTGGCAGTTTTCAAGTTAACTGCTACCATTTACCTGCCAATCTTATCTAGTTGAATTGAGATTGGCAATTCCAGGTCTGAAATTATCCAAATTATTCTAGTGAAGGTATATGAAGTTTAAAAACACAGTGGAGAAAAGTGCATCTTTAACGTTGTTCCCACCTTGAGCACTTCAAATCCAATGGGCAAATTTTCCCCATCTCCATTTTTCCTTCTCATCCTCCTGTCTTCCTGCTGTAGACAGATCAGCACCTCTTCCTCTTTGCCCCGTACTTCAAACATAAACTAAAAAACGAGATAATCGAGATGTTACAATTTTGAAATAAAAAAGAAACTTAGTATATTTCGCTCTTCATTCACTCTCACTTTTTAATTTCAGTTAATCCTACAGTAGACAGGGCATTTCATAGCTCTATGTATACATAGACGTGTATGTGCACCCAATTAGAAAACAATGACAGGACCAATATATACAGAATAAACTACTAATGCAAAAATTCACTAAGATATGTATCATTGGTCAGTGGGATTAATTTATGCACAGTGGCTGCAGTACAAAACTCTTGAATGTTTCCACAATAACTTGTAAAATTAGGAGTTATTTAAAGGTCCTGTATTACGCAAAATTAATTATTGTGAGCTTCTAGTCATGTTGTCACTTCAACAAAAACATCCCTGGAGTTGTGTTTTGTTTCATTCACACATGTTTGAATAATCCTTCATCTGTCTACAGCTCCAAAGGTTTGTTCTACGTTATAATGTCGTGAAGCAGTAGTTTTCAAGTTAACAGCTACATTTTACCTTTTGTTCAGTAGACGTTGGCAATTTCAGGGCTGAAATCAATCAAATGATTCTAGTGAAAGTGTACAGAGTTTAAAAACACAGTGGAGTACTTCTTGTATTACCACATGATGGCAGTATGTTGGAGAGTTTTCCATTTGAGAGAAAAACTCAGTCTAAATATGCAGGGTTTGTGTGTTTAACATGTGCGAATGAAAGAAAACACAACTCCAGGTAAAGTTTGTTTTTGATGTGGAAACAACATTATAACATAGATCAGAAAATAGTGCAATATAGCCTGGTTAAAACCCCAATATTACTTCTTCTGAATGCGAAAAAGTTGCCATAGATACAAATAAATATAACAGTACCTGTGGATTATGAAGGAAAGTGTCTCTATGATTGATGCATCCTCCACATCGACTCCTCTTATCCATCTGCTCGTCCCAAACTCCACTCAGCTGTGATCTGCTCTTCTCCACTGGCTTCACGGGGACCCCCTTCCCTCTCTGCCCCCCTCTTCCCCTCTCCCCCTGGCTCTCCCCCAGCCTCGCCTCCTTGCAGTTTCCTCTCTGCTGTTTGGACTTCAGTGATGGTGGTTTTTGGGAAACAGGGCGGAGGAGAAGAGGAGGGAGTACAGGGGTGGAAGGAGCTGCGGTCCACTGCCCATACAGGCTGACCTCTCTCCAGTGTGATCGAGCCCAAAATGAAGCTTTCTCCACCAAGCGGCACACGACAACATCAGTGAAGTAATGGCAGAAGTCCTCAAACTCCATCCTAACAAAGAAAGATGGTTTAAAGATGAGCTTTAAGACATGCAAAATGTTGTTACCTCATCAAAACCATATCTGGAGTTGCATTTTGTTTCATTCATACATATTTGAGTAACACTTTATTACGAGTGTGTCTACATCTCCAAAGCTCAAAATGCTCTGTTCCACCTTGTGATGTTATGAAGCAGTAGTGTTCAGCTTAACAGCTCCTTTTACCTTTACTTCAGGGCTGAAATTATCCAAATGATTCTTTTGAAGATGTATGGATTTTAAAAACACAGTGGAGCATGTCCTGTAATACCATATGACATCACAAGGTGGAACAGAGTGTTTTCTGTTTGGGAGTAAAACTCAGCCTAAATATGTAAGATTTGTGTGTTAAACATGTAAGTGAAAAAAACACAACTCCAGGTATGTTTGTGATGAGGAAACATTACAACATAGATCAGAAAATAATGAAATATGGGCCTTTTAAGTTTGAAATTGCTTACAACACTGACGCTAGGAAAATGGCAAAAAATAATCAGTAGATGATTATTGCTTAGATCTCAGCATAACATTCAATACAAAAGAGTCAAATTTATTCTTTCAAAGCCTGAAATATGCTCCACGCCATAGGGTCAGTCCATATGAAATCAGCCGCCCTCCCCTATGAGCCATCTCAGATTTGGCTGAAAAAAGTTCCCAAAATTTCTAAAATGACCAAATGAAAGAATCTCAAATTTTAGCTCAATCCCTTGAGTTGTTCCTGAGTTATGGCCCGTTGAAATTTTGGGCCATGCTCACTTTTTCTGAAGCCTTAATTTCTAAGCATGTTTGAGAGACCATAACTTCATAAAAAATAGAGTTAGGAAGCTGAAAATGTGTATTATTGTAGATTCTTGGTCATAGATTCTGAATCTTTTGTCAAATATTGGGTATCTTTATTAAGGGGGGCGCTGTGAGCCTCCAAAATCTCACATTTGGTTGCCGAAGTGCCAAAGTTTCTTTGGTAAAAAATTTAATCAACATCTAACTGTGCCCACATGGGGAACTGAGGGTCCAAAGAAGGGGCCAAAAAGATCTCATTTGGTCTGTGACCATATTTGGGACTCCACATTAAAGCTCAGAAAAGTGTGAGATTGTTGTCAGAAATGTGCATTCTTTCAAATATTCAGGTTCAACAGTTTGTAAATATCTGCTTGGAGTAAATAGATCTTGGACCTCAAAAATTGAAAAAAAAAAATCAGCGGCAACCAAATGTGAGATTTTGGGGGTCCCCCTTAATAAAGATACCCAATATTTGACAAAAGATTCAGAATCTATGACCAAGAATCTACAATAATACACATTTTCAGCTTCCTAACTCTATTTTTTATGAAGTTATGGTCTCTCAAACATGCTTATAAATTAAGGCTTCAGAAAAGTGAGCATGGCCCCAAAATTTCAACGGGCCATAACTCAGGCACGACTCACGGGACTGAGCTAAAATTTGAGATTCTTTTATTTGGTCATTTTAGAAATTTTGGGAAATTTTTTCAGCCAAATCTGAGATGGCTTATAAGGGAGGGCGGCTGATTTCATATGGACTGACCCATATGCTTTTGTGAGACTGTAGAGCTCTTCATTAAAAATCCCAAAGCACCATCATTAATGATTTGAAATAATTAGATCTTGAGTTGATTAAAATTGCTAGCCCAAACTCTTTTTTTTTTCTCATAAATTAAATGTACGCTCATGTTGCAATTTTTGTTACACAGTGCCCTCTTCTGGTCAATGACAGGTAGGGCATAGCATTTTAATGTCTGTGCCTTACAAACATTAGTAAATAACCAATGTGTGCACTTTTCCTTTGCTAAATCATTCATTGCATTTTATCTGATACTTGATAAATTTTCAGTAAGTAAAAGCTAATATCCGGTTCTCACATGGTTCACTTTCATTGTTGATTAACTGTGAAAATCATCAGTAAGTATCCAACTTCATGTGTTCAATTATAAATTAAAGGTCCTATATTACGCAAAATTGACTCTTATGAGCTTTAAGCCATGTTATAATCAATATAATCATCAAAAGTGAAGTGGTGTTTTGTTTCATTCAAACCCTTTTTATTATCATGTCTACATCCCCAAATCTCAAAATGCTCTGTTCCACCTTGTGATGTCATGTAGTGGAAGTTTTCAAGTTACCTTTAGTTCAGTGGAGAACAATTCCAGTGTAGTATAGGCTCTAATATACGAATAAAAATGAAATGGAAAAAAACTTACCAAAACTCCCCAATATCTCGAATAGGAAGGCCCATCTTTTCTCTGTCAGTGCGACTGATCTGCTGCCACTGCTCTGACCTACAGGGGGCGCTCAGATTGTAAAACGTTTGGGTCACCACACTGGAAATATGTTTAAAATGCAATAACTTCTGGAAGTCCTTACTATTCCCTATTGGCTCTTTGAAAATCCTATAATGTAAATGGCAGGTGCGTTATGACTAAGAGCTTAGAAAATGTCTCCTGGTGCAGTCATAAAATGTTATTAGAAATGGAAGAAAATGTCCAAAACAGTTACAAAGATGCAGTAAAAAGCCCAGACTTGCTACTCCCCGGTCTCCTATAGATCATATGGTGGATTGTGCGGAGTATGACATGTGGCAGCGTTCAAACAGGCCTCACCTTTGACCCCAAGCTCCTGTCCAGTCTGTTGTCCCCCAGGGGTTCCTCATGCGCACCAGTTGGAGGCGGGACTTCCTGCCCGTGGACAGCCTCTCTGCCACATGCACCTTCTTCAGTGCAGTGATCCCATAGGCATGCCCCCTCACCAGGCCGCACTCCATCACCGACTCCACCAGCTCCCCCTCAGCTGGCTGAAACACAGTGAGAAACTTGCACTATTTTAAAAAGGACCATATTATGCTATTTTCTCTAACGTTGTTTCCTCATCACAAATATACCTGGACTTGTGTTTTGTTTCATTCACAAGTATTTAACACACAAATCCTGCATATTTGGGTGGAGCTCTTCTCTCAAACTCTAAACACTCTTCTGAACATTGTGATGTCATGTGGTAATACAGGAAGTGCTCCCCCTAAGTTTTTAAACCCCATGCACCTTCACTAGAATCATTTGAAGAATTTCAGCCCTGGAACTGCCTGTCTCTCCTAGACTAAAGGTAAAAGGTAGCTGTTAAATTGAAAAAAATGATCACTTCATGACATCACAAGGTAGAACAGAGCATTTTGTACTTTGGAGATGTAAACAACAGGGTGGCTCTAATGTGTGAATTAAACAAATAACAACTCCAAGTATGTGTTTTGAGGAGTTAACAACATAATAACATGAAACGAATATATTTTGTGTATTATAGAACCTTTAGGGCTTCAACAACACCACATTTATACTTATAATATTTTTAAAACCATAATAAAAAGTCAACTAACAATAAAAGCTGTAATATTAGTTTTACTTATATCTACAGATCAAATAATGTGTCACAATTCATTCCAATTACCCGTATGAAGCAGGTGATCAAAGCTTTCCTCTCGTGCGCTTGTGCCAGTGTTTGGAACAGCGCCCTCCTCTGGTCACTCTGCAGACTCAGTGCCTCTCGGTCCAGACTCAGGGGCTCTGAAACTCCACCAGTGAAATCGATCAGGGCCTCGGCTGTGTTTCCTCCCTCCAGGGCCTCATAGCAGCCGTTTAGTCTAAATACATAGAAAAAGAGTGATTTATGGATGTAATAATAGCAAAGTCAAATATAATAATGCAATGAGTTTGAGACACCAGCACCCGTCTAGTCTGTAACTTTCTTGATACTTACCATACTACTATACTTATTGCTGTACCAATAGTGCATGACGCTGGGGATGTTCTTCATTTATTTCTATGGCGGAATATTCAGCAGCTATCATGATGACACAATGCACACATTACCAAACATAGCCAACAAAGTTTTAAAATAGTCTGAAAACTGGATTTAAACAGCTCATTTTCAGGAGCCTGTGACCAATATGAGCGTTCATGGTCCTGTTTAGGTCAAAAAAAGGTGAGAGTGTAACTGAAAAACTGTTAACTAATATGAGCGGGCTTGTGACTGTAATTTTATGTGTGAGAGACTTGATTAAGAGCACAAATCATCTCACCTGTTATAGTTCCAACTAAACCAGCTCTTTCTTTCAGATTAAGGTCTACACAGCAACTTCAGACAAAGCAGTGCCTAAGTTAGCACCCCCCCAGGGTTGATGACTTCAGCTGCAAAGTATCAATAGTCTATAACTAAATCTACAACATCACACTTGATTATTACTGTATACTTTACAAGATTGAAAATAATTTTAAAAGTGTTATCAGTTAAAGGTGCAACATGAAACTTTTCTGGAGGGTCCGCCATCAGCTTATCTCCATGCCGTTCCTTTGCCTACAATCACCGTTGGAACTTATTCACACCACCAGGCTTAGTTACAAATCAGTTTTGTGGAAAGAAGAATCAGCTCACTGTGGTGTACCCTCCACCAGAAAAGTTACAAAGTGTACCTTTAATGCACTCACCCATTATTACTATCTCAGGATTAAGGGAATAAAGAGGTTTTAGATTTAGATAATTTATTTAATGGGGATCAGAGCAATTTCATAAAATGCATGAAAAAACAGGAGTAAAAAAAACAGATTTAGACAAAATGCTCCTTTCGTCCTTTGGCCATGATGTCAGAGGGGCAATAAAATAAAAATGATTCTTGGCCAGCTGTTACGTATTGTTGAATAAGATCCCATTTTATATTATGTGTGATTGAATGAAGGCATTTAAGGACAGACTCAGACTCACTTGGCGTAGGCCTTCTCCAGCAGCGCGCTCCAAAACTCGCGTGGCGTGGCGGAGCGGCAGAACAACAGAGCTCCATCTGCGCTGACAGGCAAACGATCGTCCACCACCACGTCCACCCAGCGCCCAAAACGCCAGAACCGGAAATGGAAGATTCCAGTGTACAGATCCGGGCGCTTTGGATTCCACTCCTGCTCTGTGTGATCCGGAATCACCTGGAGATGAAAGACATGTGTGCGTCTAAATATACAATTCAAAACTCATGTGCATGAATTTCAAAAATGATTGTAAATCCTAAGTAGCTATAGCAAAAGGGATAGGAGGTAGGAGAAACATCATCAGTTGAAGATTTTGAATTACATTATTCCCATTAGTTGTAATCATAGACTAGTTACAAATAGGAAGTGAGCGTGGGTTTCTTTCTACTCAGACACAGAGTAGTTATACTGGATAATCAAGACTTCTCATCAGATCTCAGAATGGGAGACCACTGGAAATAACAGGTGCCACGGTGGGGCGCCAGTGCCAAAATCTGTTGTTACATCCTTAGCCAAGACACTTCACCCACACTGCCATAGTCTGAATGTTGTGTGTGAGAGTGTTGGTGGTGGTCGGAGGGGCCAGGGCAGCTGTGGCTACAAAAGCACTTTGGGTATTTTTAAAGGTGCAATATAAACCCAGAGATGAATTCATTAATGAATTACAGAACTATAATCACCTTTTTCCATAGAGACGGCTCAGATGCGAGACAAGAAATGGCTGCGACCATCCAGCAGTTTCCCAGACTGCCCTGGTGCAGGTCTCTAGTGCTGATGCCATCCACAAACAAACGAGGGTCCCTGCAGATCTCCTAAAAGGAACAAGACATCATACATTATGGTTAATATATGTAAATGTATGTTTTATCATGTAATGTTTCTGAGAAGTATTGTGATTTGAGAGAACACTGAAATATGATAAACTAATACAATCTCAGAACGTGCTTAAAGAGGTCCGACAAGATATTTCTATAAAAGACAGGACATATTATTATTACATAAAAAGTGCATTTTATTCTCTAAATTTATGATTTGATAACTGTGCCACTCAAACTGCGATTAGTTTAGATTCAGTTGTCATACATGGAGCAGCCCTCATATGTTTTGAACACTGTGAGTTGACAGTCAAAGCCCTGCTAAAGAGGCCAATCCTCAAAGCTGGACCTGGTTTAGAAATTGAAGAAGTGCTCTCTGTAAAACACACACACACATATGCATGCGCACGCGCGCGCACACACACACACAGACACACAGGCACGCACACACACACACACACACTCACTAACAGACGCACATGGAGAGGTCATACAGAGTGTCATGACTCAACTAAACTCAAAACTTGATATCAATCTAATCATATCAGGTTTTGACGACTGTGGAAGGGAGAAGTTGGGGTTGTACATTACCATTTCACTAAGAGTACATTCAGTATTAATACTTCATTGCTCTAAATGAGAAATTTTCTAAAATAAAGAGACTTGACAGAATGTATAATCATTGGGAATGCCTCTACTATTGATACTTTGCAGTGACATCATTCTGGGGGTGTTCTACACCTATCTGTATTGGCAAAATGCTCAGTTACCATGGTGACAAAACGCACAAATTAGCAAACAATGTGAAAAAAGTTGATTGGCTTGTCATTTTATGTGTGAGAGACTTGTTTAACAGCACCTGTTGTAGTTCCAACCAAATCAGCTCTTTCTGGTCTGATTGTTTTAAAATACAGGTCAGATTAAAGTCGAACTTGAATAACAGATCTTTTAAAAGAATAGTGCTTTTAGTTAGCAGAACATCTCCAGGGAATATTGTTGACATCAGCTGCAAAGTATCAACTGATTTAAAATACTGAGCAGTTTGGTCGCAGAACTCAGGAACAGTGTGATTGTCACTTATCACTCTTCACTCCACTTCATGCATTTTACATCTGTTCCACGTTGTGATGTCATATGGTAATACAAGAAGTGCTCCACTGTGTTTTTAAACTCCATACACCTTCACAATAATTTTGGTAATTTCAGCCCTGGAATTGCTAATCTCTACTAAACAAAAGATAAAAGGTATCTGAAAACTACCACTTCATGACATAAAGAAGAAAAGATCTTTGGTGATATAGACAACATAATAATACTGGATTACGCAAATGTGTGTGAATGAAACAAAACACAACTCCAGGTATGTTTTTAATGAGGTAAAAACATTAAAACATGGCTAAAAGCTCAGATGACTCAAACACTAATTTGAATGACACCAAATGTTATGACTACTATTTTACACTTCTCTTATGTACTCCTAACGTGTGTGTATTCTTTAGGTGCAGAGTCATGACACCAAGGGCAGGGTGTCAGTGCTATAGACTGGGGAGTCTGTAAGGTTACACAGAGTCTGTAACCTTATCCCACCTCTTACAGACAACATAGTGACATAACAATGGATACAGTACCATTGTAAACACCACCAACAACAGAAATGTTCACATACGAACCTTTTCTGAAGTGTTGTCATAATCTGACTTTAAAGGTCCCATATTACACAAAATGGACTCTTGTGAGCTTTAAGCCATGTTATAATGTTATAACCTCCTCAAAAAACATACCTGGAGTTGTGTTTTGTTTCATTCACACATCTTTGAGTAATCCTGCATTATTAATCTGTTTACATCTCCAAAGCTCAAAATGTTCTGTTCCACTTTGTTAAGTCATGAAGTGCTGGTTTTCAAATTATCAGATGCTTTTTACCTTTTGTTTAGTAGAGATTGGCAATTCCATGTCTGAAATAATCAGAATTATTCTAGTGAAGGTGTATGGGGTTTAAAAACACAGTGAAGCAATTCCTGTATTACCACGACATCACAAGGTGAAACAGAGTGATTTCCATTTGAGACAAATTGAGATAAAGAACTCAGACTAAATATGCAGAGTTTGTGTGTTAAACACGTGTGAATGAAACAAAACACAACTCTGGGTATGTTTGTGATGTAAAAACAACATTATAACATAGATCAGACAACAGCATAGTAGGGGCCCTTTAAAATGTTGTTTTAATATCTTGCTTAACTCACTAAGACAGATTTGTGTTTGATGTCTTTTTTAACTCCAACATGATAAAAGTATGGAGGGCATCCTGTGTGTGTGGCAGCTGTTATAATCAGATACACATTTACTCTCCAATCACAACACAGGGCTAAAAACACAGGGCTGTTTAAAGTAATGACCTCCCTATGTTATATATATAAACACAAGTACAGCCGTCGTCAGGCAGCTCATGGCACTTACTCCCAGTGGCCTCATACACCACACAAGCAAGCAAGTTAGGCAAATTTAAATCAATGTGATACTCGAATATACATGACCAGTCAAACATTTGGACACACTCTGTCATTAAGTGTGTGTTTTTTTTTTTTTCTTGCTTACTACTTTCTACTTTTTAAATAGGCAAACACCAGATATGTGACATTATGTAGCAAAGAAAAATGGTAAAAGGTGCATTGTATAACTTTTATGGTGGGTGGGCGGGGGGTCTGCCACTTGCTTGTCGCCATGGAGATGCTCCTGTTTTACCTAGAACTTTATGCACTATGTAATTAATCTTACCTATCTTGCTTGAATTCATTTACAACTATTCATCAGTAAAAATACCTTGAAAACATGCTTTTGTATTGTCAGTAGGGGTGCCTCTACATAGATCTAACCTATAACTTGGCTTGGTATCGTCATGGGATAGATGTGTTTACATGTAATGCCATGATTTAGAACATCCAAGGCAAAGCAATAACATTTCCATGGAGACAAGCATCCAGGCCGTGTTCCAAAAATGTTACACAGTGCACCTTTAAATAACACAACTAAGTATTTTTATATTCAAATCCTCAAAGGAGCTGCCTTTAACCTTGTTGACAGCAAGCCCTGACCTTCATAATGAAGTCTCCTGAAATGGTTTTCACAAATGTCAAAAGTACAAGCCAGGGTTCAAAGAAAAAAGTAGGGCTATTTTTTTTATTTTTTTTTTTATCTATAACAAGTTTTGAACCATATTTATTTTATTTTTTTGGGAAACAAGAATACCTAAACTGGCAATTTTCACATATTTCAGATACTAGATACTCATTTGAGTATTTGAATACTAAAAAAAGTCACATTCACAGGACACAAATGAACCGTGTATACGCTCATGAACCACTATGGAACCTAAAAGGATGACTGAGGGATTACACGGATATATGACCACATGGTAATATAAAAGAAAGTACTACAATTTAATGCTCTAAATCACATTCTACTTTCTAAATAAAGAGTATTTTTTATTATTATCGTAGTAGTGGAATCAGTATTGAGTATCAAGTCTATTCCTTCGTATTGAAATCAAGCTAAAATTTTTAGTATCATGACAACACTATCTATAACTATATGCATGTCTTTTTTACCCTGGGCCTCTTCCAGGACAGTCCGGGCGGCGGCTCCCTCTTAAAGAACAGAGACTGGGCCGAGGCGGGGAACAGAGGGTCCTTGAACACAACACCACGTCTCTGACAAGAGCGCCTTAGTTTGTGGAAACTCTGCCCCTGGAAACTGACAACTCTCTCAGGCATTTTCAACAGACACCTGAAGGGAGGAAACAAAGTCAGGTGGTTAATGTAAAACTGCATAGAACAATTTTGATTCACAGGTTAAATTCAGTGGTGGAAGAAGTACTTAATTTTGTTACTTAAAGATGCATCGTGGAAATTTTCTGGTGGCGTGTCCGAGGGTCCATTTGCTCTGGCTGGAATGTTTCACAGTAAACCAAACCAGACTAAGTTACAGGTCAGATCTGTGGAGAGGCAGCACCTACTCATTGTCAGAATGTTGTTTTTCTAGATATTTTTGAGGTATAAAACCACCTGTAATTTAATAAATGTAACATAGAGCTGTTTAATGTCATATTGTGAAACATTCCAGATAGAGCAATGACATATCCATAGAAACAAGCAGGTGATGGATCCCCACCCAAAAAGTTACATCTTGCTGCTTTAAGTGCAGATACTGGGAAAAAAAATACTCAAGTAAAAGTATCACATGAAAAAATCTATTTAATTAAAAGTATTAAAGTACCTGTTTAAAAATGTACTTAAATATTAACAAAGTAAGAGTATTTTGTGCATATTTTGAGATCTAATAAATACTTCGAATGTAGTGATTTTGATACAGATTTGTGCTGAATTTTGTGTAACAGAAACAACTGAATTTATAATTTTTTTTGTAGCTGTTTCTATTTGAGTATTTTTGCTTGCTCAGTGTCTTAAAAATAAAACCCCTCAGCCTTTTCAGCAGGTTGCAAACTCTAACAAAAAATATTGTTACTTTTCAGTCCAGTTAAAAAACGTACTGAGTAGAAAGTACACATACCTGCTCTCAAATGTAGTGAAGTAAAAGTAAAAATGTATTCACTGTAAAAGTATAGATACTGAAAATGTATACTTAAGTACAGTACTTTACTACTTTTACTGTATGAGGCTCCACCACTGGTTAAATTAATCATTTTAAAGGTGTACTGTGTAACTTTTCTTTTGAGAAGTGTGCTACTTGCTTGTCTACTTACAATGTCATCACCTCACTTGTGGATTGGAATAGACCTCAGTATGGCATTAAAATGATCTATCTCCTGTTTACTCAATTACATGTGGTTTTGATTGCTTAAAATGCCTTTAAAAACATTCACTCTTACTGTGAACCGAATCGCCTCTCCGCAGATCTGACCTGTAATTTGATCTGGTGGTGTCATCTGCCTGGCTCCAAGAAGACAGATGCGTTTAAAGCCATACTGTGGAGCATTCCGGGCATAGCAATAACAAGCAACAGTTCTGAATTGTGTTTTTAAAGGGTATGGCATTTCCTGCAGGTTTTAAATATTATAATCCATGATTATGTCAATGTAAATAAATGAGACATCAGGCAATAGATATTCAAGAGGTGTAAAGGTAATGTAATAATGTAAGGGTTAGTCAGTTTAACATGATACAAAAGACCAAACTATAGTCATTTAAAATCCAGACAGTAGTTTTTTAGGTTCTAAATTACACAAAATGTAATCTTGTGAGCTTTAAGACATGATATAATGCTGTTACCTCCTCAAAAACATACCTGGAATTGTGTGTTTCATTCACACATGCTTGAGTAACTCTTTATCATTGGTCTGTCTACATTTCCAAAGCTCGAAATGCTCTCTTCCACCTTGTGTTGTGTTTTCAAGTTTACAGCTACCTTTTACTTTAGTTCAGTAGAGATTAGCAGTTCCAAGCCTGAAATTATCCAAATTATTCTATTGAAGGTGTATGGAGTTTAAAAACACAGTGAAGCACTTCCTGTATTACTACATGACATCACAAGGCGATATAGAGTGTTTTGTTTGAGAGAAGAACACTAAACTCCTAAATATGCAGGACGTGTTAAAAATGTATGAATGAAACAAAACACAACTCGAGCTAAGTTTGTGATGAGGAAACAACACATTGAAATATGGGCCCTTTAATATTGCTAACATCTTGACCCTTACACAACCACTGGCCTGCGTAGTCTGTGATGGTCCTGGGTGAGTGCTGACGTCTGTACTGTTTTAGCCATCAGTGATTTGAACTGCACCTGACGCAGCAGCTCATGTGTGGGTCAGGAGTATCTGTGTTGAGGTGGGTTAGGAGCCCCTGGTTTAGTGTGAGAGGGTTTGGGGTCACGTGAGGACACAGAGCTCAGAGGAGAACCTGAAGAAACTGGACAGACTGAAGATAACCCCAGGGTCAGGGTTATCAAAGTCAGGCTTGGTTTTCATGGATCAGATTTAGGCTGAGGTCACAGTTGTACAGGTTTGATCTAGATTTGAGATTCAGATTTGAGCCCAATTAAGTCCTGATCTGCACTACCAGTCAAAAGTGCCGACACGCCCTCTCATTCACTCATTCATACCTGGAGTTGTGTTTTGTTTGAAGAACCCTTTAATGTGTCTGCATCTCAAAAGCTCAAAATGCTCTGTTCCACCTTGAGATGTCAAGAAGCGGAAGTGGTTCAAGTAGACTTTCACATTTTGTTCAGTAGAGATTGGGAATTCCCTGGCTGAAATTATCCAAATGATTCTAGTGAAGGTGTATGGAGTTTAATATTTGTAAAAATATTTCCCTGAATGCATATGCTTTACCTTTAGAATTGTGGTAGAATCTCCTCTTGTTTTTTTGTTTGTTTTTTTTGCAGATGCACCTTTGAACGACTCTCATTTGTTCATTTAAGAAACCCAAGAAACAAACAAACATCTTCTCATATAAAAAGCATATTGGTACTTTGCAGCTGATGTGATCAACATTCCCTGGGGGTGTGATGCTAACTGTGGGCACTGCTCCGTCTGATGCTCTGTTAGACGTTAATTTGAGATGATTTATACTTTTAAACCATAGACTGTAACTATAAATGGACATAGCTAATGCGCTAGCTGCTGCGTTTCAAATAGAATGTTCGCATGTGGGTTCTTCCAGCTCCTACTGACACTGGCTCCGATTGACTTATGACATTAAAATATTGTCACAACTCTCTCTGTAACTGCTGCTGTAAGCTTCGTCATTTTCGTCCCACTCTACATGATCCTGTTTTGTTTTTGTTTTTTTCTGCTATTTTGTCCGTCAAAAAATCCTAATCATAATACCAAGCCTGGCTGATCACAAGCTCCTTAAAATGTGTTTAAAGGTGCATTGTGTAATTTTTCTATTTTCTGTCTTCATGGAGACCAAACCAGACCAAGTTACAGGTCAGATCTGTGGAGATGCAACCCCACTCACAGTCAGAATGCCTGTTTTACTAGGCATTTTTGAGCTGTAAAACCACCTGTAATTGAATAAATGTAAGATAAAGCTGTTTAATGTCATACTGTGGAACATTCCAGACAGAACAATGACATGTCTATAGAAACAAGCAGGTGACGAACCCTTCACCAGAAAAGTTACGCAATGCACCTTTAAATCCATTTTGTACTTTTTCTTGAGTTTTCAGACAATCTTAAAACTTTTCAACTGTTTGTTAATATGTGCATTGTGTCTCCATGCTAACTGCTGAACATTCCGCCATAGGGATACACGTCGAACACCCCCAGCATGGTGTCATTGTATCAGTGATGCATTTGTAGCGTGTGTGTGTGTGTCTATTGAGTGCAGAGTCAGGACAGGTGTCACTATAGGCTGAGGAGTCTGGGTAACATTACACTAACACTTACCGACAATAGACACACACAGTGACATAACAATCACATACTGGAAAGCACCATGTAAACACCAGTAATTACTAAGGTTTATAGTGTTGAAAGAAATAAAAGAAAAATTTAAAGGGCCTATATTACTCTATTTTCTGATTTATGTTATAATGTTGTTTCCTCATCACAAACATGCCTGGAGTTGTCTTATTTCATGTGGTAATACAAGAAGTGTTCCACTGTGTTTTTAAACTCCCTACACCGTCACTAGAATCATTTGGATAATTTTAGCCCTAGAGTTGCCAATCTCTTCTGAACTAAAGCTAAAAGGGTGTTGTTACCTTGAAAACTACCACTTCATGACATTACAAGGTGAAGCAGATCATTCTGAGACTAGGAGATGTAGAAAAAAAAATACTCAAACATGTGTGAATGAAACAAAACACAACTCTGGGTGTGTTTTTGACGAGACAACAACATTATAACATGGCTTAAAGTTAACAAGAGTCAATTTTGCATAATATAGGACTTTTAATAAGGCCAGTATTACCTAATTCTATTAGGCAAGTGGTCTAATTAGTAGATTAACTTAACTGCTATATGAATTGTTGTCGATTTGTATTTTATAGGCTAATTTTATTCGTGTCAGTAAAATATGCAAATTAATGGATCTTGGTATAGAGCCTATTTCAGACTAAAATCAAGATTACAAACGGGATCCAAAAGTTATAAGAAAAAAATAATACACTAAGAGCAAACACTTGTTACAAATGCGGACTGCAAGAATGACCTTAAGAATTACTGAGTGAAATATTGCTTTTTATGAATGAATGCACCACGCTACTTACGTCTGCTCCTCTCCCCGGTGACTGTGCACATTTTACCGGCTGCTTCTTGTGATGTCCTCCCGTTAGTCCCCGGTGCTCGTCCCGTCCTCTTCATACTAACAGTACGTCTCACCGGGGCATGACTCGTGCTTTTGCGTCCTGTTCTCTCCTGGACACGTCCCGCCGGGTGCGCGCCGTGTCCGCTCCTGGCTCGTGCAGACTCGGGAGGATCTGTTGCTGTCGCGCGGGGTGCCCCTGACACCTGAGATAGAGACGCCGACAGCAGCAGCAGCAGCAGCCAGAGCCCGCGTCCTCCGTTTTAACCGCTTCACTGCCACAACAAACAACATGGACACACTCGACTGGAATAACTTAGATCTGCTGCTTTAACAGACCAGTGAGAGATTTACACAGTCTGGAGAAAAAAAATTGGAGAAAAGACATACAAAAAACTAAATTAACTAAAAAACTAACTTACAACCTTTTATTTTTTAATTTTATCTGTTGCAAGTCGACTGTATGTAAGAGCCAAGCTGAGCCTTAGAGCAAGATGGAAGTAAAACATAAACTATTATCCATTTATTATCAGTACACAAAGTTAGTCAAAATTATATGTTTACAATGGTAATTAAGCAAATATTAGTTATTCAGCAAAATGTGTATAATTCAGAAATCTCTTCACAAGCTATTTGGAAGAGGGTGGAGAGCAACTGGTTGCAGACCCCTGATGTAAGCACTTTGCATTTAAGGGCAAACAAGAATCTACAGCACCAGTCAACAGTTCAGACATATCCTCTCATTCAATGTTTTTTTTTTTTTTTTTTTTAATGTTTACTCCTTTTCATATTTACATACATATAGAAGACATGAAATATATGAAGCAAGGTGTAGGCTATGGAGGCAATAAAGATTAAAAGTGAAATAACTCAACTTAATATTTGAGTGATTTCCTCAAAGTGGCCACCTCTTGCTTTGTTGACAAGAGCTGCAAACCTTTGGCTTTCTCTCAGTGAGCTTCATGATGAAGTCTCTTGAAATGATTTTTACTTCCAGCTGTGCCATGTCAGGGTCAAGGAATCCCAAAAGCAGGGTTCAAAGCAAAGGGGGATATATATTTTTTAAATATATATATATATATATATATATATATATATATATATATATATATATATATATATATATATATATATATATATATATATATATATATATATATATATATATATACATATATATATATATATATATATATATATATATATATATATATATATATATATATAAACATGTTCTGGGTTATTTTGAGTTTATCTTCTGTTTACTACCCTCCATATGTGTCCACTCATAGTTTTGATTCCCTCAGTGAGAACCAACAATGTAAATAATCATGGAAATAAAGGTGAAAAATACATTTAAAAGTGTGTCTAAACTTTTAACTAGTAGTGTAAGTTGATGCAAAGTGCAAACATCAGACCAACTGAACCAGTACTACAGTATATGCTAAAACCCTACACACTAGTGACATAACCTAGGATGAAAAAGCATAGATCAGATCCATATTTAAAATACACTACTATAGAAAAAAATCATCACTCAGTGCAAATAATAAAATAAGATACAAAATTATAACATTTCCCCTCTGCTGCTCTGTGATTGGCATTCACTTTTAATTGAAATAAATAAAAAAAGAGATATGGATGTAAAATGTAACATGTTTCTTTATTTTGTACAAACATTAAAATATTGCTTAGTTCAAAATGCATTATGCTATATGGGTAAAAACACCATGATCATCAGGTATTACAATAGGTCAGGGCAACATCTGCAAAGTATGTTATCCAAAATTACCTCCCGTTACCTCATCAAAAACATAACTGGAGTTGTGTTTTATTTCATTCACAGATTTGAAATGCCTACATTTCCAGCACTCAAAATGCTCTGTTCCACCTTGTAATGTCATGTAGTGACAAGTTACTACCTTTTACCTTTATTTCAGTAGAAATTGGAAATTTGAGGGCTGAAAATATCCAAATGATTCTAATGAAGGTGTATGCATTTTAAAAACACAGTGGAACACTTACTGTATTACCACATAACATCTTAAACTGAAAACACTCTGTTGTGTTTTCAGTTTGAGAGAAGAACTCAGTCTAAATATGCAGGGTGTGTATGTTAAACATGCATAAATGAAACAAAACACAACTCCAGGTATGTCTGTAATGAGGAAACAGCATTAGAGCATAGATCAGAAAATAGTGTAATATAGGCTCTTCAAAAAGTGCATCCATTGTAACCTTGATGGCAGTAACAGTATTAAATTGGACTTCACCATTTAAACTAATTCACACGCTTAAAATGGCTAAATCTGTAAACAAAACGCCATATTGCAGAAATACTGTGTAGCTTTTGGAGTGTATAAAACATATACCAGTACTCTTAAATCCCTTTATAAACTAAGTACCAATTTATATAAAAATATAGTGTTTACCAAAAGATATGTTCTTTAGTTCAGTTAGAGGTTGTAGTGTGGTCTTCCAGCTTTTTTCCCTCAAAGCTCAGATGCATCATGGGTATTTTCAGTTTTGCTTTTGTCATTCTCAGCTGTGTCTGTCTCTCCTTTGGCACCCATGTCCCCCTTCCACACCTCCTTGAGACATTCTAGAGAAGGAACAGAAAAAAATGTTATTGATAACATGACAAGTTACCATGGTGACACAATGCACACATAAGCAATAACTACCAAAAAGTTTTAATATTGTCTTGAAAACTCAAGAAAAAAAATACAAAATGGATTTAAACAGCACATTTTCAAGAGCTTGTGGTAAATAACTTGAGTAAGAGGAGCTTCAGACAGAACAGTGCCCTCAATTAGCATCACATCCCCATTTCATGTTGATGACGACGACATCAACATTCCCTGGGAGACACTAGCAGTCGGCTCTGCCCTGTCTGAATCTTTATTAGACTTAAATCTGTGTTTTATTTTTAAAAATATCCATTAGGATCATCCACCAAAACATTCCAACATTAGAGATACATGTAGAGCACCCCCAGCGTCATGTCACTACAAAGTATCAATACAACAACCTATTTTCGTTTGCAGTATATTTAGCTCATCAGTGTTAATTTTGGCTGTACTATTTTGAAACCTCTACGTGAGCAACAATACTATAGAGCCTCTCTCACCCTGGTCTGAGGTCCTGAGCACATGATTCAAACAGAGGAAGTTTTCCAGCCGTTCGTCCTGATGATGAAAATACCAGTCCTCCACGACCTCTTCATACTCCTCCAGCATCGTCTCACACTGACAAACAGATACAGCCAGTTTAATATTACAGGGCCCATATTACATTATTCTCTGATCTGATATAATAGTGTTTTCTCATCAAAAACATAGCTGGAGTTTTGTTTTGTTTCATTCACACACGTTTAACACACAAACCCTGCATATTTAGGTTCAGTTCTTCACTCAAACAGAAAATACTCTGTTCCACCTTGTGATGTCATGTGGTAATACATTAAGGGCTCCACAGTGATTTAAACTTCATACACCTTCACTAGAATTATCTGGATCATTTCAACCCTGTAAATGGAATCTTTGCCATTAAAAGGTAGCTCTTAACTGGAAAACTACTGCTTCATGACATCACAAAGTGGAAATTTTGAGCTGTGGAGATGTAGACAGACTAATAAAAAAGGATTAGTCAAACATGTGTGAGTGAAACAGAAGACAAGAATTAACTGAGTATACTATAGGCCCTTTGAATGAGTGCTGTAAAATAGATGTACCTGTTTTTTCATGTCTGACACCTCCACAGATGGCTCATCCCACAGCTCAAAAGGCATCCCCAGGTCCACCTTCACTCCTTTGTGCACCAGGTTCTTCAGGGTGGTCATCGTTTGACTGGCACCCTGAAGGAAACACAGAAGGGAGGATTATTCAATAAAATGTATTTTCTATATAGCCAACTGGAATGTAAAGATCGTGATTATACAGGTCATTGTATAATAATAAAGACTAATAATTGTGGGAATTTTTTAAGTAAAATGTTTTGAAATTCAATTCAATATATACTCAAAAACATAAAGTCCTAAATTATGCAAAACGGACTCTCCTCAAAAACATACCTGGAGTTTTATTCACACATGTTTGAGTAATTCTTTATTATTATTATTTGTCTGTCTACATCGCCAGTACTCAAAATGCTCTGTTCCACCTTATGTTATGTAATGGTAGTTTTTCAAGTTAACAGCTACCTTTTACCTTTTGTTTAGTAAAGACCTGCAATCCCAGGGCTAAACATATCCAAATGACTCCAGTGAAGGTGTGTAGATCTTAAAAACACACTGGAGCAGTTCTTGTATTACCACATGTCATCGCAAGGTGGAACACAGTGTTTTCTGTTTTAAAGAAGAACTCAGCTTAAATATGTAGGATTTATGTGATACACATGAGTGAATAAAACAAAACACAACTCCCGATATGTTTCTGATGAGGAAACAACATGAGAAAATAGATCAGAAAACAGCATAATATAAGCCCTTAAAAACTGCTGTAAGACGCATTTACTTCAGTTAATCATTCAGAAAGTTTTCATAGAGCTGCATGGTCACATACTACAGGAATATGGAAATTCACCTTTGTTTGGACACTGTGTCAGTAATTGTAAATAATCATAAAACCTCTCACTATAATAGCAACACATATATTTGACATTGTAAGTCCATGGTCCTTACAGTTACCTGAAATATATGAACAACTAGGCAAGCCAAACTATAAAATAAAGATACTCTATTTTGAGACACTCCATTAGCCACAGAGAAATGGTCATTAAGTATTAAAGACTTGGTGGTGGAGGAGGGCCCATATTACAGGCTCATATTGGTTTACCTTTGCATATCGAAGGCTCCCCGGCCTCTCTGCATGAACATTATACTGCAGGATACGCTCACATATGTTATCCACGGCGTCTGTCAACCGAGTTTCACTGAAATTACAAAAAAATAAACACATTTAGATATGATCGTTAGTGAAGGGACATTGAGCTCTTTTATGGGATCTGAATATTTTGGATACATTAATTTCAAACAGCTGTTCAAAAGAGAAGACTTTTACTATTTTTTTATGACAGAGGCCAAATGTCAAAACTAATTTTAACAACAAACGAATCACACAGAGAAATGATAAAGGCTCAGATTTGTTGAAAAAACTTCAAACTGAGAGTGGGACTGTGTTTACCCTTTGAAACTGTTATTATTACTTCAAAGAGATTAATTTCGGTCTTCCAATGTTATATCTAAATAAAGGTTCTTTTTGACAGACCAGTGTGTCTGTGTTGATCACAGGCAAGACACATCACCGTTACTGTATCATGTGACCCTTCTGAAGAAAGATCCAGAACATCTGAAACATGTCAAGGTATCTGTTAAAAACACACTGGTCTGTCAAAAATAACCTTTATTTGAACTGTTATCATGATGCCAAATATGTATTTTGTGCCCAAAGCTCTCACTTGTATTGCTTACTCTGTTTCTATGCTGATCTTTGTGTTGGTTCAGCATTAATCAGTAATACTTAGACAGAAAAAGGTTGGTTCTTTTAAAAAAAAATTTGATCCAGCTCCAACCAATCACATTCAAAAGCGCAGACTCGTTCACAAATGTCTCATAACTAGTTATCTTAGTTTTAGTCTTCTGCTCCTGTCTGAAGTACATACGATGTGTTGTATTTAATTTTCCTCCTCCGTTTCCCAGTGTCCAGCACTTCTCCCAGCTCCAGGACCTCTTTGGAACGCCCAGTCTTCTCTAGAGCCTCCTGGAGCTCTACTGTCAGGAACTTACACACTGTAAGAAAGAAAAAAATACAACAGGAGAGGAACATTAATCTACAGAAATCACTTAACACTGTGTATAGCTATACATGTAGCTCATCATAGTTTTGTCTCATATCATTTAATTTGTGGTTTTATTTGTAGTTCTGTTTATATTTTTTCAGCATTACTACTAGATCATATACTCCTAAAAGAACGTGACTTAATTTATAGGCTATATCTACTACTACTACTACTACTACTACTACTACTACTACTACTACTACTACAAATAAGGTGACCAAATGTCCCTATTTATTTTTGTTTTGAGCCCTGTTTACCCTGCCCCAGCAGATTTATCCAAAACCAGTGATTTGTCCCAGTTTTACACAAGAAATGTCCCAGTTGTCGCTATATTTGACCAATCTGATCCCTGCCAACAGTAAAGACAGACATAAATTGTCATTTGTTTAGGTAAAATATAGAAAAGCATGCTTAAAAATGACCAAAACACAAAGAAAATGTGACTCACAATAATGCTGAGTACCTAACAATTTTCCTTATTTACGTTTCACAATTTCATTATCACCAACCAACCAAAACCAGGGATGTCCCAGTTTTTTATTTTGAAAATCTGGTCACCCTGTTCACAAATCAATGGGCTACACATATTTTCATACATGACACTAGAAAGCATTTACGTGTAAATAATAAAACACACACGGAATAAATGTCATAAGTTGTAATTTAAAAAAGCTGTTAACAAAATTCCTTTCTCTCCCTGAACTGAATGGCATTTTGCTACTATTAACTATTGTATTTTCCCATTACCTTCGCATTTACTCGGTAATCTCTCGTCGTCATTTGATGCAGCAACGATCGTGACCCAAAACAGAACAAAAATGGAAACTTTCATAGCTTGTTAGATTTTAAAAACTACAGGAAAATCTGTTTTGATTTTTAGAGCCACATCTGCAGACAGCTGATCCAGAGTGATGCGCATGCGCTCTGTCTCCAGGGATGACTAGCTGATGCCAGAGTTAGATAAAGGATAACTAATCTACAACAGATCAAACTAAGACTTTTATTAAATTTTTCCCGCTCATACATGATTCAAGGTTGTACGAAATTCTGGTCAGTTAACTTGCCTACAATGTTTATTTAAAATTTGAAATACAATGTTTATTTATAATTTGAAAATAATACAAAAACACATTTTCATCTGTGTGAAAACGATCAAAACCACAAGTCACACAGTAACAGGTTTAACATTATGTTTCCAATTAAAATAAAGTTTGAGATAATATCATAGACTGAATATATAAATTCTTTATACACAGTCTATGGTTATAGAACTTCGATTGATCTCACAGTAGAGAAATGCACTTGTTATGGGGGCTAGCAAATGCAGATAGTCAGTAGATAGATAGATTAAAAGGGGAAAAAAAGGAACATACAAGGAATGATGAGTGTATCTGTAGTTCTCATATTTATACAGTAATTTTCATTCATTTTATATTTGTATGTTATTCCATCATCTATAGGCTACATACTTAACACCGCTTTTTGTTGATTTGGACCTAGCTGCGAGAGAATAACTGTCCTCTACTGCTTTCCCTGAACATCCACCTCATGTTCCACAGACAGACGCATGAGGGCGCTATAGTGCAGTGCCAACGAGAGATCTAAGGCCATGAGGTGCACGGTAACGACATTTCACCACAGAAAACACATTTAACACTTATGTACTCTAATGTAGTCTTTACTGCAAGACGTTTGAAATGTGCAGTAAGAAAATGTAATAAATAGTAATAATTTTACATCCTTCTATGTTTTTCTTAGCATTTTTAACTATGTAACTCTGGTTCTGAAACCTGCTTGTGTCCATGCAGATGTTATTGCTATGCCAGAAATCTTCCACGTTTAACGTCAAAGTAATTTATTATTTTTATTTTTTTTTAACATTTATTCAATTACAGATATTTTTAGGGCTAAAACATGTTTTTTGTTTATTGTTTTTTTTTTTTCTTACTTGTGCTAATCTTTTGACATGTGACCTGTAACTTGACCATGGGCGTCACCTGCTTGTCTCCATGAAAATAGATTAAAAGTATAAAAGTTACATAGTGCAGCTTTAATTACATATGAAGAATATTAAGACACAAGAATCCATGTAGGCTGCTGGTATCAGTAGCCTATACTTGCTGATGGCCTATTTTACTTATTTGGGTTAGGACTGTATATAGAAGTGGTCTACGGGAGTATGGCATTACGTATAGTGTTCAGCTCCAGTCAAATGAAGTTCATCGAGGCCTGTAGTTATAGGAGTGAATTTGAAGTTGAGTTCAGTATTAGAAATAGGAATTTATTTATGGACAAAATACCATACTGGGACCTTCCAGACAAAACAATAACATCTCCATGGAGACAATCAGTACCAACCCTCCACCAGAAAAGGTCAGACAAAAGACAAGTAGTTTACAATTCAGATCTGTGGAGAGTCACCCCTCATGGACCATGGAACATTCCAGGTTAAGCAATAACATCTTCATGGAGACTAGAAGTACCTCCACCAACCCTCCACCAGAAAAGTTACCAAGTGTACCTTAAAAGTAGTCTCCGTCTATATGTGCCCCATTACTTCTTGACATAAAAGTTAGTATTGCCTACATTACTACTTCTACACCTCTACATATGGGCCCACAGAACAGAGGGCATGTTTTAGCAATTTGGAGAGCTGAGTTGTAGATAAAAGACAGTACAATATGGAAAGGCACAGAGTGAATGAGAGAAGCACAGGTTTGGAACAAGTTTAACCAAGAAAATGGCGCAGCGTTCAGGTCAGAAAGACGCACTTAACCTGCTACATCTGGAAACGATCTCAGCTGAATGTTTGCTGTAGAAAAAGCAAATGGTATGGAAGGAGACAAAAACATTGTTCTCATTTCATCTTCTGAGAGACAGCAGGTCGAATCTGTTTTGAGGATTTCGCGATCCAGCAGCTGTCAACACTCAGTCATGCCGAGAAAGACTAGAAACAAGTAGAAAAACAATAATACTGGACTCGGATTCATGGCAACAAAACTCATTTTCCATCTGAGTTGTAATTTTGCCAACTCCGTGTTTCAGAGCCAAGCTGTGAAACATCTTTTTACTACACAAAAAACACACACTGTTCTACTACTGTACGAAAACAGAGAAGTAAAATTGGGACTAGTCGGAAATGAGTTTTAAATGTTCTATATTGCGCAAAATTAACTCTTGTGAGCTTTAAAACACGTTATAATGATGTTACCTCCTCAAAAACATATCCGGAGTTGTGTTTTTCATTCACACATGTTTGGGTTTGATTGAGTGTCTGCATCTCCAAAGTTCAAAATGCTCTGTTCCACCTTGTGATGTACTGAAGTGGTAGTTTTCAAGTTAACAGCTCCTTTTACGTTTAGTCTACTAGAGATCGGCAATTCCAGGCCTGAAATCATCCAAATGATTCTAGTGAAGGTGTATGGAGTTTAAAAACACAGTGGAGCACTTCCTGTATTACCACATGATATCACAAGGTATTTTCGGTTTGAAATATGCAGGATTTGTGTGTTAAACTTGTGAATGAAACAGAACACAGCTCCAGCTACATTTGTGATGAGGAAACAACATTATAACATAGACATCAAAGAATAGTTTAATATGGGCCCTATAAGGTGCATTGTGTAACATTTCTCTGTAATGTTTGTAATAATAATTGTCTGTAATGTTTCACGGTATGGTATTAGACCTTTCAATCTTCATGGAGACCAAACCAGACCAAGTCACAGGTCAGATCTGTGGAGAGGTGACCCTGCTCACAGTCAGAATGCCTGGTTTTGTAGATATTTTTGAGTTATAAAACCACCTGTAATTAAATAAATGTAAAGTAAAGCCGTGCCATGTTGTATTGTCAAACATTCGACAGAGCAGTGACATTTCTATAGAAACAAGCAGCTGATGGACCCCCAAGCAAAAAGTTACACGATGCACCTTTAAGTGACATTTTAGAGAGACAGAGTACATTATATTAGGATTGATATGTGTGAAAGCCCTCAGTCGTCCAGGTAGAATCCTTGGCAGAAGTAGAAATTTAATTTGTCAGCTGGACAAGAGTATTTGTTTTCATATCATATTCATTGTAACATATTCGACCAAATAAACTCTCCAGTTGACAAATTGAATTTCTCCTTTTGGCATTAGTATTGCTAGAAAATGTATTTGTATTGATTCTGTTTTGTTTATCTTCTAGGTCACCATCTGAGACCTACAGGAACAGCCAGTGTCATGTCATGTCATGTCCAAAACGTGCCCATTGCTTCCTCTGGTGGTACAGTAGTAGACGGCACACGGGAGGAGGTCAGGGGGGGCGTAACTCGATCCCCTTGAAGCCCCGCTGGTGGTGAGGGGGCCAGAGCTGGGTACTGAGAGGGCATCTGAGAAACATCTCCCAGTTAATAGTGGATCTGGTTTCATGGAGGTGAGTGCAAGACAAATCAGATTTATTTTAGACTTTAACATTTATTTATTTACAATGTGTATTAACGAACATACAAAAGCTGCAAAAAATCAAAAACAGGTAGATCAAATATAAAGGGTTCATATTACACTATTTTCTGATCTATGGGTTTGTTTTTTTTATCGCAAACATACCTGGAGTTGTGTTTTGTTTGAGTTCTTTTCTCAAACGGAAAACACTCCTTGCACCTTGTGATGTCATGTGATAATACAGGAACTGCTCCACTATGTTTTTATACTCCACACAAGTTCACACGATTTCAGACCAGGAATTGGGAGTCTCTACTGAACAAAATGTAAAAGGCAGCTGTTCATCTGAAAACTACTGCTTCATGACATCACAAGGTGGAACAGAGCATTTTGAGCTTCAGAGATGTAGACAGACTAATAATAAACAATTACTCAAACATGTGTGAATGAAGCAAAACAGAACTCACAGTAAATGTACTTAATATAAATGAATGACTTTGAACATTAGAGGAGAAAAGAATTATTATAATGCATTAGTCTGAACATTATTCATTCATTCTTTACTGGTGTCATTGTTGGTGGTAAGATAATAATGTAGCCACAGCTGCCCTGGGGTAGTCTGACATAAGAGAGTCTCCCAATCTGCACCATCAGCTCCTCTTACCACCACCAATTACAGACACACCACATTCATACAAGGCAATATGGGTGAAATTTTAGCTAATGAAGGAAAGATCCGACAAACAGAACCGACAAACGTAATTCGCCTTATTTTAGTATTGTAAAAATTATATTCAGCACACTGTTCCAATTTAACTCAACAGAAAATTTCGCTCGAGATTCTCTTTAAAGAAGGAGCCAAGCTATGTCAACATTAGCATAATTGAGAAAAGAACAGAGCTTTTCGATATTAGCATAATAGAGAAAACCTTTTCCTGATCTGCTCCCAGGCATGTCTCTGCACCGAGCACTTAGTCCTGGTTGAATTCATCTTTTCATGGCCACTAAAGAACATTCACTACAATGTATAGATCCCCCTCGTCGGGTTTATTACCACTGGCGGGCAAATTGGGGGCACTTGGAGGAGTCTTATCTTGTATCGTCCAGGCGAAGATCTCACCCCGGACCCTCTCCAATTATCCCTGTGTGCAGAATGGGGAAAATGTCTGAGGCTAATTGACTCGAGGTGGATCGTTCTCAGATGTGAAGCAAAACTGATGCAGATGGAAATGTATAGAAAGAGAGAGAGGAGGGGAAAGAAAGAGAGAGGGAAGGAAGGAGGGAGGGTAAGAGGGAGAGGAAGAGAGCGACAGGGTAAGAAGGAGAAAGAGAGAGGGAGAGACAGGGTAAGAGGGAGAGAGACAGAGGGAGAGGATAGAGAAAGGATGGGTGGGTGAGAGTGAGAGAGAGAGAAAGAGGGGGGAAGAGAGAGGGAGATAGAGAGAGAAAGAAGAGAGGGGGGTAAGAGGGAGAGAGAAAAAGGATCTAAGAGAGGGAGATGGCGAGAGGGAGGGAGAGAGAGGTAAAAGGGAGGAGGGTAAGAGGGGGAGAAAGGAGAGAGAGGCAGTAGTGACTTGATTGGGGTAATAGGGATAGAGAAAGAGAGGGATAAGAGGGAGGGGGTAAGAGAGAGAGAGAGAAAAGCGAAAGACAGAGAGTGAGACAAAAGAGATAGAGAGAGGGTAAGAGGCAGAGAGAGAGGGTGAGAGAGAATAAGAGAGAGAGCAAGAGACAGAGCGTAAGAAAGAGAGAGATAGTTAGAGAGAGAGAGCAAGAGGAGAGAGAGGAAGTGAGGAGAAATAAAGAGCGAGAGCTAGTTAGAGAGAGAGCCAGAGGAGAGAGAGAGTGAAAGGAGAAATAAAGAGAGAGAGAGAGTGAGGTAGTAGTGGCTTGATTGGAGCGGAGGAAAGTTTCCCAGAGAAAACCATAAAACTGATTGATGACTTCCCCCGAGGACTGTTTCCCCAGGTGTGTTCGAATGTGTGTGTGCCTCAGATTTGTGTGTTAAATAGTTACAGCGCCGCTCAGATCTGCTCTCATTGAACCACTGACAACAAGACCAGGAAATATAGAACTGTTTGTGGGTTTGTAGGTGTAGTGATTCTGTAGTTTATATAGAATAGAAATTATTTGTGGTGGAACATAATGAAGTAAAAGTAGTAAAGTTCTGTACTTCAGTATAAATTTTGGACATCTGTACTTTACTTAAACATGCATTGTGTAACTTTTCTGGTAGAGGGCCCATCAGTTACTTGTCTCCATGGAGACGTTATTGCGTTACCTCCAATATTCCAAAGTGTGGTATTAAACTTTTCACTCCGCTGTCTGTTGTTACCTCCTCCAAAACATGAAGTTGCATTTTGTGTCATTCATACATGTTTGAGTAATCCTTTATTATTAGTCTGTCTACATTTCCAAAACTCAAAATGCTCTGTTCCACCTTGCGATGTCATGAAGTAGTTCTCAATTAATAGCTACCTTTTACTTTTAGTTTTTCTGTTTAGCACTGGCAGTTTCAGAGCTGAAATCATCTAAATGATTTTAGTGAAGGTGCATGGAGTTTAAAAACACAATGGAGCACTTCCTGTATTACCGCATGACTTCACAAAGTGGAACAGAGTGTGTTTTGTTTGAGAGAAGAACTTATCCTAAATGTGCAGTGTTTGTGTGTTAAACATGTGAATGAAACAAAACACAACTCCAGGCATGTTTGTGATGAGGAAACAACATTATAACATGGATAAAATAGTATAATATGGGCCTTTTAAATAACACAATTCAGTACTTCTTCTTCCATAATTAAAAACATACTTAGATGCAAAAATGGCAGGTGGTTTGACAGGTGCAATGCTGTGCCAATTTGTAGCCCCCGAAGCTATCTCAGCGCAATGGGACTGCAATCAATCTAAACAACACAGATATTAAGTGCAATTATAAAAGTCAGCTCTTAAACCACCGTGACAGCCTGCGGTTTCACAATACAGAGTTTGATGGATTAGTAATGCTTTAACAAGTTCGCCGTGGCAACAGATTTATTTAGAGGACAATAAGAGTTCACATTGTTAAAGAGCTCATATTATGCTATATTCTGATCTATGTTATAATGTTTTTTCCTCATCACCAACATACGTGGAGTTTTGTTTTCTACCATGAAGAGTTTTAACACACAAATTCTTGAGTTCTTTTCTCAAACAGAAAACACTCTGTTCCACCTAATACAAGAAGGGATCTCCTCTGTTTTTAAACTCCATGCACCTCCACTAGAATAATTTGGATAATTTTAGCCCTGGAATTGCAGATCTCTAAACAAAAAGTAAAAGGTAGCTGTTAACTTGAAAAGTACAGCTTCATAACATCACAAGGTGAAACGGAGCATTTTGAGCTTTGGAGATGTAGACTTATAATAAAAGGTTACTCAAACACATGCGAATGAAACGGGTCTGTTTTTGATGAGGTAACAACATTATACCATGGTTTAAAGCTCACTAGAGTCAATTTTGAGTAATATAGGCCTTTAAAAGGTGCACTGTGTAAATTTTAGGACCCACCACCTGTTTGTATCCATGGAGATGTTATTGCGTTGGGCTGGAATGTACTACAGTATGGCATTAAACATATATTTATTTCCATAAAGACATCACCACCAGGCCAAGTTATAGATCAGATCTGTGAAGAGACGACCCCAGTGACAGTAAGAATGCATGTTTTTAAGATATTTTACCAATTAAAAAAACAGTAATGAAATAAATGCAAGGTAGCTGTTTAATGCTATACTGTGTAACATTCCAGGCAAAGTAATAACATCTCCATGGATACAAGAGGGTGCCAGTGCTTCTTTGAGAATACAGCTCACCGCGGAATTGAACATTACAGCTGTGGCTTTCAGTTTGACATTTTCCCACTCTAAATAAAGAGCTATGAATCAGTTATTGAAAAGACCAAAATAAAAAGTTAATTAAACAGTAGTGATAACATTTCTATCAACCTGTTTAATTCAAGTTTGGACAGGTAACATGTCTGCAATTTCTAAACAACTTTTCAAGGTTGGCCTATTTTCAATTTTTTATTATGGAAGTTATTGCATATTTAAAGGTGCACTATGGAACTTTTTGGTTGGAGGTCCTTCGCCTGCTTCTTTCTATGGATATGTCATTGCTTTGCCTGGAATGTTCCACAGTATAACATTAAACAGAACTACAGAATTGTTTATAAAAGCTAAAAAAAAAACGGGCATTCTGACCGTGAGTGGGGTCGCCGCTCCACAGATCTGACCTGTAACATGGTCTAGTTTGGTCTCCATGAAGATGGAAAGGTTTAATACCATATTGTGAAACAAAGGCATTTGATGGACCCTCCACCAGAAAAGTTACACAATGCACCTTTAAGGAATAACTATAATAGAGGGAGTTATATTAAAGCATTATTAAATTACTGTTATCTGCGGGGTTTAGGGTTAAGATTCTGTAATAATAATAATAATAATAATAATAATAATAATAATAATAATCTCCATTTTGGTTTGATCTAAATTTGTGGTAAGTACTCAAATACGCTTTTACGGCCGCAGTTTCCGTTGCAACAGCGACGCATTTAAAACGTCCTAACAGGTTTGGAATAAACGTGTCACACTCGGCAATATAATTCATTTACGGCACCACAGCGCGCACTGACTGCCGTTTGAAACTGTAAACTTGAACTGTGCATGTAGCCTATTTATCAAGCTCTCGTTTAAATGTTAACATGAATCAACTTGGCAGAGGTGCGCAGTGAGGTGGGCGCGTTTGGGTTGAGTTTCTATAAGAAGAAGACGCACCTCCCATCACTCACGAGCCGTCCCGCTGTCCTCCAGGGCTCCTCGCGCCCCGCTGCCGGCGTGCTGTCCCCTCTCGAGCGCTCCCCTCTCACTCTCCGGACGCGCTGGACCCGGACACTTGTTCCGCTCCTGCTCCAGACCAAGACGGACAGTAGGGGCTGAATACGCAGAAGGGAAGTCACTGGGATGCGTATGGTGAGTGAGTTTACGCACTTGAATGATGTCGTAAAAGGACTTTATTGTGCTCGCTTCAGGGTCCTGTTTATCTCTGTGAGCGCTCGTAATTACGCACAGATTACGCACGTAATTATGGATAAAATTAATGACTCAGGTAGGCTGCTTTTGGCCACACACAAAATCGGCTAGAAGACATTTTTACCATCGACAAATAAAGTTTTAACGGTACTTTTTTACGGTGCTTTTTTTAAGGTCTCTCTGGTAAAGTGAGAAAGACGCACAGACGGAATAAACGTCACTGAACAAATCGTCAAAACACACGTAAAATGTGTATGATTTACCATAAATGTATGATCTCACAGAATAACATTATACTCAATTATAGTTTTTGTCAGTTGCATAGTCAGCAAACGCGTAAATTCTGTAACGATGGCGCATCTTTTTCATTTACCAATACATGTTTTACTTTACCTTTAACCGTGCAAATTAAAAACCAAAAACATAACTATAACCCTTGAATAGTTTCTGATCTGATTAGGACCGACCACCTCTGTAAATATTATTGTTTCTCCGTGGCCACATGAAGGTAATTGAGTGCACCCAATTTGTGCGCAACAAGTGCAATTAGCTTAGCGGAATTAAGCCAATTAGAGCGCACTGTTAGCGCTTGCCAAAGTAATCGGACGAAGTATGACAAACATTTAGCTTAAACGAACCGTGTGAAGCGAGTGATTAGTCCCAGTGCTCCAGTGCGTGTGACCCCGGGCGCTTTCACTAGCCATCCAACAATTTTTGATTACTAGGACTTTCTATTATTTACTGTTGTGAAGTACCTGAATACAAACCCCCAGAGTACGTGCTCAGAATACTAATTTTGAGTAACTGCATTTAGGTATAGTTACTTTTTCATTTTGTGGTATTCAAATACAATGACTTTTCTAAAATCAGGGGAATACCTGGTGGTATTTTATCGCATAATTTACTCTTTAAAATGCACAGAATTAGCGAGAAAAATACAAAAACACAGGTCTTGTAGTGGTGCATGTGTGATTTTTTTCGTCTTTGATCAGTGATAAGAAATAGATAAGAAACGGGGAAACAAATATAGAGCTGTTTTCTGCGTTTTTCCACTATAATGTACGTGAAGCTTGATGTAATAGTATTCTACTCTGATTGGACCACGTATCAGAGCATGTTACAATATCCATTTTAATGCAGGTATTCAGTGTTTTGTAACTAAATACATTTTCAAAGTATTCACTGTCTATTATTTTCTCCAACTGAGGTCATGTTTTTAAAATGTGTTTATTTTTTCTACTACAAATGGGCCATAAACTTACCTAACCTTATTATTTTAGTCTCTATAACTGATCAGGAGTTTCTTAATCTGCTTGCTTGTTGCTTGCGTAAAAATATATTGTAGTCGGATCTTGTCAGACCAAAATAATTAACTTAAAAGTGTCCACATTAACTCTAAGCCCTGTTCATATTAATTTACACTTTATTACATTTGTTTTTTTGTTTTGGGTTTTTTTTAACAAGAAATTAGTTCACTTTGTCTAACCCTGTATCCATGGCAACATACAAAGATGTCCTAAAACCTTTAACAATTTGCATTTACTTTAAAATTAATTATCTTTACTACGCAAATGTTACTTTTTTTAATTCAGTAATTGACAGTTAACAATAATATTATAGGCTGTAATATATACAAAATTATAATAATTTTAGCTTCAGACTTCTTTTTCCCATTCAAAATATAGATATGTTTAGTTTGAAATTATAAACAGGCCCATTTTTCATCTCTCTGAACCCATGGATATTGAATTTACCAGTCTATTAGATCTTAACATGACAGGCCTTTGATGACATAAAGCAAAAATTATATGTAAAAAATAAAAAGTCCTTTGTTGTTTTATTGAAATTTTCTCAGATCTATTTTTACACGAAATTACCCACGTTTGATTTTGTTTGATTTGGTTCCGTATGATGGCACACGCTTTCTTCCATCCACCTGTTTCTCATTATAAACCTGCCGGAGATTTAATTGACGCGCAATTACAAGCAGAGGTTTTTAAATTGATCTCCGTCATGCCAGAAGTTGTCTTTGGCGTAACTGAAACATGGACTCATCGTGATTTCATTTCCATCTGTTTTTCAATATCAGCATGTGAAGCTCGAACCTCGGTGGAAGGGCCCCTGCCAACTTACACTGTAAAAAGCAATGTTTAGGTGAGTTAAATGACTTAAATTGGGAACATTTTTACTTTATTTGAGGAGATTTAACATGGTTGGGGATCCATCACCTGTTTGTTTCCATGGAGATGTCATTGCTTTGCCTGGAATGTTCCACAGTATGACATTAAACAGCTCTACCTTACATTTATTCAATTACAGGTGGTTTTATAGCTCAAAAATACCTAGAAAAACAGGCATTCTGACTGTGAGCGGGGTTGCCTCTCCACAGATCTGACCTGTAACTTGGTCTGGTTTGGTCTCCATGATGATAAAAAGGTTTAATACCATACTGTGAAACATCCCAAAAAGAGCAATAACATCTCCATGGAGAAAAGCATTTGACGGCCCCTCCGCCAGAAAAGTTGCACAGTGCACCTTTAACTGTAGCAAGATGTATTTTTAGATTCCAAGTACAAAAAGTCTTCTTCCATTTTACTTGCCAAGTGAAATTTACTCAAATCTTTCTTAATTCAAGTCATCTTAAGTTGGCTAGATTTGAGTTTTTGCAGTGTATGAGAAGTAGAAGAGCTGACGAAGGGGGAGATTTGGGAGGAAATTTTAAATATAGTGAAGTAACGTGTGGTTTTTGAATCAGAAAAGAAGTGTGGGTCAGGGCCAGTGGTGGAACATAACAAAGTAAAAATGTCCACATTTTAGGTATCTGTACTTTACTTGAGTAGATTTTGGTGTGGATACCTTTTACTTTTACTGAGAGCATGTATCTGTAGTTTTACTCCACTACAAGACCTGCTGAGGGTTTATTTTTTTAACACGTTCATAGTTTGAGCAAACCAAAAAATATATATTTACAAATAAAAACAACTAGAAAAAAATATTGTTTCTGTTGAACAAAATTCAGCAATTCATCAAACTCACTATATTTGAAACTTTTTTAGATCTCAAAAACTGTGTGAAATACTTTTACTTTTTACTCTTTACATACGTTTTTTATGTTTTTAACTTTAATACTTTTACTTAAGTTGATTTTGTCATGTGATACTTTTACTTGAGTATTTCTTTGCTCTGGAATCTGTACTTTTACTTAAAGGTGCACAATGTAACTTTTCTTGTGGAGGGTCCATCAAATGCTTTTCTCCAATGAAATGTTATTGCTGTGTCTAGAATGTTTCACAGTATGGCATTAAACCTTTCTATCTTCATGGAGACCAAACCAGATCAAGTTATACGTCAGATCTGTGGAGAGGCAACCCCGCCCAAAGTCAGAATGCCTGCTTTTCTAGGCATTTTTGAGCTGTAAAACCACCTGTAACTGAATAAATGTAAAGTAGAGCTGTTTAATATTACACTGTGGAACATTACATCTCCATAGAAACAAGCAGGTGACAGACCCTCAACCAAAAAGCTACACAGTGCACCTTCAAGCCGATTTTGCCATGCGATTTTATTTTTACTTGAGTATTTCTTTGCTCCAGTATCTATACTTTTACTTCAGTAGCAAAAGTACTCTGTAGCACGGGTCACGCCGAGGGGACCGGGATGTAGATTGGCAGTTTTGTTGAAGGTGTGAACTTGAAGGGCAGGAGCCTTTAGCTAAAGATACAAGCAGCGCTAATCCACTCTGTGCCTCTCTAAAATTAGATGATTACACCTAAAACAGAACTCTGGGAATCCGCTCCGTGTGGAATAACATGGGCCGGAGCCAAGAGGAATCCGCTTTGGGAATACAGAGGCCCTCATAGCCGCGCTCGTCTCACTCGCGGTGTAGTATTGCTGACTGGCCGAGGACAATCGTGAATTAACAAAGGTGTCGCCGTGGTAACATGTAATGGCAGGTGCAGAGTCCCAGACAAGCTCATAAAATCAATCATATTTATTTAAAGGGTCTGTGTTAAAGATCCTGTATTACACAAAATTGACAGCATTTGTGTGTTAAACATGTGTGAAAGAAAAAAAACACAACTCCAGGTATGTTTTTAATGAGGAAACAACATTATAACATAGACCAGAAAATAGTGTAATATGGTTTTTGTGCAAATTGTAGTTGTCTAGCAACTCATCTCAATAAACAAACCTCTGTGAATATTTTTATTTGAACCTTTCATTTTGTGTTTCCTAAAGCAAATGTGACCCATGTGTCCAGTTTTGTTTATTTTCTTGTAGGCATAATATCCATATTTTCAGTATTTCCACCAACCTTCTCAAGGACTACGAGGAAAATTAGCACCAGCTTTTGTTTTGTAGTTAAAGGCCCCATTTTAGGCTATTTTCCGATCAATGTTATAATGTTATTTCCTTATCAAAAACATAGCTGGAGTTGTGTTTTTTTTCATTCGCGTATTTTTAACACACAAACCCTTGCACGCATATTTAGGCTGAGTTCTTTTCTGATGTCATGTGGTAATACAGGAAGTGCTCCACTGTGTTTTTAAATTCCATACACATTCAATAGAATCATTAATTTCAGCACTGGAATTACCAACCTCTACTAAACAAAAAGGTAAAATGCGGCTATTAACTTTAAAACTATCACTTCATGACATCACAAGGTGGAACAGAGCATTTTGAGTTTAGGAGATGTAGACAGACTAATAATAAAGGATTACATAAGCATGTGTAAATGCAACAAAACACAACTCCAGGTATGTTTTCGAGGAGGTAACAACATTATAACATGACTTAAACCTTACAAGAGTCAGTTTTGTATAATACACTGTTGGGCCTTTAATGTATTGTGGTGCATTGTCCATTTACAAAGTTCTCAGAAAAGCCTGTGCAAAAAATATACATGTTGGAAAATGAATATACTTTTATTATTTTTA